TGGTAGACCATTCAGCCACTGTAAACGGATCCAATGGCCAGCCCGTGAATTCTAACTTCTACCAATTCACGACCATTTCGCAATGTCTTTTTCGATGAGTTACTGCTCTATCTTCAACCTGTTGTACCCTACTGGTCACGGCTTCCCACTAAAACCACAGGTCACTGACTGAATAGAGCCAGTCGCTAGTGGATTAATTATTTATTCACTGGCAAATTTGATTTGTAGTAATGTGTTTGGTAACCGCTAATTCATTCGAGTGCCAGGCTTCTAGAAATTCCCTGGCATTTTTGATGTTTCTCCTGTTGAAAATTTCTATATTTCCCGCTCAAACTGGTGTCCATAATTGTCTACACACATCGATATGAAAGAATACATATCGTGCCTTTTCTACAGCTAACTTGTGCTCTTCGATTGTGATTTGAAGTGGAACTCCCACCTTTGACCAATGTAATATTTATATAATTTATTTTGTGAATGGTACTAATCATATCTTCTTTTGCTGCTAGGTCCTATGGTCTGCACAATATTGAATAAAGTCATTGTATCGGGTTGTGTGTTATATCTATTTGAAATGATTTTAGTATTCTAGACGCTATTTCATAGATATTCTCTATACATGGTAGAATGAATTTTCTTGAATCTCCAGATGAGAGATAAACAAACCCACCGAAAAGATTGCTGAATGAAAGATGAACATTGAACGGGCCAATAGACGCTGTAGGACTACCCCACACATATCACAATGGCTGAAGGTAAGCTGGATTCAAGCAGTGAGATTGTGGATAAACGAAATCCTGAATAGATGATCACATCTGTTCAACGCAACAATAATGACAACGAAACCTATCGTCATTACTCCTCCATATGCAACATGAAGTTTGAAAGTTAAAAATAGGATATAAGACGGTTCAGATAGCACACGAATAATAATATGATACAAACAGAATGTGTGCGCTAAATGTATCGTTTAGTAAAGGTATCTTTGTTGGCGATTTTGTCCTCAAAAGCTGTGTAACCGCATTTTTATACATTAGTTTATCTAGTTGCCAACGTTATTTAACTCAAAATAGTAACGAAGAGGAATTAATAATAGTGATAATTTTTCCTTCACGTTCCCAGTGGAGCATAGGGCTTCAACCTATTGGCTCGAAGTTTCTGTAGCAGTGTTTATTTTTAACAGGATGGGGTCGCTAGCCTCATGCCCAACCTTTCCTCTTTACCAGCATTATTTCTGGCTTAGCGAGGTAAAGGAGTGCGTCGGTCGGGGATCGAACCCGGATCATGTGCATGGTCGGCGAGCGTCCTAGCCGCTATGCCACCGACGCGCAAAGAGGAATTAAAGGTGACAAAAATTTTCAACTTGATATGAACATAGATCATAGGGGGCATAGAAACTAAATTACATTAGAAAATGGTGGCATAAAATGTAAAATAGATTTTAACGAAGATAGGTATGAATGGAATGTGTATAGAAAGGACGAACTCACGCACATAACCACTCCAATGTGTATATATCATTCACCTGATTCTATGGAGCTACGTCCTTTCAAAACATGTTACTGAACGCTATTCAGCATGAATGCAAAGAAGCAGAAGTGGTTCAATCGGAAGCACCATAATTGAACACCTCGTCAACACTTGTCACACCATCTCAACTGACTCATCATTTATAGTCATTTACAAAGTATACAAAAATCTACCAAAGGGAGAATGTTTCTCACTCTTTTATATGTTGCAGAAACTCTCGCCATTTGCATCGAAAAACCAGAGTGAGACACTCAAAAAAAATTCTACTTCAACCTCGACATTTGCCACTGATCTGGTTTCGTTTGGCTGCTTAGTCGCCGTCCGCATTTTTTTCATTTCTTTTATTTGCAGTAATAAAAGCTATTATTTCGCTTTGTTTCTATTCACATCGCGTACATACTTGTACTCGTTATAAAACTCTATTTCACATATTACTCAACTATTTCCCAATCCTATGTAATTTAGTTTCAGTTTCCTTTGTGATCTCTCGTACTAGCTCTCTCTCTCTCTCTCTCTCCCTATATATATATAGTCTGTGTGGAGGTCAACAGCACTCAGTATCAAAAATAAAATCCGGATCAGAGACTTGGCGCGTCATAAAGAGCATCTCAAACAAACTAAAGACCTTCATTAACAGTTGTCTTCGCTCAATACTACTCAAGATCAGATGGCTGGCTAGAAAAGATCAGCAACAGGTATCTCTGGCAATGAGCGAACCAACCAGGAACCGATTGTGAAACAAATAGGCTGAAAGAAATGGAGATGGATTGGCCATACTCTGAGGAAACCATCAAGTGACATCACTAGACAAGCCATCGCTCGAGTGGAACCCGAAAGGGAAGGTGCGAGTTGGTCGCCGTGCAAGGGTGACTTGGAGGAGGTCATGTGAAGAGGAGATGAAAGCGTGTGGGCAGACTTGAAGCAAGGTGAAAACTTTAGCAGAGAACCGAAAGCAAAGAAGACGTGCAGCTGAAGCCCTATGTTCCTCTAGGAATTAAGGGAAATAATAATAATTTCCTGATGGGTGTTTTCTACGGTTTGAACGCATGTATTGCATCGCGCACTTCTAAGTGTCGCGATTCGATTGTATATTTGAGAAAAAGCCTCTAATGTATTAAGTTCTACTGAAAATTAGTGATTTTCTATGCAGTGACTAAAACAGAAATCTTGTTAAAATGAATCCATGATATAATAAAACCATTACGCATTCTGGCTATTTTCAATTCCAAGCATTTTCAATCACATCTGATTGACAGAACTCTGTTAAAAATAAGAACAAAAGACGAGAATTGGTAACATGAATATTAAATCTAGTAACCTGAATAGCTCTCAAGGTTTAAATTCTAATATCATAGATTACATTTCATAATATATGGACAAAAAGAAATAAATACCGAGTGTTATACGAGTATTGTCTAAAAAATAAACAATATTCGACATTTTAGGTCAAATCAGCCCTTAAAAAACTCTAAAAGGGGCATAACAGTTAACATTCACTGAGGATGCAGTCACCACATTTTGTTTAGTGCATTAATTAGTATAGCTTTGGTGTATAGGGCGGACTTACCCCCACAAACGACGTGGTACTACCGAGACACAGACAGAGAGAGAGAGAGTAGACTTCCGTCTTTTCCTCGAAATGCTTTTATGTAGCCAAGTGTTCATAGACTCTGCCAGGTAACTCTTATTCAGTACATTCACGTACCAAACATATTCCTCACAAAAGAGAAAGGGTTAATGTAAACGTTTGGCGCTTACAACCGAACTAGTGGACATCCAGATATGCCTAAAGGAGCTGGAAAATACTAACACCGAATCTACAGTGTAAATGAACTTCACACAATCCGAAAGAATAGTATGGCATATATAAACCAGGTCTAGTCACCGGAAGACATGCTTTGTGGATCGTAATTCAAGTCAAACAATCGAGACGTCTTGGGCGTTCAAGTAGTATCCCAGCCCATTAAGGAACTATGACATTTTTTTATAGAGCATCTCTTGGTGTCCACAGTGCACCAAGTTTGTACTTTAATAAATAATATAATAATAATAAGGGCATATTTAGCATCTCTGTATTCACATCCAACAGAGTAATACTGCTCATCACCAATATCTTCTAAAATGACAAAAACAATGGCAATAAACTTAGAAAATAAAACAAAATTAAAATTCAGGAGATTAAAATTAAATTTTTATAAAATAAATAAATACGTAATAATAATAATGATAAAATCGAAAAATAATGGTGATGAATGATAGTGAAGAAAAGAAATATATTGAATTGAATTTTTAGCTTTCCTACACAAACTATCAGTTATTCGAGAAATCTCTACTCATTAAATAATAACAGTAGTAGTATGAAGAAAGTTGAAGAAGAGGAGTTACTCTACCCTCGTATCTTAAAGAATAACCGAAATAAGCGTAGAGCTGCAACGCCTATTCAACACAAACGCATATATGCATACGGACTCGCCAGACAAGAATATGATTGAATGAAAATGAAATTTATGAAGGAAGACAAAGAAAAACACCAAATAACTCAATAAAACTCGAATTATATATATCTTCGTTGAACAAATGCGGATAGTTTCAAAGAAGAGAATACAATCGAGATCAGAAAGGGTATAGAGAATACTACAAGTGGAGAAAGTGCAAACTAGAGGAAGATAGAAATAAAACGGAATTGATACATTGAGAAGAGCAGACAAGAACAATCACACATACCGCTACTACCTACTCCTACTACCTTGATTGAATACTACTTACAACGGAAGTGTAACAGAGAGGTGTGAAGACAGAAAATAAAAGGGAACAATAATAATAATAAAACTAATACTAACTGAATATAGAAAAAAAGGAAAAGTATTATCGAAGTAAATTGAAGTAATTCACAGCCAATCTTTGCATCTTACTTAGCGCATAAAGGGATTTTACACAGAATAAGTGATTACTTCAAACTCTAAGTATCCATAAATATATATTTACACAAACAATATACATGTGTATCTTATATACAAACATACTAAAATGTAATAATAGTAATAGTAATTGTCGTTAGAATGTAGAAAGGTGAATTATATCTATGTGTACTCTTTACGAATATTTTGTTTTTATATGTTTTTATATGATTACAATAATCTAATCATTATGAATTATGAACATTAGATGGATAAGATGATGGTATACAAAACGGAGAGTGAAGTGTGTGTGTGTGTGAATGTGATTGACATGAAACAAAACATATTTCTTCTGTGTTTTTTTCTATACAAAACCTGAACATTACATAGAACAAATGTATTATGGGGGAGGGGAGGGGGGTGTTGATAGAATTAATTCCTAGGTTTGAAAAACAATCAAGGAAATAAACTCATCATCACTGTTATTATTTCATTGTAAGTGAGCTTCTATTGTTGAGGAAGTAATCCATAATGAATCGATTATCATTATTACTATTATTGTTATTATTATTATTAAGTATTATTGTTTGTAATAGTACTGAGAGGATCATCGTTGTCTTCATCATTGACTTCTGCTATGCCTTTATCTTCCCATATAGCTATATAATGTCCATCTAGTAACGGTGGACCTTCAGGAAAGGCTAGCAATGCTATATTACGATGACAAAATGATCGTGAATTTGAGTCAAGATTATTTGGAGTCCATCGATGAACACGAATAGCTCTAAACCGGGAAAAACAGATGAACGACATGCGGCGTACGTTAAACTTGGATACACCATTCTTTGTAAGGCCAAGATAATTTATTCAAGTGTTCATTTAAAATTTGACTAGTATCGATAATCTAGTTTAAGAAAGAAAAAAAACATCAAAGATTAATGAAAATAAATGTTAAAAGGATATATTGTTCAGATAAATAATAAGTTTAATTCGCCCCAAAATTAACCAATTACGGTAAAATCAGGTCAGAATGTCGTTCATAAAACCCCCCAGATATAATAATGAATATGCTTCACTTTTTGTGGGTGTTAAATTCTGGCTTCACATCTAGATAAAAAATAAGTCATTTGCTACGTGGGATTTCCAGTATGAATAAAGAAAGAACGAACAAAAACGAGTTTGGTTTGTTTAGTGGATCCTCTTCAACTGACCACATCTTAAACAATATCAAAATATAAGTTACACACTTTCTGAACATACTTTTCTCACAATGACGTCGAGATATACATAGAAAATATGAGTATCCTGCTCATGTCAACTCCAAATGCAATTACCAATTCACTTGCATTTGTAACAGAAGGTACATAAAAGGACAGCGTCTGCTAGATTCTCCGTAAGAAAGATAGCAAAGTGTTCTCAAGCAAAAATGCCAGTCACCTAATTGACACACACACATACAGTGGAAACTAGTCAGGCCTTCGGAATAATCAACAGAAAAGAAAACTATGGTTCCTTCGGTTCTCAGAAGCTATTGCTATCGAGAGATTTCAACCCAACCTTTGTATGCAGAAAGACAGTGTGATTAATCCCCCACTATTCTGCTAAATGTAATTGTTTTATTCGTATGCATAAAATTTCAATTGATTTTGACTTTGACTTTCACTTACTGAGTTCAACTAATCATTAGTTTCCAAATATATTCGTCCTTTCTTTGTTCAAACTAATAAAGGGAACTGGATGTGTGGAATTTTCAGTACACAGAATAATTAGACAATAAAATTGTATTATCTTCTTTCACAGCTTAAGCAAAAAATATGGTCCTATTATGGTCAGTTCATCGCCTGATAAACACTCAGTTTTCAGTTCTCCTCTACATTGAGGAACACAAAGATGTCTCACTGACTGAATTTTCGTACGTAGAATTTTGTACAAAAGTGCAGCGGTTCTAGTTGCTGCCACACTTCACAAAAGTAGAGAAGAAGAAATAGAAGATAACCATACTAAACGAAAATTTACGAGGTAGAAACACACGATTACATAGAAAATTTATTATTCTTATCTCCTTTAGTTCTTAAAGAAACATAGGGCTTCAGCTGCACGTTTCCAATGAGTACAGTTCTCCGCCAACGTTTTCACCTGGCTCAATGTCTCCCCACACGCTTTCATCTCCTCTTCGTATCACCTCCTCCTCCATGTCACCCAACCCTCGCAGTGACGACCAACTCGCCGCTTCTCATTCGGACTCCACTGGAGAGTCTGTCGTGTGATGTCACTTGACAGTTTATTTTCTCAGAGTATGGTCAACCCACCTCCATTTCTTCCTGCCTATTTGTTGCACAATTGGTTACTACTGGGTTGGTTCGTTCACTGACAGAAATCCCTCACTGTTGCTGATCTTTTCTGACGTTCATCTGATCTTCAGTGGTATTGAGCGAAGACAGCTGCTGATGAATGTCTGTAGTTTGTTCGAAGTGCCTTCGTGACGCGGCGCCAAGTCTCTGATCCGTATAGTGAGTAACACTGACTTCACATTGGAGTTGAAAATCCGGATCGTATCTTTCATGCTGAGTGCTGTTGATCTCCACACAGACTTGAGAGTGATGAAAGCTTGTCTTGCTTTCCCGATCCCCACTTTGATATTCACATAGAGAATAATGAGGATTTAATAGATCTGAGAGATTAGAAATAGTAAAATGTATCTCTATCTGTGCTGTAATACTAACAGGATCACTATGTAGATCAAATCAACTATCAAATAAGTTTTGGACTAATGCCATGTTTTGATTTGGCAATTTACACCTCATTCATACTTCAGAGGTGTTAGAGTATCTCGCAGTGGTCCATACATAAAACTATGAAGTAATCGATTACGAGCTTAAAGTCGCTTCATTTCAATCTCGATGGTATCGATAGCCATCACATATTAGAGTGAAATTATCATATAACATCATTATCTCTAAGACCATCTTATACTTATGTCTTCAACAGGACTATTTATTTAGGTTCACTTTGATTCTACACAGTTGAATCAAGTCAGAGTCAGTGGAAGTGAATGCTTCACGAATCAATATTTCAGACTACCTTTCTGTCTTCTTCACTCCAAATTGTGAGTCATATCTGTTAATGCTTAGTTGAGTGATAAGATAGTTGATACCTGAATACCCATTTAGGGAAAGCTAACTTGTTAACAAACGCTAATCTGTCAGAAAGATCCTTCATTTAATGATATGCTTACATAAACAAACATCTTGAAAGTTTATCTTTGACAAATTACCTTATTTTGACGATAGGCAACACCAGGCCCCTATTTGGACTCATCACGGAAACGGGTGGGAGAAGACAAATCATTAGTGAAACAATCTCGGAAAAAAATGGCACTATAATTAGCTCCCAGGATAGACGACTGGATCGTTGGAAAGAGCATTATGAGGAGCAGTTTAATTGGCCCACAGCCACGCTCAACCTTCCGAGCATCCAACACCTCCCTGAATGGGATATAGACACAGGTCCTCCGTCACTAACTGAGGTTACTAAAGCTGTCACCAATCTGAAACTAGGCAAAGCAGCGGGACCTGATGGAATGACGCCAGAGGTATTTAAGTACGGTGGAGACAGTTTACTGTCTGCATTAACTGAGGTACTAGGCAGCGTCTGGGAATCAGAAGAAGTCCCATCGGGTTGGTGTAAGTCACTGATTATCCCCATATACAAGAAGGGAGACAAGTCTTCCTGTGATAATCACAGAGGGATTAGCTTGACTAATATAGTATCTAAAGTCTTAGGCTCAATAATCATGCGTAGACTGAGTGGTGCTCGGGAAGCACAAACACGAGAGAGCCAGGCAGGCTTTAGACCAGGAAGAGGGTGTATTGATCATATCTTCACCCTCCGACAGATTCTAGAACATAGGAATTCCTACCGGCGTCCAACAGTCATTATATTTCTTGACCTAAAGGCAGCATTCGACTCTGTCGATCGGGAAGTTCTCTGGAGATGCTTGGCTGTAAAGGGAATTCCAAGAAAATATATTGCACTGATTAAGGCACTCTATTCGTACTCATACAGCCAGGTGAGGGCTTACGGCGAGCTGTCATCTGAACTGATGACGACCAGTGGTGTCCGTCAAGGATGCCCATTATCTCCTTTTCTATTCAACTTCATCATAGATGTGTTAATGGACTTAACCCTAGGTGACTTCAGCGACTCAGGGATTGACTTGCTACCGGGGAATAATCTCGTTGACTTGGAATATGCAGACGATATAGTCCTTCTAGGCGAAGACGCTGACAAAATGCAGAGTCTTCTAAACACCTTGAGCTGCAATCTACGAATGTTTGGCATGCGATTCGCTCCCGCCAAATGCAAGATGATGTTACAGGACTGGACTACATCGACGCCTAGTTTAAAAATAGGAAGTGAAGTGGTAGAGCACGTTGACCGCTTCACTTATTTGGGAAGTACCATCAGCCCCAACGGGCTGATCTCTGACGAAATCTCAGCACGAATACAAGGGGCTCGTTTCGCATTTGTTAGTTTACGCCGACTCTGGCGTAGACGAGATGTTCGACTATCGACCAAAGGGCGGGTGTACTGCTCATCAGTCCGCTCCGTCCTCCTTTATGGTTGTGAGACCTGGCCACTGAGAGTGGAAGACATGAAAAGACTAGCTGTCTTTGATCATAGGTGCCTGCGTTCTATTTCCCGTGTAAAGTGGCATAATAAGGTGAGCAACATTGAGGTTAGGCGTAGAGTTCTAGGTAAACAGGGGAAATCAATCGACGAAGTCGTGAAGTTACAAAGACTGAGATGGTTAGGACATGTGTTACGTATGCCAAGTCATCGCCTCCCTCGACGAGCAATGTTAGCGGATATAGGGTCAGGCTGGAAAAAAGCTAGCGGCGGTCAAACAAAAACTTGGCTTCACCAGTCAATGAAATCCACAACAGTTGGTCTAAGCCATATAGGAAGGTGTAGACTTCCTGGTTGGAGTCCTCGGGACGGTAAAACCCAATGGAGGTGGAAACAATTGGTGACATGGCTCAAAATCGTTCTCAGTGGCGCGCAGATGCATCCACTCCTTGTGACTTATGATTTCCAATGAAACTGTTTTGTTCTTCGTTATTACTCTCCTTTGTCTCACACTTCTGCTCACTGTCTCTATTATGCTTTTCTTGTACTTTCTTCTCTTGCTTCGCGTGCTACACGGAGTGTGGCGACTTGAACTTCCGCACATTTGTGCAAAGTTCTATGTCGAAAACAGACAGACATTTCTATATAAAATGTGTCTACTTCAGTGGTTTAAGTAGGCTGACTGACCGTTTTCAACATAGTACTTAGCACAGATGCGCAACAGTCAGAATCGCCACACTTGACTTGGCACACAAATCAAGAGAAAAAAAGTAAATTGAGACAATAAACAGAGATATGAGGCAAAAAGAATAGTAATATCGAAGAACAATACAATTTTATTGGATATTATAAGTCACAAGGAATGGATGCATCTGTGCCATTCACTGAAAATGATTTTGAACCATTTGACCAATTGTCTCCAGCCATTGGTTTTTACTATCCCGTGGACCCCAACTACACAGCCAGTCTACACTTCCTTAAGTGGCTAGATTAAACTAACTGTTGTGAATTTCATTGACTGATGGAGCCATATTTTGGCTTGATCACCGCTAGCTTTCTCTTTTGCAGCCTGATCCTGTCAATCAGCTAACAATGGCCCTCTGGGAGGCGGTGGCTAGGCATACGTAACACATGTACTAACCATCTCAGTCGATGTAATTTCACAGTTTCGTCGATTGATTTACTCTCCCACCTACCTAGCACTCGACGCTTTACTTCAATATTGGTCACCCTACTATAACACTTCACACGGGAGATAGAGCGCACCTATGATCAAAGACAGCTAATCTTTTCATGTCTTCCACTCTCAATGGCCATGTCTCACTCACAGTCATTAAGGAGGACGGAGCGGACTGCTGAGCAATACAGAGAAGAGAATGAAAGAAGTGTAGGTTGTTATTAGACCGTCAGTTATGTTACTTTCTGTGCCTCCATTACTTTTCCTCTTCCCTACTTAGAAGAGAAAAAGTGATCGACATTCAGAAAGTAAAATAACTGACGGTCTAATAACAACTTAAACTTTATTCTCTGCTTTCATCATATAACGATCTCTAAAGCTTAAAGTACCTGCTGTTGAAATAAAGACAAATAACAGTTGTAGACGTTAACTGATCAAATAAACACCACATATGTGAACAACAACAACAACGACAATGAACACTTACTTTAACTTTTTGACGTTTCCTAGATATCATTTGCTCCAGACAAAATGATTCAATATTACGTCCATCACGAAGTGTACTTGTTGAAGATGTACCTGCACCAGTCATATTGTCTATATCATTTTGTTGATGAATCAAAGCAATTAGTGTAGTTTGTCGATTGCCTTCTGAATGTCTAGATGAATATTTACTTGTACTAGTTGATGGATAACTAGGTAGTGTTAACTTTGAAGATGTTCCAACCCAACCGATAGTAGGAAAACCAAATTTTGTATGTTGTTGTTGCTGTTGTTGTTCTGTATTATGCATAGATGATGATACGTTGATATTGGACCCAACTTTATCTACAGTAATCAACAAACCAGTTACAAGAAAACAAGTGAATAGCGAGTGAAACAAAAATTTATTTAAATTAGCTGGTGAACCGACTAAAACCAGGGAGTACTGGCCAGCTGTTTAGCCCTATATCGAGACTCTTCAGCACCACCCATCAGGGATAAAACTCAGGACCTTTAGGTTACGAGGTGAGGTCATTGACCGTATCCATCTGTGATCCAACCTAAAAAGCCTATCAATTCCTTACAAACTGACACTTGAAGAATTTAGTCAATCGGTAGAAAGCTGTGGAGAAAAATCTTCAACACAAAATCTAAAAGCCTAAAACTGACAAGATAAACGTCTCGATCGATAAGTGTAGAGCTTGCTATTATTATTGTAACACAAACATGGTAAACACTTCTTACAAAATCTTAGTTAGTGGAGGACATGAGATCTCTAGACTGAAGCAGGAATTTTTCTAAAGGGGTGACGGTCCGAGCTTTTGACTTGAAGTCTGATCCACAAGGTTTTCAAGCTGCATCCTTATGGCTTCCGGTGACCGAAACAGGCTCATATGCCATTGGATGTACTCGGATTCTTGAGCCCATGTGCAACATTGTTTGGAATCAGGGTTTTCCAGCTTTCTTAGATAGGCCTGCATGTTCATCAGTCGATCCTGTTGTAAGCATCGAACGTGTGAATTCACCCTTCCCCTTTTGTGAGGAACATACCAGCTGAATGATGGTATGGGAGAGGACTTACCGAACAGAGGCTATGAACTCCTGGTTACATGAGAGCATTCCGAGAGGAAGACGGAGGTTTGCCAATCCTCAGTCGTATCAGGTCGTTTATGGGGTGAAGCTTGTCCCTAAAAAGGCTCCAAATATATGTGCCGTTGCACTGATGGCGTTTGATTAAATCGCCTGGTTTATTATACAGAGGTTAGTTGTATATTCTTGGACAGGACGGATAGCTTATTTATTCAACTTACCAACATTAACCATATGAAGTAACTGATGCATGTGGTCTGCCTTTTTAGGTAGTTTCGTTTGTCTTTCTGTCGTAAAGTACCGTAGCAACACTAAAGCGGAAGTTACCTGCGTTTAAATAACATGGCTCATGGATAATATAAGAAGCTTTGAGAAAGTTGTTCAAATCAATTTACTACATATGTGGTGGTGTGATACAGACAATGTGTTCCAACAAAAAATATTATTTGCACAGTTCAATACTGCATTAGTAACAGAATAATATATGTAATTGAACTATGATGAAACAGGTGAACAGTACTCCCTTGGTTTCAGTGCATCACTAATTGATATCGATCCGTAATCAAACTTGAAACGAATCAAATTCCTACAAATTAACACTTGAATAGGTATGCAGTTGTAATACCTGCATTAACCGCTAAACTGAAGCATGGAATAAAGTGGTAGTATTGAAATCCTGTGTGATTAAATGAAGAAACATGAATCTCAAGATCTACATCGGAGAAGTTGATTTAATTAGGCACAGTCAACATTATTTGAAGTTGTGACTGGGTGATTAGGGGGATAGATGTTCAGCCACCAGTTCAGGGATTCGAAAGTTATTCCATCTATTTAGGTTTAAGAGAGATTAACAATTTTCACGAAAATCTATTTAAACCAGACACATTGTCACTATTTTTAATGAGGAAGAAACATGATTTATCGAATATTTATTTGAAAAAGAACCAATTATCATACCTCCACTTGATTCATCACCTGTACAGCAGTATAGACGAAGAAAGCGTGACCAACAATCACGTATACGCAGAAGAATGCCAACAAGTGATAATTCACCTCCGCATACACGTATATAGTCTTCATTATCACCAGCAAAACTAGTAATTAATGGACTAACATAAATAGGATAACCAATAGGCGGATCACAGCTAGAGTTAACTAAATTACGTAGAACTGGATTAGCACTTTGTATACTTCCACGTTCTTCATTATTATTTCGTAAAAATATCTGTTCACGTTGTTGACCAGCCCACAAACCACGAACACATTCAGGATTCAACTAGCGGCATTCAAATGTAAATAAAGAAAAAGAAAGCAATGAAGAATGAATTGGAAACATAGACAAGGCTAGGGGTGACGTTTTACGAATACTTCCATACACGTCAATAAAATAAACTTCAACCAATACCGATCTGTCAGCTAAAAGCTTGCAAACCGTGAACAGTGAAACAGTACCATACGACTATGGACTAAAGAAGCAAAAGATGGGTTAACTTCATGTTACGTAATTAGAAGTAATCAGGAGAAAACCCTACGAACAGTGATTTGAAGCACATTAGCAAGGTACACATGTATGCTCAAAGGAGCAAGTGCCTTCGAGAAGTGCGGAACCACAGCAGCTGTCGACGCTAACATTGGTCGTTTCACACCTTAACTGATATTTTCAAAAGCTACAATAGAAACATTACTCATATTCTACGGTTTTTGATGCCATTCAGTAATCTTAATCAAAAGTACGCTACGATAGTAAGACACCACTCGCTTCCTGTAACCATACTGCAAGTCTCAGAAATGGAATCCAGTTAGCACTATAGGGTAAGAAAGGGAAAAAAATATGGCTAAACAAATTTCAACTTTATTTTTATTGATTACTGAACTGTTTATCCTCCACCACGAGCTGTCAGTCATACAAAAGTATTTTTAAACTATGCAATAATTGAATCGATAATAACTTTCAATCACTACAGAAGGACATTAACCACTTATCTTTATCATTTACTATTAACTGACAGTTAAACAGTGATAATACAGATCAACATTAGTGTTAAGATCATCGCTCAAAACTGGTACAAAAGTCCTTCCGTTGTAGTCTTTCATTAGTACTACTTTGGAAAGATGGATAATAGAGAAGGCAACAATTATTACTTATGTTTGTTCAACCTTCCTAAAATACATGGTTGAATGGCATGTAATTGAAGATAAATTAAACAGATGATTCAAATCTACGATGTACACAACTGACTAATGTAGGTAGTGGGAAAAAGCCCACCCTCACGTACGCACACCAAAAGTGCTGTCCGTTAGTCAGTTCTTATTGCCGAGAATAATACTGGATTTAAGTTTGGTATTGCTATTATTTATCTTTCGAATAATATTCCCACACTACGAAAGATAAAGAAGACTGACGTACCAAAGCAAAGATTTGGAAATTACAAATAATTATACGGATATCTTACTTACCTAACCAATAAATTATTAGTTAGAGCCATAAAAAAATCTAGGCTCTGACTGGATAGCATGCACCAATATAAATCTAAAGATGTGACCTTTAACCTACATTAGGGTCAAAAACCTGATTTCAAGATCATGAAGACAACAACTAACAATGTCTCCCCTTGACTCAAAACATCTTTTTTTACAAATAAGTTTCCGATTGGGGATCACTTGAAGATACCTGATAGGTTGTCGCACTCTCTGAAAACTTCGTAGTATCCCTGACTGTAATTTCAAATTCACTGATACCTAGGTAACTTCTCTACACTTGCTACAACTGCATAGAACACCGATCATATTATTTACACAGCCGTCAACGGGTGTTTGAGAATACGTACATACTTGTGAACAAACTAAATTTAAGCGTCTTTACCCATAGGAATAGTTAATCAATCCAGTCAATATATAAAATGTCAAGATAATCAGGTTACACAACCCTTTATGATTCTTTGATATGAATCTAAGGTCACAAGTAATTTCATCAATTTGTTTTAAAATATCTCCATAAGCATTTTTAGCAACATGGTATATTACCGAAACTGGTGGGCAACCAATCCAAAGTCAAGTTGTTTTTGGGAGGCAAGCGGGAAATAGCATTATGTCTGAGGCATTGTCCACTTGAAGGACACCTCAACATATCTCTGTTTATTCAAGACTTTTACACTAAAAACATTGAAAAGTTATTTGTCTTGTTTTCTGAATGTGGATATCGAACTATGAGTGGGTAGATTTGAAGGAATACTGTCAAGGTTCAGCTTGTAAACGCTTTTTACCATGCCTATATTTAAGGTATGTTCTGTAATAACACCAGCTCGAAATAATCTATACATCTTATCACAGTTTCTTTTGTTTGAAGTCGAACTGATAGACTATGTATCATAAGTGATTCAGTTGGAAAATTCAAATCATTTAGCTATGTTATTTCACGGAATATACACAGTTTACTTGCTCTTGTGGAGCTGAGTACATCGGCCGTACCACGCGCCGACTTGAAAAACGCGCTCGTGAACACTACCGAGCCTGGATAGTAAAAGGAGACCAAAGGCGTGTATACAGTCCAGTGACAGAACATCTAGTCAATTCAGAGCACTTAGCGCCATTCGAAAAATCCTTCAAACTACTATATAAGATTCAATCAAACCTATCAAAGGGAGTGAAATCAAGATATCTGGGCATAGCTGAGGCGCTAGCTATCCAAAAGCTAAAACCCATGCTTTGTATCCAAAAGAAATACGTCCAACTCCTGTCCCTGCCATGGCCATCATAAATAGGTAAATTTTCTTTTTAGTAATGACTATCCCACCGCCTTTCTTATCTAAACTTCCTGTTTATTCATGTTACTTTTTTAAGTTTTTCTTAATCCCTGTTTACACTACCATATTTTCATACCCGAACTTCGTGTTTATTTTGTAATTTTACCATTTCTACATATTTAATTTCTGATTGCATTAACAATTATTCATCACATTAGTTTTTTTTATCCAAACATCCTGTCTATTTTGTTATTCCTACATTTCTAACTCCAACTGCACAATATATCAATCTCCTTAGTTATTATGATGCTACCTTGTTTGAGTTTTATCCCTCCCTCTGTTTGTTATGGCATTCTTATTCCTAATTGTAATTTTTATTAATTTGACCCTTAACCGGAAATTATTCTGGAACTTTCCCATCTATTTGATATAAATACACGAATGTACAGTCTGGATGATGACTTCGTCGAAAAGAACATTTTCTTCGCTGCAATTGTCTTTTTAATAACTCCTATGTCATTTCGTAAGCAAATTTACCAATGATATTATTTGACACATGAGATTATCTAGGAAGTTCTTAGAATATTTAAAAGATCACGTTTGAACTAGAACATATGTCAATAACGACATAACAATCGTATTAAGTCCATTATGGATAAGATTTTATTTCGATAAATCACAGTGTTGTGCAGTTATACTAACTGATGACGTTTCGAGCACAAACTATTGCTCATAATCATATCAAGTGATATGATTTGATTATGAGCAATAGTTTGTGCTCGAAACGTCATCAGTTAGTATAACTGCACAACACTGTGATTTATCGAAATAAAATCTTATCCATAATGGACTTATACTCTACCACAGTGCCCAAGTTTTATACTTATATCAATAACAATCGTATTACCCTACCGTTTTCTGTTGTTCCGCATCAATTACCATGCATAGTATTCTGCGTATTAGACTTAATCTTCTGAAACCAGCAGGAGGCTCAGGATCTTTGCGATCTGGATATTTGACAACAGATATACAATTATCTCGATGTATTTATCTATTTGCGATAAAGGTATTTAACTCTCCATCCTAGTGTAGCTTTGGAGCAAAGGATTTGTTTTTGTTTTTACAATTATACCTCTACTCACCTACCTTATTTATCTATTCCCTATACATAGAGAGTAACATCTCACTATGAGAAATTCTTCTATACAATACATATGGATTTCAAAAAGTCAGGGTTATCATTCAGTATGAAAAAAATCTCATACAATTATAACAGATTGTGATATGAGGTGAAATCGCCTTAAAATAGGCGACAAACAGAGCTACCAATGACACACTATTAAAAAATGTAGTACTGTTGTCGATATGTGACAAGCAATATGTGACAATAATTAACCACGGTACTCAAATTTCACAGTCAATTTTTTCTAAACAATGTACTCCTTTTCCCGTCGATTGATTGGACCGAAATGTTTGGTCTCAGGTTGACATGTCGGCTCCTTGTGAAGCTGCTTTGATGATGTCTAATCATGTAACTGCAAGTCAATCGGTGGATGGTGACTAGCAGTGGAATCCAGGATGCGTATTTCGTCCTATTTGAGACTCGTCATCTGGATGTGCCTGCCTTCGCTAGTTAGTGAGTGAGGGTGTCCCCAAGTGGTCTAGAGGATGACGCTTTAGCGTCTGAAACTATGAACACTGGGTTCAAGCCTCGGTGGGGACGCTATCACTCACTGGGGAATGCAGGTACCCTCAGATGACGAGTCCCAAATAGGATAAAGTGCGCATCCTGGATTCCACTGCTAGTCACCATCCACCAATTGACTTCAAGTGTACCTCTGTAACGCAACATACCTAAATAACAACTAGCAATCACTATCAACGAGAGGAATCCGAAGGGTTACCTCTTTTGTTTATCCAGGCAGCACCATTTTCAGTTAGATGTAGCACAGATAAGGACGCAAATGTCAGGAATGCAAAAGCAAGACAGGGATCCGATGATCTAAAATTAATATAGAAATCTGCTAGACTAAACATACAAGACAAGACCCGAATTTTCAGTACTACTGTTAACCCAGTGCTTCGATACAGTTCGCAGACCTGTTGTATTACGAAAAGCATTTCTAACAGATCACTACAGATTTTCATCAACAGCTGCCTTCGCTTTATATTGAAGACCTAATGGCTAGTAAGCATTAGCAACAAGGGATTCTGGCGGGCTATGAAGAAACCGACAACCCTCGTCTCAACAAATAGGTCAAAGAAAATGGAGATGGATTGGACATAAGGTGAGAAAACCGCCGGACGACATCGCGCCAGGCACAACTTCCGAAGGTGACATGGAGATCATGCGATCAGGGGCTGAAAGCTTATGGGCACTTGTGGAACCAGCTAAAAAGTACTGCAGAAGGCATATGCTTTACTCAGAACACAAGAGAATAAATAATCATTAATATACTCATTTAACAACAATGGAGTACATTAGAGATAACTTTAGCAATAAATAATTCAGACTCACTTTTATAGCTCTAAATTCTAATCTTCTTTTAGTCAACTGTACAATACGATAAACATCCATTGATGTGCGACCAGACACCCAACGAAATGAGAATAAACAATCTGCATCATTTAGTACAGCGAATCGCCATTTTGGATCTGTTTCTTGACAAATTACAACATTTCTCTCTGTATATACAATTTTTCTGTACAATTCATGATGTGCATTTCCTGAAGACCATGTGAAAGTGTCCTATGACAAAATAAATTATATATAGACCACTGAAATAATATACCTTAGTTATGCTTAATTTTCAGGCTCGATATTACTTACCATTGAAATTTTGATTAACTCATCCTGACACCATTGTATAGTGAATGATACCATTTAAACATAAGTGAACGTAAATACTGGACTGTGACTACTACTTATAGAAATACACCTATGAGAAATAACTTATGTCAGAATACACTTAAAAATGAATGGTAACATGCTTAACTATGTATAGGGACTACACACATTTCCTCAGAGTACCCAACTTTTAATTCCTTGATTACAGGATAGAAGTTTGTATTATGTATGGAGATTAAGCTCCGTACACCACAAGTATGGTTCGCTGTCATTTATCATTTTGAAAAGAGAAGCGGTAGTACTCACTGTTGACAGTTTATTCATAACCGATTATTAAGTTTGATAATGACTCTCTAAAATAAAATCACATTCCTTTTTGTCCCTCAAAATGTCTTTATTTTATTCACTATTGGTATCTCCAATAAAAATTGAGATTTTCAGGAATTCATCATGAGCTGACATCAGTTAGAGAACCATGGGAAAACCTGGGAGTACTGGACAGCTGTTTCGTCCTAGTTTGGGACTCTTCAACAGTACGCACCCACCGGGATTCGAACCCAGGACCTTCCGGTTACAAGGCGAGCTCGTATACCATTAAGTCACTGGGACCCGATCCAATGATCCTTGAATTCTAACTTCTGCCAATTCACGACATAGCACGACCGCTAGCCAATGTCTTCGGCGAGTATTTGTCCCCACACCCGACCTGCTGCACCCTTCTGGTCACGACTTCCCACTGGAACCCAGGTAACTACCTACCTGAATAGGGCCAGTCGCCAGTGAGCATCTCATTGGTATTCAAGTGATGGTTTGTAGGGATTTGATTGGTTTCAGGATTTCATCATGAGCTGACATTAGTTAAAGAACCACTGGAAAACCAGCTGGGAGTACTGGACAGCTGTTTCGTCCTAGTTTGGGACTCTTCAGCAGTACGCACTCACCGGGATTCGAACCCAGGACCTTCCGGTTGTGAGGACAAATACTCGCCGAAGACATTGGCTAGCGGTTGCGCTATGTCGTGAATTAGCCGAAGTTAGAATTCAAGGACCATTGGATCGGGTCCCAGTGGCTCAATAGTCTACGAGCTCGATGGCCTTGTACCCAGAAGGTCCCGGGGTTCGAACCCCCATGGGTGCGTACTGCTGAAGAGTCCTAAACTAGGCTGACGAAACAGCTTTTCAGTACTCCCAGGTTTTCCAATGGTTCTCTAACTAATGTCAGCTCATGATGAAATCCTGAAACCAATCAAATCCCTTCAAACCATCACTTGAAAATTGACATTATTTACTGCCCTTAAAATCTATTATTATAATTCCCTTGGGTTCCGAGTGGAACATAGGACTTTAACAATACATCACTATTTGACACTGTTCTCTACTGGTTCCATGATTAGTCTAAAGGCTTTTATCTTCTCCTCACACGATTTCTACCATTTCACTTTCGAACCCATGCCTGATTCGTAGCCTCTCATTCATTCATCCCCCTTGACAGTTTGGCGAGCAGTGCCACTCAATGGCTTTCTCAACCTATGTTTATCCCATCTTCATTCTCTTCTACACACCTGATAACTAACAGATTCTAGGTTGGTTCACTGTACTGCCAGAGTTCCTCGCTGTTTATTCTTTCTGACCATCTGATGTTCAATATGACGCGAAGGTGCCTGTTGGCGAAACTCTCCAGTGGCCTTCTGGAAATGCTTTTGGTGGTGCGCGCTTCAAGTCTCTTATCCATATAGAAGCAGCGATTTGACAGTAGTGTTGAACATTTGGATAATGTTCCTCGTTGAATGTAGTCGATTTCCACACTGATTTAAAAGTGATGAAAGTCTGTCTTGACACTCGCAACAGCCTATCATAACTTCATCTGACTGTTTACTTTTCACAGCCTTTATCTACTAAGTCTATGCGTCAGTGGTACAGCGGTTAGAACGCTCTCCGACCATGCACATGGTCCGGGGTTCGATCCAAAGCCGACGAACCCCTAATAACAATGATCGACCTGCTAGATTTGGGCTACCGACAGCACATGCTGAAAATTCTATACTTGTACCGAAAATACTGCGTGGAATCAAGCTATAGTAAAATGTTTTATAAGCATTCGTCAGTACAATTTCGCCACTTTTCACGATCCTTGTTATCAGGCATCCCTCTATTTATTATCGATAAAATTATTATTACTATTATTATGAAGAATTGAATAATTTATATGCACAAACTTATCGTCCTATTGACAAATCACCATAATCTGTTTGTAATTTTAATATTAACTTGTAAAGTTATGCATAACAGAGTAAAGTCAGATAAGATCTAATTGAAAACAATACTGTTCGTTCATATATGTGCTTCCCAAGATTTTACGAGGGATTTTTTAATAAATAGTTCATTATTATTATTTCCTTTAATTCCTAGAGGAACACAGGGCTTCAGCCGCGCGTTTCCATTGCGTTCGGTTCTCTGCTAGAGTTTTCACCTGGCTCCAAGTCTGCCCACATCCTTTCACCTCCTCTTCATATGACATCCTCCATGTCATCCCACCCTCTCAATGACGATCAACTCGCCGCTTCCCTTTCGGGTTCCACTCGAGGGATGGCTTGTCTAGTGATGTCACTTGATGGTTTCCTCAGAGTAAGGCCAATCCACCTCCATTTCTTCCTGCTTATTTGTTGCACAATCGGTTCCTGGTTGGTTCGCTCATTGCCAGAGATCCCTGTTGCTGATCTTTTCTGACCATTTGATCTTGAGTAGTATTGAGCGAAGACAACTATTAATGAAGGTCTGAAGTTTGTTTGAGGTGCTCTTTATGACGCGCCAAGTCTCTGATCCGTATAGTAAAAAGCACTGACTTTACATTGGAGTTGAAAATCCGGATGTTATTTTTGATGCTGAGTGCTGTTGATCTCCACACAGATTTGAGAGTGACGAAAGCTTGTCTTGCTTTTCCGATTCTTGCTTTGATATCCTCGTCAGTTCCGCCTGTAGTTGAAACGATGTTTCCCAGGTCGGTCGGTAGGTAAAGGAGGTTGTTTCTTTCAGGTTCCTCCCATTTATGCTGACTGTCGTCTGTTGTTGTTAGTGGTGTTGGCCAAGAATCTTCATCACCTCTGTTTTCTCTATGTTCACCTGAAGTCCCATCTTTGATGCTTAAATAGTTCATAAAAATAGTAATTCTTTCAATAACCTTTTCTAATCTGATATAGTAAGTGTTCATCGTGAAGTAATTTGGAAACTACTTCAATACAACAGAGTGTCGTACCCCAAATCGTATCAACCTTATTCGAGATCTACATAACAATGCCACAGGCCCAGTAATCCACAACAGAAAACTCAGCGAAACCTCTGAAATGAAGACTGGAGTAAAACAAGGTTACCAGCTAACACCGATGATATTCCTAACTGTGGTGGACTACATTAAGCGGGAAACAAAATGGAGCGAGAGGGCACGAATAAGTTGAACTGACAAGAAGACTCCAGAAGATCTGGAATTCTCAAACGATTTATGTTGAATGTCACATAACCTAGAAGATTTACAGTCAAAAACCGACAAGCTGGTAAAAGGAGCCGCAAAAGCAAGACTTCAGGTGAAGATAGAGAAAACGAAGGTGATGAAGATACCAACAATCAGCACTAAACACTATCGACAGAATACATTTGAGAAAGGTTACTTCATTTATTCAGGAAGCATCGTTTTAGCGACAAGCACTACCACGGATGAAGATGGCAAAGCCAGAATCGGAAAAGCAAGACATAATTTCATTCGGAAAACAGTTTGCAAATCTTCTACAATCTACATAAGGAACAAAATTTAGATTTTCGACACAAATCTTAAGTCAGCTCACTGAAAACTGTTATCAACAGCTGACTTCGTTGGCTCAATAATGAAGATCAGTGGCCGTTCAGAAAGGATTAGCAACAAGAAACTCTGGGAACAAACGAACTAAGAACTTATTTCTCAACAAATATGTAGAAGAAAGTAGATATGGATCGGACACACTGAAGATACCCGTCGGATGACACCGCACACTAGGCCATCGGTCGAGTGGAACCCGAACAAAGGACGACGGGGTTGGGCTTCTGAGAGTGACACGAAGGAGATGACAGCCTATGGACAGTCGTGGGCTCAGCTAAGAAGGGCAGCAGAGAACAGGAAAAAGTGGAGACGTTCTGTTAAGGTTATATATTCCCCTCGGAAACCAAGGGAATAACAATCATCTGCTACTGTTGCAAAAAATTCAAGTCTACAATCATGAGAATAATCAAAATGTGAATTCCGAATTGTAAACAGGTCACTGCTGTATACATGGAATGTTTTGTGATGTATATATACAATATTCCATTCATAATGTATGTATTCATGTCACAAGTGATCGTCATAATATTAGGATAAACTATGAAACACGATTGATTTATGCATCCTTTAGTTGTACTCGTTGAAAATAAATAGTAACTCTTTGTAACATTTTCTCTTTAGAATTCAGCAAAATTTATCTATTGTGTATGAAATAAATCACAAGTTAAACATTCCGCGATTATAACCCTAACTATTAAACAAAACTTCAACTGTCCAACAGTAATATCAAACAGTGTTTCAAGTAAAAACCAATGAGTCGTTGGCAAAATGGTAGATTGTGATCTCTGATATGAAAAATGTCAAGGAGTAACAATATGTGACATTAAAAGTCACCAAAGTTTAGCTTTTTGTTTCAAGAAATTAGGATAAAGAAATTTAAATATAAGATAAACATTTCTCCGGTTTGTGGAAGGGTCATGATTTCTTAATACGGTGGATAATATTGCTTATTGGTAATTTATGAACCCAAAAAAATTAGTGGCAATGTCTGCGACTGCAACAATGAGTGACGCATGTGTTCACCCCTCAGAGAGGGAGTTACTTTCTTCAACTTACAAGAACCCAACGCTTACAGGAACTAATAAGTATAAAACCTAGGTCTAAGGTATCATATCGGTTGCGACCAACTATCTTGCATCAATAGCATCATTTTTATTCAAAAAAAATTCAACAATAACGACAGACACACACACACACACACCGCTCACTGAAATATTATGACGACAAGTAGGGGTAAGACCACCAATAAAAAACAAACTTACTTGATAGAGTTTTAATGCAATACGTACACTCGGAGTAACAACAGTTTGAAGAAGATCAAGATCAGTTAGAACCCAATCATCTCTTGGGGCTAAATTAATATCTCCAGAGAATACTTGATGGACTCCATGTAAAAATTGATCTAGTCTAAAGCAGATGAATAGTTATAAATAGAAACAAGTATCAAACATTAAGAAAAAAATGAAGTGAAACAATGATGCTAATACATATGAAACATTGTATTGTGGTAGTGTTTAATTCCACATTAATTTGTTTATTAGATAGACATACCACACAATCGAACAGTAAAATTTACTGAATGGCGTTTCGAACAAAATTTATTGTTCATAATCATGCCAACAATTATAATCACACGACTTCGAAACTTGAGTTTTATAGTTTTCTTTGTTCCCTCCTATTTGTCGTCGTTCGGGTAGTGGAATTTTCCAGATATCTGCGACAGGTGTTAAGTCATTCCTAATTCACGTGTTTGCAGTTGACTCGACAAACAAAGCTTCCGTTATGAATCCCTCCCTCCACCCTGTGACATTAAATTTTAGAACTACCACCTGATCCAATCCTGTTGTGTGGTTGTGTGTAACTGTATGCAGTGAGTGGTAGAGCCGAGCTAACCTTCAGATTTCTTATCTCATCAGGGTCAACTAATCCAGATTTTAAATATAAGTATAAAACTTAGGCACTGTGGTAGAGTATAACTCCATTATGGATGAGATTTTATTTTTGATAAATCACACATTGTGGCGTAATATTTATTGATCACGTTTCGAGCACAAATTATCGCTCATGAGCAATTTCATCTATAATGTCGTTATAATCTAGCGGTTAAGATTCCTGGCCCTCACCCAGGCGGCCCGGGTTCGACTCCCGGCGCGGGAGCGCTTTGTGCGTCGGTGGTATAGCGGTAGGGACGCTCGCCGACCATGCATATGGTCCGGGGTTCGACCCCGGGCAGGCGCACTCCTTTACCTCACTGAGCTAGAAGTAATGCTGGTAAAGAGGAAAGGTTGGGCATGAGGCTAGCAACCCCATCCTGTAAAAATTAAACACTGCTACAGAAACTTCAAGCCACTAGCTTGGAGCCCTATGTTCCACTGGGAACGTGAAGGAGAAATTATTATTATTATTATTAATACTCCGTTAGTTTGATTGACCCTGTTCTGCTATTTTGACCTGACAATCATTGCAGGGTATTAGAAAGGCTAAATTGTTTTGTTTAATTGGGTCCACAGGATCCTGTAACTGACAAAAGTTGTTTCTAATTAAGTTTGCAGGCTTGAATACCACTTTTATTCCTGAATTGTTAAGAAATTCACGTAAAGCTTCACTGGTCCCTTTTTTGTATGGAAGTAGTACGGATAATTTAAACTCTTTATTGTTGGTGTTGTCATCATTCTGTGCAGGTTTTTCATACATGTCATTACGATAACAATTATTATTACTACCATTATTATTAATGACATTTTTGCATTTCGCTGAATATTTCCTGATTAATTTATCAGGGAAATTGTTAAGTTTTAAAACCCCTCTTATATGCCTCACTATTCAGTTTTTCTGCCGCCGTATTACCTAAACATTTCAACAATCCTATTTTTTTCAGGATTTCATCATGAGCTGACATTAGTTAGAGAACCATTGGAAAACCAGCTGGGAGTACTGGACAGCTGTTTCGTCAGCCTAGTTTGGGACTCTTCATCAGTACGCACCCACCGGGATTCGAACCCAGGACCTTCCGGTTGCAAGGCGAGCTCGTATACCATCCCAGGTTTTCCAATGGTTCTCTAACTAATGTCAGCTCATGATGAAATCCTGAAACCAATCAAATCCCTACAAACCAACACTTGAAAATCCTACTTTTAATGAAATAGAGTGCAATAATCCGAAATCCAAATATCAGTTTGATTTTGTGGGTTTTCTGTAAACACTTGTGTTTAACTCCGCATCTCACTTTTTTATGCTACAGTCTAACATTGGAAGCTTCCTTACTGACTTTCTAATTCATAAGTAAAATGAATTGCCTCTACTTTGGAGTCTATGTATTCAAAAAATCTATTTATGTCCTGCGTTTGAGGTATGGTGAATGCGTCATCTATATACCTCCACCATACTTTCGAGGTGGAGTTGAACGTTTCAACCACTGATCTCCCCCACCTGTCCATCAATATATCTGCTACTATGGAGGATATTGGTGACCTCATAGCAACTCTCTCAGGTTTTTGTATATTTCCCCTTGGAATTTAAATATTCGACAAGTCAGGCCTATGTGCATTCCTAGGAATACGTCTTCTACAGTGGCACTTTTGTTCTAAGTTCAAGTTCTTGGTCAGGAATGTGTTTTTTTCTGATCGCTTCTATAGCCATATTTGTCGATATTTGTGTGAATAAGCTGACAATGTAGAAACTAACCATTTTTTTTAATCAGTATAATTTTAAATTATCGAACCTATGTTTTTAGTTTCTAAGATTTTGTTAAGTCTAAATTTTAAAGTGGCATCTAAATAGATTTATTACCATAGTTAAATATTTAAACAATTCATAAGTAGGTGGATTTCTAAAATCAACTATTGGTCTATCTAACAGGATATCCTGACTTATGAACTACTGGGGTTTTTTTTTTTAAGATTTACAGCTTGATTCCACACTGTATTTTTGGTACAAGTATGGAATTTTCAGCATGGATATCGGTAGCCCAAATTTCGCAGGCCGACCATAGATATCAGGTGTGCGCCGGCGTGGGCTCGAACCCCGGACCATGTGCATGGTCGGCGAAAGTCCTAACCACTGTGCCACCGACGCATCAAATTAAACCATTTACACAATGATGTACTTTAAATTAATGCAATCAGTCGAATTTAAACTTCTCTCTTAAGATTTGAAGGAAAAAAACTACTACACCAACTGTTCGACGATATATATATTGAACTAAAGTAGAATTTAAGCAGAATTCAACTTAAAGGTTTGAAAATAAAGTCATGCAGATTTATACACTCAATTAAATAACCCGCATTTTTTATGTCTACATGTTTACAGAATCACCAAATTATTCATTGTTGATGTAAAGTGATATGAATATATGATATACGAATTAAGAACTGTTTATGACATTTAAACATATAGCAAAACAGAATAATAATAATAACAATATCTTTGTACGTATGACGTGAATAAACATCAAAACGTACCTTAATCAAAACTCGTGATTAAGGCAGAATTGTTAACATCTGCTTATTGAATGAATAACAAGTGGCCAGTGACGATAAAACTCATTGCCACTGTATTAGTTGTCGAATTCATATTGAACAATACATTTTTTTTGAATTCTCATAAAACTCAACATGAAGACAGATAAGTTGGAGGATTTCATCATGAGCTGACATCAGTTAGAGAACCACTGGAAGACATGGGAGCACCGAGCAACTCTATCGCCCTAGTTCGGGGCTCTTCACCAGTACTCACCCACCGGTTGAAGATGAGGCAGTAACTCATCGAAGAAGACACTGCGAAGTGGTCGCACTATATCGTGAATTGGCAGAAGTTAGAACTCATGGGCCATTGGATCCAGTTCCAGTGACTTAATGATCTACGAACTCGGCCGCCTAGTAGCCGAAGGTCCTGGGTTCAAACGCACTAATGTGGGTGAGTATTGTTGAAGAGTCCAAAACTACGACGAAACAACTGTCCACTACTCCCAGGTTTTCCAATGGTTCTCTAACCGATGTCAGCTCAACCAATCAAACAAAATCCCTACAAAACCAATACCTGAAAATTAAGATAGATAAACTTACCATGTCCGTTAGAGGTAGACGAAAACCAGGGAATACTGGACAGCTGTTTCATCCTAGTATGAAAATCTTCATAGTGCATAACCAGGATCCAACCAATGATCGAATTCGGAACTTTCAGGTTACGAGACCAGGTCACTTAAACTGGACTCCAATGACCCATGCATTTTAAGCATGTCGACTGGTCTTGTAATCTGGAGTTCGTGGGTGCGCAATGCTAATAAGTACCAAGCTAAGAAGAAGCAGCTGTCCATTGTTCCCTAGATTTTAGGGAGTCTCTAACTAATGTTGGTTCTTGACGAAATCCAACAACTGAAATTAATTAAAATCGATGCAAATCATATAATTTAAATATCCAAAATGACTTTAAATCAATCCTTGCACTCAAAACAAGGTTATATGAAAACCCAGAGAAGTAATAAAGTACCCAAAAATTATGGATACCGACAGAATGAAAACATTCACATAAATATATGAATCAAGACATTAAATTATTTTTACTTGGTGATATCGTCATAGTCTTTCCAGTTGATTATCTTTCTGTAGAGGTTAGGGTGAACTATACTTGTTGTCAGTGAGTTCTGTGTTAGTCTATGCACCTATTTGTTGATTAAACTGTGCAATTAGAAAAGTGTATTTTCATATACATCATATATATAAATGTAAGCGTTTAATATAATACTTACATATGTTTTGAGGATTGATGACCTCCCATACATCGTCTACCCAAAAGGCTTAATGCTAAGCATAATGATACAACTGCAGATTCCGGACCACATGGTATAGACTAAAAAGCAAATAATTGTGTAATCATGTTAACATGAGTGTAAAGAATGCAAACGGAAAGATGAACCCTGCAACTTAAGTTGTATTAAAATTACACACGAAAATAAGTTGTTTTCAAGTGTTCGTTTGCAGATACTGGATTGGCTGAAGGTTTGATCACGAGTGGAGGCCATCGGACAGTGGTGGAGCCATATATCACGAACTGGCAGAAGCTGGAATGCATGGGCCATTCGATCTGGCTCCAGTAGCTAAATCATCTACCAGCTCGTCTTGTAACCGAAAGGTTCAGTGTTTGGAAAATGTGAAGGGTGAGTACGGCTAAAAAATTCCAAACTTGAATGAAACATAACTTCATTATGCATAATATTTTATTTTGATAAAATTACACAGTATTATTATACAGTAATATTTACTGATGACCACGTTTCGAGAACAACTTATTTCTGCTCATAATCATATCAAAGTGCTCACTCACACACAACTTTCTTGCTTCATTTATATGCATGAGTAAAAATCGATTAACATTTGAATAAAATCAATATACGATAAAGTACAATGGGAAATAATATTATTATAATATTATATTTATTTATTATCATTATAATTATATAATATTATTATTATACTATCAATAAAATATAATAAGATGCGAAATAAGATGTTTTTATAGTAAAATAAATAAGTAATTTGTTAGAATGTTATAATGTGAAGTGAAACACATTCTAACATTATTTAATATCCTCCACTGATTTGACTGGTAATAGTATCTTCCATGTCTCTGGCATTTGCGTTGAGTCACTTATATTGCATGTGTTGGGTGTAGACTCGATGAACCAGGATTTACTAATCAAACTCTCTCTCTCTCCCACCTACCTATATTACTTCTTAGAATTTTGACTCCGTCCCACCCACCCTATTGTGTGGTTGTGTATTAATGCATGCAGTAGTATGGCTGAGTGTTTTCTGAATTACTTATCTTCTTGGAATCTACTAGTTTGACGTGTGTAGTTGACTTAACTCCCAGTCATTGTAATGTAATTTATAAATTATATAGTTTTGTTTAATTGAGTCCACGAGGTCCTTTAGCCTACAGAGCCTATATCTCTGAGTGAGTTTGTAGGTTTGATTTTACTTAAATGTCTAATCAACTTTTACTTATGTATATAAATGAAGCAAGAAAGTTATGTGAATGACTTGGTGTGATTGTGAGCAGTAGTAAGTTGTGCTCGAAACGTGATCATCAGTAAATATTACTGTACAACAATGTGTGATTTTATCAGAATAAAATTTTATCCATAATAGAGTTATACTCAACTACAGTGCCCAAATTTTATCCTTATATCTCGAATGAAACATCTGTCTAATACTACCTAGTTTCTCGATAGTTCTCCAGCTGATGTCAGCTAGTAAAAAAGCATAACGTCTCTTCTACATGGGTAGGGAAAACTTTGAAATATATTTCAATCGGCCAAAATTAATATAACTTTGAAAAGGCCCCACTAAAATACTTAAAACACAAACAATTTAGGTAAAATGAAAGCATATAATCAGAAATCCGCGATTCTTCCTTAGACTTTCTGATGACGGAATTATTGTCAATGTGTTATAATGACCGCGTGGTAGTATAAATCAATGCAGATTATGTAAATAATGCTCGCTCCGAATTCCAGGAAAGGGAAACACGCACACTTGCAAGACTGACAAAAATCCATCTGCACTCAACTCCCAATGTAAACATTTGAAGTAAGACGTCGGATTTTTACCCTACATGTTTGAAACTTATTCATTCAAAGCTGTGCATTATCCATGAATGAAGTATGAGTAATATTTGTATCCCATGGCAACACGAAGTAGTAAGTAAAGATAAGGTTGAAATATAAAATTATTGCAGATATTTTATAAAATTTGCTCTGACTGTTACGAACCAACCGTTTGAACATATACCAATGCAAAATAATACGCAGAATCGAATGATAAGATTTTGTACTATAAAGAAACGCTAATCAATTAAAGGAGACATAGACACTGTTCTCATTGTTTTACTACTTCATCAGTTACATGGTAAACATGACATGAAAAGTATATGGTGGTAATTTTGTGCATCCTGTTTGAGCCAAACATCTTGACTGTCTGACTCTCACTGGCTAGAGTAAACCTGGGGCAAGACCAAAAGTTACAAGGGAATATTGGTACCGCTAATCAAATTTGCAGTCTACAGATTACACAGTTCAAGGTGGTGGAATTTCACCACAGATTCTCTTGGAAACAGAAATTATTCAGATCAAAATATTTGATCTGCTTGATAGCATAAATGGAAATCACGAAAGTAAGCATAAATGCATGATGCTATAATACTATTGATTGACGGCCATTTCCCTGGTTTGCAGCAGCCAGCTGATTAGCGGTCTCCAACCAGTTTGACTCAGCTCAGAGAGCCAAATCAGTTCAAACCACCTAACTTCTGACTAGCTACCTGGGTGGACAGATAATAACCTAAGTGAAAATCACAATTAGCGATCAGTACTATATAAAGACTGGTGACAACTGGCTAATAAAAACAACGTCAACTATAAATACATCAACAAAGGTTTTATGTAGAGCGATACAACATTACCGAGGTATACAATCACAAACACGAATGCTCAATAATGATAATAATAACAATAATACTGATTTTACTTACTGAATTTTCACTATTCTTCTTTAAACAGTATGCAATCCAATCAGAATAGATATGAACAAAACGTTGCCTAGTAACACCATTCACATCTTCATCAAAATCATCATCGATCATTTTAAAAAATACTGGATCCAAATCAAAATAATCTGGTGATGAAAATCGATTTGCCTCAAGGCATGCAGATAATTGTGTTAAACGATTAGACAGATTTGGTAGTTTACAGACAAAGTAAATAACACACTGTGGAAGGGAAAAAGATTTTGAAACAGATGTGTACACATATAAGCAATGCGAATTACTAATGTTTAAATTAAGAGCTCAAGTGAGATAAATGTGTGCTGTGAAGAGTCCCAGACTAGGACGAAACAGCTGTCCAGTACTTTCAGGTTTTCCAATGGTTATCTAACTGATGTCAGCTCATGGTGAAATCCTTCAACCAATCAAAGAAAATTCCCTACAAAACCAATACTTGAAAATGATACAAAGTTTAATCGAAAATCACACCCTTCTTACATCGAGGGACACCAGATTATGTAAACAGTTTCCAACTAATTAAATCAATTTGTAGTACATACACACATAAATCATCAATAATATAACTGAGTCAAAAAGGACGAAAGTACAAACGACAGTAAATGCAATGAAACACCTTAACTGACTTAAAACTATCCTTTTGTACCTTTTACTCCACTAAACCACGAAAATATTAATAGGAGTTCATGGCTTTAAGGATAACTCCTCATCTGATACTTTCCGTACTTCAATTTACACTAGCTTAATAATACAGTCGCTCATTTTTATACGTCAAACAACCGACTGTGACGATTTGCCAAAGATTAGTAAAGAAATCCCGACAAATCGTGGCATCGCACAAGTATCAACAAAATGTACACTTGAATCTATAAGGATGATGAATGGAGTTGAAACAAGAAATGGCATTGTGGAATGTGAATAAGTGGAACCCAGCTTAGCAAACAGACATTCTGTCAGCAGTGGGCTCCAGGTCTTCTAACTGTCATATTCTAATTCAAGAAACCGACAGTTTCGCCTCACGGGAAATTAATACAATGACGCCATTAGTATGAATGTGACCACTTCTTCACAATCCCGCTCCACCAAACGCTTCACTTCCAAATAACCTTACTAACATAAAAGCTTCATTTCTATTTCCCAACTTACGTGAACAAAGCGACTGATCAGCACTTTCCTCAGATCTGTCAATTGGAAAGTAAATCCAGCACTATGATCAGTAACTTCATATCCTTCAATAATGTAAGGAGAATACGCGAATTGCCAAGCCATACAACGTAAGCGGACAGCAGCATTAAAACTTAATATCCCACGAGGCGGTTTTGAATGACAACAACAGAAACGTTTATTTTTATGCGGATCAGAGCGTAGAGTTTCTGATTCACTAGCATGACATAAAGTTCCTGAGAGTAAATAAATGAGAACATTAAATGTGAATTAGTCAGCGAACATACATGTTGGGATTATTATTATTACTATTAATTAATATAATTAAATCGATAAGCAAATAACTTCCCTTTCAACATGTTTTTCATAACTGAACCAGAATAAGTGAAAAAAGTCTTCCGAATTGAATTAAAATAAAAGCGGGAATAATGATATTCAACGATTTATTTCACGACATTATCGACGAATGTCCACCAAGTGTAAAAAAGCATCTTCTTAAAGTGAACAATATTCTACGATACTTAGAAAATCAACAAGGATTTCACTCATTCTATAATCTTTATTACCTAATAAATCATATCGGTTTCTATTAGTAGACAGTCCCCGCTTCAACAGTACATTAGCCTCTGATCCCTCCGTTTTCTGCAGGCCTCTTTACCTGGCCCCATGATTGTTCATAAGCTCTCACCTCATCATTCTTACACGACCTCTTCCATATCAGTCTCAGACCTACTTTCAACTCGCCACTTCCCATTCGGAATTTACTCTAAGACGCGGTGTGTAATTTCACCAAATAGTATTCTCAGTGTATGCCTTATCTATCCTCATTTTCTTCAGGAAATTTTTTGGGCAGTAGGTTCCTGGTTGATCCGTTGCGTACTAGAGTTTTTTCCATTTCTTATTCCTTCTGGCTGGTTATCTGAATCTTCAGTATGGAGTGAATGCAGCCTCGAAATAAACTTACTGGAATTCAAATGAGAAGTCAAAACTGGTAGGTCCTATACAGTCCATAGTAATTAATGTCAGCTGTTCACCAGTGATATTTACTGGTGATACATCTATTTTATAGGTCAGCATTGGACAGAATTGATGTGATATCGATTTTCGAAGGTTTTACAGCAGATGCTCAATTTTAGAAAAAATCTGTCTTTAAATTAGTCGAAATCTCCACAACACTAAAAAATGCCAATTAAAGTGGGAATTTCAATTTTAATTAATATGGAACAGAATAATTTTAGTCCCCACTTTTCAAACACATAAAGTCCAAAGTAAGAAAAATCCTGTGATAAATGCAAGATAAAAAAAAATGCCATATGATAGAATAATATGAAAACAGAAGACAAAAAAATCTCTTCATGGTGGCCTGCTTGAATCTCTGGGCTACCTAAATTTCCATCCGAGACAATGAATTTTATTTTCCTTAGTTCTTGGCTCAAAATCGTTCTCAATGACTAGCGCAGATGCATCCACTCCTTGTGACTCAAGGTTTCCAATCAAACTGTTTTGTTCTTCTTTATTACTATTCCCTTGTCTCACACCTCTGTTTAGTGTCTAAATTACGCATTTCTTCTACTTTCTTCTGTTGCTTTGTGTGCTACATGAAGTGTGGCGACTTGAACTGCGGCACATATGTGCAAAGTTCTATGTCGAAAACAGACAGACAGACAGTTCTTGGTGTTATAATCATTCAGATATATCTGCAGATCTCCAAATGTACTTGTGCACATTTTTAATTGGTATGCAGTCTATTGTGAAGCATTTCTGTAGGACTAAAGAAAAATACCGGAGTGGATTACTTTATTCTTCAGATATAACATCACTGAGTCACATGATGCACTGGAGATGACTGTTTTACTTGAAACTCCTGGATAACAAATAAGTATTATGAAAATTGTGCTTATTGTGCATAATAAAGCTATTATAAATATTATTATTATTAGTATTATTCATGTGAACCATCGAATTTCGAATTTCGGATAAAATATTACTACCATCTTCACAACTTCCTGAAGGTGTTAACAAGCTTTGTAATATAACTGACAGGCGGACAGCAAAAACAATACAGAAGTTCGTCAAACATAATGAATACTTATCGACTTTTCTTTAATAACATCGACAATGTAAATGGAGCGAGAAAGATACCTAACAATTAAAGCAAAACCTTATTTCATTCCGTTAACCTTACTGCGTTTAGAGTAAATATTTTTTTTAAAATGCGTTTAAATGACTACTACCAATCAATAGTTATCAATGAAATGTTGAATATAATGAGTATCACATGAATTTTACTTATGACATGACAAGGATTACAAAGTACTTACAAAAGTTGTTCAAAAAATGAAACTAATTAAAATAGTTGATGAAGTAAAACAAAATTAAGTGACCGAATTCAATAACAGTATGCAGAAAACAATTGAAAAATGGTTCAGACACTTGACACTTTACTATAAGCGTTTCTAACAGGCTTAGGACTTTTACTAACAGCTTCCTTAGTTGTATACTGAACATAAGATGGCCAGAAAGGATTAGAAATAAGGAAATAACTCAGGCAATGAACTAACCAAGAACCTAATACCCGAAAAATATCTGAAAGGGAATGGAAATGGATTGAAGACACGCCAAACCTTCGAGTGGGACTTAAATGGGAAACAGAGAAGTGGGCTGAGGTCCGAGGGTGATAAAGAGGAAGTGAAAGCTCATGGACAAAAGTGACGCCAGCTGAAGACGACTGCAAACAACAGGATGAAGTGGAGATGAGCTGTTGGAGCCCTAAATTTAATGGGAACCAAAATGAATAAGAACAGCAATAATCCACTGCATTCTAACTCTGGTGGGCTACTACTCAGTTACCCGGTACTAGGCTATGGCCCACACGTATTCTGTGAAGGTTGATCACACTACCCAGTTGACCAGGCCAAAGTAAGTGGAGCGAGATTCGAACTTCGGGACCTATTGGCTGGAAGACAAGTTCTTACACTAATGAACCACATCGCCGACTATTTTAACTGTACATAATTATGATAATAAACATAAATAATAAAAAATTTTACTTTAAAAAAGTCGATATTTACCGATGAATTCAAGACCACGTAGTTGATAAGTGACAAATCCATTTCCAACTTCAATAATATGAATAAGTAAATTTAAATCATCTGTTGAAAGAATGAATACATCACCATGATTAATAGATAATCCACCAAGACGTCCTAATTGTAAATCACCGGCTAATATTCTTTGTAGTTTTCTTGTTAAATGCTCATAGAATATACCGTCTAAATTACCGGATACTTGATGCTTTGATATGCCTTTTAATTGTGCTGCTATCGGCATATTAGTTGTCTCTATACGTTGCGAACTAGAGTAGAAATCAATAATAATAATAAAAGAATTGGAAATTGGAATGAATTTCAATGCTATTATAAAACTGAAAGTCAAGAAGCAAACATGTGAAGGGATAATGTCGTAGATAATTAAGTCTTGTTTCACATAAAATAACATTGCAGCCTATGACTTACTGTCGAAGAATACTGACCTGACGACTCTATGCTGAGAGTAAGTAGTTTCCCAGCAATTACGCTAAGAATTCTACGTGCTGGGTTTAAACATAACTTCACGAATAAAGCTGATATTGTTATTGTTATTATTACTATTATTTTTATATAAGCAAGGAGAATATGAAACAAGTTCATATTAAAAACAGATATATTACAAGCAGTATTATAATATACCTTTAATATTAAACTCACACAAACTGGAAGATATGCAAGTGAAAAGCAACAAGCTGGCAGAAGAAGCATCAAAGATGGGACTTCACTTCAGGTGAACATAGATAAAGCAGAGATGATAATGATTCCTGGCCAACACCACCACCAACAACAACAACAGACAACAATCACCATAAATGGGAGGAATCTGAAAGAAACAACCTCCTTTACCCACCCAACTGGGAAGCATCGTTTCAACTACAGGCGGACAGAACTGATGGGGATATCAAAGCAAGAATCGGAAAAGCAAGACAAGCTTTCACTACTCTTAAGTCTGTGGGGAGCTCAACAGCACTCAGCATCAAAATAACATCCGGATTTTCAACTTCAATGTGAAGTCAGTGTTACTCACAATATGGATCAGAGACTTGGTACGTCATAAAGAGCACCTCAAACAAACTACAGACCTTCATTAACAGTTGTCTTCGCTCAATACTCAATACCAGATGGCCGGCCAGAAAAGATCAGCAACAAGGATTTCTGGCAATGAGCGAACCAACCCAGCAGGAACCGATTGTGAAACAAATAAGCAGGAAGAAATGGAGGTGGATTGGCCATACTCTAAGGAAACCATCAAGTAACATCAATAAATAAGCCCTCGAGTGGAATTCGAAAGGGAAGCGGCGAGTTGGTCTTCAGTGCGAGGGTGACTCGGAGAAGGTCATGTGAAGAGGAGATGAAAGCATGTGGGCAGACTTGGAGCGAGGTGAAAACGTTGTCAGAAAACCGAAGGCAATGGAGACTTGGGCAGCTGAAGCCCTATGTTCCTCTAGGAATTAAAGGATATAATAATAATATAATAATTAATATTAAACAGATGCGTATCGTTGTTCAGTTTAAAAAAAACTACCTAATTTCTACGCAGAAGACAGAAACACGCAGTACCATGGTAACACGTATATATTACCAAATGAGAAAAGGAGAAAAAAAATAAGATGAATTGAATGACATAATAAGGATGATGATAATAATGAGAACTAAAAAATTTCATTCACTCAGATGTTTTCGCTCTTCACTTTTTATTCACTGCGAAGATAGAGTAGATATAAGTTACCATGGTAATGGCAGCATCACTAGCATCTTCATTATGTATCTTTCTATTCATCTCTTGTTTAATTATTTATAAATTACACTTAAAATAATAAATCGACATTTACTTATTTTTGTAGATAAAGAAACAAAGCATAATAAACAACCAGGTAAGAAGATAAGAAACATAAGGATTTAATACTTATACTACTACTTATGCACTTGAAAAGTAGTACGGTGAGAAATACAAAAAGAAATTTTCATGTTATGACACTTCAGTGTTGATAATCACCAAAGGTTAAAGAAACAGTTAAGCGGAAAAAACATTCTTTATCAAGTGATGAATATCCAACAAGCTGCAAACTTTTATCAATAACTGCTTTTCACCGACTAGATACTCAAGATCAGATAGTCAGAGGGATAAGCTGAACGGAAGTCTGGTGGCGAACCAGCCAACAACCTATTGTTCAACAAATGCCCCCACACCTCTATCTTAGAACATCTGATAGATTCGGGACAAAAAGGTACACCATAAAGAAACTTCAGAGTCGTCTACAGAATACGAAGTAGTCTTCCTAAATGTGTACGAATCAGACTTCTTCAAACTGCAGAAACAATGGCAATTCATTTGCTAAATCTTGAATTCTGCATATAAAGAAGTTCGTTCAATCACTACATTTGCAATGGACGTAATCTATCTTATTGCTCGACAGGTAAATTCTACCTAATCCCTTTCTCTTCTGTTTCTTCATTAGTATTATCTTGTCTTCTCAATTGTAATATTTTACATTTTCAACTTTCTTGTTCTAGAACCCCACCAGATTTCATTTCTGCACCTCACTACCACTGTTACTGACTTGACCAACGCTCAATTTCTAGTCATTTATGTTACGTCATACAACTTAATTGCTCAACTTCAGTTCTAATTTAAATGGCATTATTCTCTATCCCACTTCTACTTAGTCTTTACCTGTAATTACCTCTGTTATTACCCTGACCTAAGTTGAAACATTTTAGTCAATTATATTACGTCATCTAACTTACTAACTCAATCTTACTTTAGTTACTGTCTAATTAACCTTGTTTCTATATTAGATCATTCTTGTATTACCTAATTAATTATCTAAACTTGACAAACCTCATGTACACACACACACACACAAATAATTATATATAAATGCGATTGTACAGCCGTTTGAATGAATTCGCCACCGAAAAGAGTCTCTTCGCTGAACGTCTTCTCTTTTCAAATGTATAGAAGAAATCTGAGATGGATTGGACACAGACTGAGGAGGCCGTTAGGTAACATTTGATATCAAGCCCTCAAGTGCAACCTGAGTGGGAAACGAAGAGTGACATGGAAGAGATCGTGTGAGGAGGAGATGACAGCCTATGGGTAATCGTGTAGCCAGCTAAAGGGGACTTCGAACTTCATTTAAGCGAACCTGGGGAAAAAAACAAAATGCGTCTGCTTCGTCAAGTATATAAAGACAAGGACAGTCGGCATCGCACATACTCTTGAGGAATTTCTAGGGAACTCAAGATTCAAAATATTCAGAACAAAGTAGCGATCTAACCATTTAAGTTAAGGTCATTCACGTGCCTATATATATACCTCGACATGTTGATAAAAGAAATGCCTTTTACCAAATACAACTTAAAACGTACAATTATAGAGAGGAAAGAAGACTCAACAACTGACAAAGTTGTGTATAAGTCTAAGTAAGTGGTAACACTGTGTATCAGTATGGCAAAGAGAAAACCGAAAGTTGTTGAAGAAAGCAAATAAATAAATAGTAATAATATTTAATATATATGAAATCAAGTATATAACACAAAAGAATACATACCGATGATTTGTCTCCCAAAAACTAATCGGTCTCACATACGACGTGATAAAAATTGCACTAGCCATCAGCGGTTCCAATGGTGCAGATAATACAGTGGAGAAAATGCAATTGGCGAACATAAATACCGAGTCTTATGATTTCCATAAAAAATAGCAGTGAAGTGAGTTAAGGTTGATGTTACAAAATAAACATATAAGTGGCAAATGAATAAAGCATGATAAATCCCACAAATAAATTTCTAGTGATTAATAAGTAGTATAGATAAGAATTGAAGTACCCTTTAAAAAATATTCTGAAGAGACTTAAATTTACATCCATTCTTCATCAAATAAAACTGTACAAAATTCAAGTATTTCGCCTGACTAACAATACTAACCCAACTGATTAGTTATGTTGGACTGGAATAGTAGGTCTCGATTGACATATCAGCTCCTATTATGGACGCTCCAACGACGTCTGAGAATTCACGTGGCGTTATTTCCCTTGATGGTAACCAGTAGTGGAATCCAGGATGCGTATCTCGTCTCATTTAACACTTGTCATCTAAGTGTGACTTCAATCTCACTGAACAGTGGTGTTTCCACTGAGACTCGACTCTGGACCCATTGTTACTAATGGCAAAGTATTATAAACACAGACTGAGCACTTTTGTCAAACAATATTAAATCAACCCGGAATGCAAATTAACCTCGAAACAGATAATAAATAGTACCCACTGTGTACAAGACGTACCTCTCTAGGCCCCAACGACTTAGTGGGTAATGCTATGGTATTTGAAATGCACGAGTGCAGGGGGTTGGGTCTCAGTGAAAGCGCTGTCACTCACTAGAAATGTAGGCACATCTAGATGATAAGTCCCAAACTGGACGAGGTAATTAACCTGGATTTCAACCAACATAACACTAATCTCGTTGTTAAATAAAAGTGAATTTCTATGCACATTCACAAGCCGTGTCACCTCTTATTCATAAGTACATATGCAACTTTAAAAGTGCAGAAGTTTGGTTTAAAAAAACCAGTCTAAAACCGAAGTAGTGTGAATTACAGTCTAGTTTTCTCCTCTTACCCATTTGATCGACAGCATCTCAACATAAATAATAACAATAATTAAAGTATTTTACACATTTATATGTTAAACACATCCTAATAAGTTAAAAATTTAGGCAGTGAAAATTGAAAAGGATACGAGGAATTGAGCCAAGCTGAACAACTGCATGCGCCACAGAACCCCAAATTATATTGAATGGAGCCAAATACACGTAGATGAAATGCAGTTTTCGAAATAGTTCAATAAACTAGATTTTTAAAAAAAATAAATAAAATAAGATTCACATTACATATTAATCTGTTTATTGGATAATAACATGAATAGCATTCACCACACACGGTAATCCTGCAACTGACGACTTTCAGAATCTAGGATCGCTATTCGCTCAATTGTTGACATGAAAGAAAACTCCTTTCAGGTTAAATGATATTAGGTCCCTAAGATTCACGATCTGACCTCTGACAAAATATCACTGATCTCAACTGATACAATGCTCCTTAAACATAACTAAAACAGCCAGTTAGAATATTTCAACATCGTCAGCTATAGAATTAAAAGATTAATACTCATTGTACAAGTTGACAACTAAAATAGAACAATGGCACTAAAGTTCATTGGAATACGCATTTGATTTTCACAGATTCCAACGCTGTTCAACATACTAAGGTTTGAATGGCCAAGTATTATGACCAACTCTCATACGACAGATGTAACTTTATTAACAAGTACATCGTAATAAATGTAAAACTATTGAGTAACATTTTGAGCATTACATAATCGATTAACAACAAGGAATCGATAATATAGTAGACCAATAAGTTCCAATAGTACCAATGTAAGATATAGGCAGGAAGCGACTGAAACTACCTGAAACACGCCTACACCAGTCTAGACAAATTAAACAATTGAGTTGAGGTGGAATATTTATTGTAATTAGTACAAACTAGAAGCCTAATCTTATGAAACTAACATAATTGGTCATTTTGTTGGCTTAAGTTCCCCAGGTATTTAATATATATATATATTGAAAGTCGGATCATTCTCACTGGCTCGAACTAGTCTGCTTCCTATCTTAATTCTTCTGGCTTAAAATGGACTAAACGAATTAGTAATCAGTGTCTGTATGGAACCCACAATTCATAAGAATTATTATATCATCAGAAGATAGAGGGGAAGATTTGTAGCTCAGTTGGATGATTTAGATTTGACTGTATTCTCTGAGATGGTTGATTTAATTGCTAAGCTTTCATTGTCCTTTTATACAACGTCTTCATTGCAAGTTATAACATGATTACAGATTAGAAAGTTCGTTAGCGTAAGAGACACGCAAAACTACTAACTTGTATTGACGATCATATCAACGTGGAGACGCACCTTTCAAGCTTGGAGAAACTGACGGAACAGCAACCAAAAGTGATAGAGTTGCTTGCTGGTCTACGGATAACACCCCGTACTGAATCATTTCCAGCCAATAAAAATAGTAGAAGCAACATACTGTAATTTATTTATAACCCAGATGCAAACATTACACTCGACACTTGGTTCCGCAGATACGAGGACCTGTTTAGAGTGGATCTTGTGAGCAAAGACAATGTCTGGAAAGTTAGACTCTTACTAAAGAAACTGAGTGCAGCTGATTTAGACAAATACAGAAACCTGATTGTCTTACAAAAGTCCATAGACAAAACGTTTGACGAAACAGTCCAGACATTCCATCAGCAGTTTGGTGACCATAGATTGTTGTTCAGCATTCTTTGCCACTGTATACACCTGGTGCTGAATGAAAACGATGATATTTACATTCAACTGGGGATTGTTAACCACCACAATGTGAATGGTTGAGGTTAAAGTCGCTGACACAAGACAGTTCTAAGTCCTTTCATTCGTTTACAGTCTTCCAATTTAGCAGACACGCTTATTGAACAGACTTTAACAACATCCGCAAATGAAGTTGAAAGATCATGGGAAAGAATACCAGCGACTAATCAACCTTCGCAAAGATATTATTCATAGAGAGGTCAACTGATTTCCCTTCATATTAAAGCTTGTACTGAAGATGTTGTCTAGAAGGACATTGAAAGCTCCTCAATTAAATCAACCCTCTCAGAGAACATAATCACACAAGAAAGACATAACATACATATACAGATAATTGGTTTTAGGAAGACAACACTAAGGGCACTGACTCACTTTACTGACAAGAATTGATACAAAGAAGTAGTTAATAGGGAATGCTTCTTTGATATTGTAGAAATCGTAAGAAAACAATAAATCAGTAAGAAACAAACTTAAATAAGTTTGTTTAGCACAACAAAATCCATTTCTTAACATTTTCATACTTGTTACAATAATTATGAATGTAGACATTCTAGAAATAGAAAAAAAGAAAGGCAATAAACAACAATTGGGAAATACAAAACAAAAACATATGCAGGAAGATTGTCTATACAAAACAAAAGCACTAGTACACAGACAATAAATTTAACTCTGACTCATGTTTAGCAAAAGAAGTTTAAGGTTACACAACTATAATTTGGTTAAACTAGTATTGTACTTTCCGTTGACTGATTCTATGACACCAAAATGTTTAGTGTCTGTAAACATGTCAGCCCCTAATAGGCACACTTCAACGATGTTTGAGGAAAAACATGATGATGCCTAGAAGTGAAATCCGGGATACGCGATTCATCCTACTATGGACTCGTCATCCGGATGCACTTGCGATTCCCCAGTGAGTGATAGTGTTTCCATTTTGAGACCCAAAGTTTGTACTCATCGTTTTAAACCCCAGAACAGTATCCAGTACGACACTAAGGCCACGAGAGCCACCTCTTGTTCAAAGGGGTTTGAGTTAGTATATTTTGATGAAATTATTGCCATTAATCATTCCCTGCGTTCAGACTGCACTTCAGCAACATACCTGTATTACTCCGTTCTCTGATATCATTCTCGGTTGGCTCCATGACTGTCTACAAGCTTTCATTTCCTTTAACATGATATTCTTTTCCATGTCATACTCGGACTCTCAACCCGTTAAAGTGATATAATCAACACTTCACAACTGTAAGGCTTACCATTCAAGAGTTAACCTATACACACAAAAATAGAAAGTGTCATTGAATGCCACAAAATGATGTCAGCAGTTCATATAACTTTTATGTCCCAGTGCATTAGGTTTTCAGAATAATTTCGGAGTAAAAAAGGTACGTCTAGCTTTTCTTCGATCCTGACTCCAACATACTTAACTGTGTCGTCTGTAGTTGAACGATTTTAACTACATAAGTGAAAGAGGCGAGTTCCTACAAATTTCTCTGGTTGATAGTGATTCATTGAATTAACCAAAACATATGTATAATTCTATATTGAAATTTCCCAACCACAATTGAGTAACGCATAAAGTGATTTAGGGGTATTTATAATACTTCCACAAAAACGATATTTAGGTAGATATTCACCTGGGGTTCTAGGGGGAGTCGTAACCAGTAGAGTACAGTAGGTTGGGTGACAGGACAAATACTCGCTGAAGACATTGACTAATGGTCGCACTATGTCGTGAATTTGCAGAAGATGGAATTAATGGACTGACCATTGGATCGGATCCAGTGGCTTAATGGTCTACGAGCTCACCATGTGACCAGAAAGTTCTGGGTTCAAACCCCGGTGGATGCATACTGTGAAGAGTCCCAAACTAGGACGAAACAGCCGTCCAGTACTCCCAGGTTTTTCGATGGTTCTCTAACCGATATCAGTTCATAATGAAATCCTGAAACCAATCAATCAAGTCCCTACAAACCAATACTTGACAAACGATATAACACAAAATATTTGTGTCTGAATAAAAGGCATAGCTATTAACTTTCTGTTCTCCTACATCTCAACACTTCATAGCTGTGAACATTTCATCAATAGGCTGATCTACTTCATCAGGTCTTATATGATGAAGGGAAAAAATGCGCATTCGTAATTTGTACAAACAAAGTTAAAATGACTTAATCTAATAGTATCAAAATTCACTAACGATGAAAACACTTAAATTGTATCCATTTACAATAAAGTGTAGGCTGGGTTTTATTAGTAAAACGCTTTGGGATAATTCTTTTTTTCTTACTATCTATCATCTCGTAAATATCAGTACCCGAATGAGGGTGATTAAATTAGAATTGAACTACACGACTGATATTATATATATATATATATATATATATATATATATATATATATATTCAGCTATTTCGAAATAAACACTTTCAGAATTAAAAAAATTTCAAATTATGCGTAAACTTAAGAGACTAAAGATTGTAACAATGAATTATGCAAAATTTTATCAATAGATGCAAATTTATGGTTACATATTTAATAATGTTTTTGGTATCACTGGAATCTAAGACACAAATTTCATCATATTCAGAACTCGTTAGATGAATTTACAAAGAACAAAGAGCCATTAGAAAGACAGGGAGCACTGGACAGCTGTTTCGCCTTAGTTCGCGACACTTCAGTAGTGCGCACCCACTTGGGTTCGGACCCATGACCTCCCGGTTACAGGATGGGCTCGCAGACTATTCTGCCACTGGGACCCGATCCAGCTGGAGCTCACCTTGTAACTGTGCAAGGCCCTGGCTTCGAAACCCTGTGTGTTCGTACTGATGAAGAGTCCCAAACTAGAGCGGAACAGTTATCCAATGGTTCTGTAATTAATATAAACTTGTGATCAAACCAGTGACCAATCAGATCTCTACAAATCAACGCTTGAAAACGCCAAAGACTTGAACATTCTATCCAAGGCTAAGGTGTTCACACCACTAGGTTATTGAGTTGTGTCAGCTACTGTTCAATCAACAAGGACTAACTTGCTGATGAAATTTACTGATTTCTCACGTTGTCAATTAATCGGGTTGTATGGAGGATTTCCTTATAAGCTGACATCAGTTAGAGAACCACTGGAAAACCTGGGAGTACTGGACAGCTGTTTCATCCTAGTATTGGACTCTTCAGCAGTACGCACCCACCGGGGTTCAAACCCAGGACCTTCTGGTTACAAGGCGAGCTCGTAGACCATTGAGCCACTGGGACCCGATCCAATGGTCCTTGAATTCTAACCTCTGCCAATTCACGATATAGTGCGACCACTTCGCAATGTCTTCTTCGATGAGTTACTGCCTCATCTTCAACCTGCTGTACCCTACTGGTCACGGCTTCCCACTAGAACCAATCGGGTTGTTATTTATTCAACAACTGTCGTAAAAATACTTTGAAATTGTTGGAATACAGGCAATACTGAAATGTTCATAAAAGCAACCCTAATTCCATCAGACGCAGATAGACAGTAATTATTAGCGAATAATCGTTGTCCATAACTTCTTTTCATATATATCCATTAATTTTTTTCCTTCAAGTTCACCAGTGGAACATAGGGCTCTAAGCTAAAGGCTTGAAGTTTCTGTAGCAGTGTTTGCTTTGCAGGATGGGGTTGCTAGGCTCATGCCCAACCTTTCCTCTTCAGCAGCATTATTTCTGGCTTAGAGTGGTAAAGGAGTTTGTCGGCCGGGGATCGAACCCCAGACCATGTGCATGGTTGGCGAGAGTCCTAACCGCTATGCCACAGACGCCCTATCCATTAATATTTGCATACAATAAATAACCAATATAGACAAGTCAAAATTATATGAGAAACTGTACTCATGTAGAAGTATACTAATCACTCAAGAGCAGATACAAACATCCAATCAATCATAAACCTAAGGTGTTTATACCACTATTTTATACTAACCAAATCTCTATTAAGTAGTAAACAGACTAACACAATATCTAATACCTGATCTAATCTATTTATTACATCGTTACCAGCAGAACGACGCCATGGTGACAGGTCCTAAAAATACCTAGAATTAAAACTCAATTCTTAAATCAGTATAGATACTAGTTTTTACAAATAACACACTATTTATCCATTCGGTATTTTTTTTAATGACTGCCTGTTGAAAAAGAGGTTTAAAACAAAGCTTTCTATGTTTTCTACACTTAAAGCACATATCATTATTATATTTCAACTTTCAGTGCCCAAAATCAATTATATGGAGACCTAAAGTGAACATTAACTGCAACCTTTATTATTATAACAGATGTATGTACAATTGGAGAGTAACCTTTAGATTATATACCGATTGCCACCTGATTTGAAGAAAAAGGCATTGATGAAGCCGCAGAAGGACTATTACAGCATTAACTATGAACACACTAAAGGATATTAGATTGGATACTTAACTGAGATGATTGGAGGAAATCACCAAGAAGCCTCAGACCTAGGTTTCGCGCTTGTCAGCACTCCTCAGCAAGGTGTGACCACAATCTTAAAGGGACTCGTGTCCCTTCTGAAATTCCAACCCAGATCACCCAAGGATGAAGTCAAAGACGTTACCAATGAGTTATTCGGGCTCGCGATTGACCACCTGTAGGATAGATACTAGGTAGTAACTAAAGTCATGCGTTTAGAGTGCGAATTTTTCCACGACCTACTGCTGATTCCCTCCAACCATCTAATTACAACAATTCAGAGTGCACCATGATGACGAGCCACCTAGCATGGTGACCACAATGCAAACTTCACTGATAGAATTCAGTCTCCACCAAACAAACGACTAGACGTATGAGCAATATTGAGGTTAGGCGTCGGGTGCTAGGTAAGGAGGGGAAATCGATCGACGAGGCTGTGAAGTTACAACGACTGAAATGGTTAAAATATGCGTTACGCATGCATAGCCATCGCCTTTCTTGACGGGCAACATTAGCTGATATAGGGTCAGTCTGGAAAAGAACTAGCGGAGGTCAAACTAAAACATGGCCTCGTCAGTCAGTGGAATCCACAACAGTTACTTTAAGCCAGCCACGTAGGAAGGTGTAGACTTCCTGGTTGGGGTCCTCGGGACGGTAAAAACCAATGGTTGGAAATAATTGGTGATATGGCTCAAAATCGTTCTCAATGACTAGCGCAGATGCATCCACTCCTTGTGACTTATGATTTCCAATGAAACTGTTTTGTTCTTCGTTATTACTCTTCCTTTTGTCGTATATCCATGTTTATTGTCTCTATTTTGGATTTCTTCTACTTTCTTCTCTTGCTTTGTATGCTACATTAAGTATGGCGACTTGAACTGCCGTATATATGTGCAAAGTTCTATGTCGAAAACAGACAGACACATGACATCAATCACTACCTAATATCCAACTGGAAAATTCGACATTATCTTTCAATGACAAAATGTGGTTCAATATTAAGTAAATAAAAACTAGATTACAGATTATCTTGTGTCAACTCATCCGACGCCTTCCCAAGTTAACATAAAACTTCGCGTGGAACTGCAATAAAGTGTGATATCTTAACTAACAGCTGAGTTAATAGAAAACTAAAAACATACGTATTTGCTCAGTGTACTCGTGGAAATACTTCTAGAATTACACTAACTGTAAAATAAATGGCAAAATAAGTCTTTTACGTACATATATAACATATCCCTAAAACATGGATTATTAAGTCGTTGATAATATTCTACTCCATTTTTTAAAAAAGGCAATACTTACAGAGGTCCAAATTTAGTTATTAATGAAGTAAACGAATAAGTTACAGAAAACATGGTGATAGCAGGTAGAAACAGATTTCTTTCCAACCAACATAACCAAAAATAAGCAATTTCCCAACGTAGTAATTTCCCTTGATTATCAGGCTTGATAATAGGCTTCACAAGCAATAACCATGGATACGGCTAAAGCAGAAACAAAGAGAGAATAAGAGTGAAATTCAATTTCTAACAGGTCGTACATTACTAGAAATTATATATATATATATATGTTTTGTCCAACTGGGCGTGGATACTCCCGGTCGACGTACTTTGAAGTCTTGTTTAACCGTTAGTAAACCCAGTAAAGCGGGAAGGTTAAGTGTGAGGCTAGAGACCCCAGTCAGTAAGAACAACCCCCCGCAACTAACACTTTGGATTTTAGACTTGGAGCCCACTCAAGACTCAAAGGAACGAAAACAAAAAAGCATATATATACATATACAAAACAAGATTTCTAACTGCAGCAACTTTAATATGCACTTTTGTAGCTGGTGTAAAATCAAGGCTTCTGGCGCCATATTTACCCCCAATAAATAATTCCAAATTATATTTATTTGAATTACTAAACCTTAAATGAGTTCTATATTCGTAATTTTTGTCACCACCACCTCGTGTGAGAGTGGGTAAATTTCATGCTACTGTCTTTTCGATTTGGTAGCCACTTTTCAGATTTCTTTTTCGCCATCGAAACCGAATTCCCTGTTACCTGTTATTACTGTAGTAGACAAACCACTTGCCATAAAACTGATACGGTAGACATTTGAAAGATCTATCGCAAACATAAAGGCGCTGATAATCAGTGAGCTTATCCAGATTCACTATAGAACACAACACAGACAGGCATAATTCCATGTATCAACTCTAAAATTACTTTTATTATTAGTAAAAAAGTTTGAACATTGTGGATTAGATCAAATAAAGTATAATTATATTTCAATAGTTTACACACAATGATAAGTTTTGTTATTGGTAATATTTCGAGTAAAATTATTGCCCGTGTTCGCACCACTGTTGGAATCGTTTTGTTCCCCTCTTGTTACATTTGGTGTCGCTGCCTACCAACAAATGGAAAGCCTTTGCCCTGCAGTTTTTGATGGGACATATGGATCTTCGGGCAGGACTTCGAGGCTTCTGCGCAGCTGAAGGGCGTTCAAGATCTGTCAGCGATGAGGCTGCTACTTGGGACGCTGCTGGGAGGTTGCGAGAAAGCAGCATATGAAAGTGTGAGGCGAAATACCGACGAATGTGCGACAGGGTTAGGCAAACAGTTTCCAAAGTGGGAAGGACCGCATATGGTCACTTTGAGATGGGGTTATGCAGACACAATCTCAATGGCAAACAAAGAGAAACGGGTGAACATCAGCAAACGCCGCGATACCAGACAGCAAGAGGAATGAACAAACAGCCTAGAACCAAGAAGACTCAACCAACTTCAGTCGCAAGTCTTTGACGGGGACGAGTGTGGTGAGAGCTGGTTGCTAGCCGAATTGGTAGACAGTAATTTACGTCAATGTTTATGTCCCCAATATTGGTCGTGAGAAAAATGAGAACAAAGACTGATTCAATAATCAACCACAGCAACTTTGCGGAGGCGGGTACAGTTAGCATATAGATGACCTGACATTCAAGAAACAGACACAAAGAGATGAAAGATTAACTTTCAGTGAGAAACAACCAATGAGAAGATTGTGTTTTTCTGCTAACAATAACCCATAATAATGTACATGAAAATCTATAAATATGTGTTGATTTCCTTAATAAAGAATCTGTCGCCTGGCCCTTGTCTTCTGCTATTACATTACAACGAACAAAACAATTCCAACAGTGGTTCGAACACGGGCAATAATTTTACTCGAAATATTACCAATAACAAAACTTATCATTGTGTGTAAACTATTGAAATATAATTATTATACTTTATTTAAAATTACTGTCAACCATGTTAGTATTTATGATTTAGGGAGCACAAAATTCTAGATTTGAGAAGTTGTATATCAGAACTAGAAATGAGGTTAATGAGGCATCTAGTCAGGATAATAAGTACAAATTATGTAAAAAAAAATTGAAATCAACAGATACAAAGTATTATCGTAATTTACAATTCATTAAGTAGAAGGAACGAGGAGAGAAAATTACTCACCTTACGAAAATTAGGCCAAATATAGTGTAATAAGAAACCCAATACAACACTAATCCAGATTAAAATACGATATTGATATGATTGAAAATAAGTATAGCCAAAGCAACTTGTAAAGTGTACAAGAAATGCTAATGCAAACCAGGTAATAGATGACAGTATATCATTTTCAAAACGAGCTATCAATGATGCTCTAATCAAATTTGGTAAAGGATCACCATTTTGTAAATGCGTTTGTATTAAATGCTGATCTGATAATAATGAACTGGTTGTTTGATGATCTTGTTGGGTATTCACTCTAGAATTATCTCTACATACTGGTGGAATACTACTTCCAGAGTCAGAATTAACTAGTGTCTTTTGACATACTACAGATGGTAAGGTATTAGTAGGCCGATTGTTCAAATTGTCCAGTGTTGTTGATTTCTTCCTGTCATCATTTTCATTCTCTTTAGAATTAATCCAGGTAGATAGGCCGGTGGTAGTGGTCTCAAGCTGTTTAACGTTTGAATCAACATGAGGTAAACTGTATTTGATAGCGGGTGTAGAACTAGATTGAGTTAAGCAATCACGACTGATCATGCGAGATGGCAAACTATGACTGTGAGCTTTAAAAGGAGAAAATAATAATAATATTATATTATCAATAAAGGTATAAAGGCAACAATCATAATAACAACATACACGTTTATCTGTATGGCCTAGAAATACCAAGCTGGGTTTAAATATATGAATCAAAAGTTGGAGGTCAAATGCACACACTATTATAGGACTATAGGTGACGTCAGTGATAGAATATATGTACTTTAATTTACAATTATACAACAGTTCATACCTCTTTACTGCAAGTTTTCTTTTCAGAAATTCGAGGTAGTAAGGTGATATTAATTCCATAAAATAACTTAGGATGTATCTATACAAAGGAAGAAAAGGTTTAAACTTCTTTCAGATGAAACGGAATCTAGGAGTGGCTTTATTGCATATCTCCGCTAAGTGTAGCGTCGCAAAGTGTTGCTATGGTGACTTAATGAGAAGTTATATTTTTCATATGCTTTTTAAATGAAACTCCACATTAGAAATTATTTCCTGAAGTACATAATGTCGGTGGCGTAATGTAGTTGGACACTTACTTCCCTTTTGTCAGAAATTGTCGCTTGATACACATATAAGCGCAATGAAATGGATTAAAAAGGACAGTAAGTTCAAAAGTGAAACGTATACTGTTGAATTCCCATGAAATCATGCTAGTATAATTTGGCCTATTTATTGAAACGCCCTTATACCCACCGGATAAAGGTGCCGCCACTTCAAAAACAGGATATGCTCTAATCTAGCTGCTTAAAAGACGATACAAGTGTGACACATTTTGAATAACACTGTAACTCACTTGTCTGTATACAAAAAGATCCAGGAGAACAAGTCATCTATCTTCCTGTTTGAGTAGCAGTATATTGCCACCCAGAGGAAGCCCTTAACGAAACAGACAATGAATTGCCAGTAGTACGATGCCAAAACTAGAAAACTATGAATATACAGCTATTACAAACTGAATTAAGGCGATTCAGAGATGAGGCAGGTTCTCTCTTAGTCTATCTGCCTGTATGCAATGCGCAGGGATGGGATAGACCGACCAAACAGAAGTTTTTTTTATCGTTAAAGAAATTACTACTGTATATCTATGACAAAAAAAAATTATCGTTTGTAGTATATGATTTATGCCAGTCTATTAGAAAAGTTAAGCTGCTCAATGTACGCATCCAATTCCTTTCTAACTAGTGATATCTACTCAAACAACACAATGAAGCAACAGTTATTGCATTCAGTTTTCAAACAGCTGTATTCTTTCAAACAAAATAAACAATCGAAGAAAGTTGCGCAACTACTAAGTTCTACGTCGATTGAGAAACCGTTAGGAGGTATATAGTTGTTAGATTTTGATCAATAATAAGATAAGGGGAAGTAATGTATATATATATATATACTGACGATAACCTACAGCACGATTTCACTGAATTACAAATGAAGATTTATGAATTATATGAAGAAGTGAGTAGACAGAGTAAATGAAACGGAAATGTTAAATCTTCATAAATAAATTCAAAAGAAATTTTCAGATCAAGCGACGCTGGAATGTACTTCAGTGCATCAGAAGGTGGTGATAAGCATGGATAACTGAAGGAGGACGGTTAACCTCCCTTAATCCGTGGTGCTACATGCTACTGAGTGATTCACTTAAGTAGTTGGATACCACTCACATCAACCAGTAGTGCTTGCTGGCCAAATGAAGGTGAACTAAACACCGAACGGTCGTTTCGCCCGTATGGGGCTGAGCTCTTCGGCAGTGTACCTAATTCAGCTCAGCTCTGAAAGCTGAATCAGTTCAAACCAACAGAACTGGCAGTAGGCACTTGGAAAACTGGTAACAGGTTGGATCAAATTCCCCACCAGCAAATGAATTCGTGATCTGCAATTTACACAGTTCGAAGGAATGAAATTTCACCAAAGTTTCTGCAGGAAAACGAATTATTCAGACCACAAACAGTGATCTGCTTGATCCCGTAAATGGTAATCAAGAAAGCAAGCATAAATGTATGAGTTCATATACTACTGATTGACTGATATGAGTAGTTTGATACCAGTGAAATCAAGCAGTACTACTTACTATTAATTAAGTCAACAGGAATTTATAAAAACGGAATTTTTTAAATGAATAAATGAGAGCTACTGAAGTTTTACAAGTAAGTGATAGGTAAGTATTTGTATGTAGAAATCTTTTTTCATCTCAACAAACAATGCGAAAAACAGATTAAAAACACATTGATGCAACTTAAAAGGTATAACAAGAAGGATATTATAAATTCCAGCGTTATATACATACGTCAAACGTCTTTCTTTTAAACTAACCTGGTACACCACTTTCAACATCTACAACTCCTGTAGCATGTGTTAAACGAGTGAGTAAAAATTCTTCAGCAGCATTACTATCATCATTATGCCTAATCATTGCATTTGTCGATTTCATATGAAGATTAGGAAATAACAGAGGCAACCGCCTCCACCATATAGGCTGTTTATCGATTGGAGCTACTTGAGATTTCTTTTTCTTTGACCAACGTCGTCGTGTACGACTTAACCAATTCGGTCGTGTAGTCAGTGTATACCAAGCATTGTAGAAACAAATACGAATACGATTCAAGTAGTAAACACGACGATCAGCTGAAGGTAGAAGAGTTCCATACAGCATTATATTCGATGGTAGACGACTTAAAAGAAAGCATAGAGCTATCTCTGCACCCCAGAATACAGAGAAGAGGACAGACTCAGGACTTGTTTGCTTGAGAGAGAAATGAAAGAAAACACCATAATACGAAATATTTCAGGCATGTTGAAACAAGTTTTGAAAATAAAAAAGTATAAAACGGAAAATTTCACAATACGTAAACATTTTCGACTAACAGACAATCGTATACAATACTACTCTGTCAGTAATCAATAATAACACTCTGAAACTCCAATATGCTCGTTTAGCAGGTGTAATGCCTATTCAACGATCAAATAGTTTTCGTAAAATCAACTATAAATACTTGTATTACTAGACATTAAATAAACCCTACTGGAACATCGAAATGAACAGTTAGAGCACAGGATAGTTTTCACCTTTGTACGCGGTTATATTAAAATATATTATTTATTACTTATGTGATAATAAACAGTATCTGTGTGAAAATAATAACAAACGATAAACGACAAACAGAATGAGTTGTGTGTGTGGGGGGGGAGGAAGAGTTCGGGAAAATAACCCAGACACGCTCATATTCAATTTAACGCAAAAATTGTTTGGAAAATCCCTTCTGATAGATCTAATCACAATAAATATACTCATTTGGATGTTTCGACTAACTCTGTAGTTATCATCCGTTTTTTCTTCTAAACTGTGTGTATCATTATTCTGATATTTGCATGTGTTGGCTTCATCGATATTGATATAAGGATAAAACTTGGGCACTGTGGTAGAGTATAACTCCAATATAGAAGAGAAAGTAAACTGCACAACACTAGCGTTTAAACAAAAACCAATGCACTATGCTAATAGATATTAAGACTTTAAGTCATCTCATCCTTATCTATTTGTAAAGGCAGGCTTAGTTAAGTGTCTGTCTAACAAACCGAGCAATACCACTAAGGAGTGCTACAACTAAAAGCCTAAACGATGAAATGAAACAGATAGAAGAATAGCTATTTGATGTTAACTATCCTATAAAATAAATTCATTAGGAAGATGAGAAAAGGTGAAAAGCAAAATAAAAATAATGGTGAGACTAATAATAATAACATAAATAAGAAAGAATATAAAGCGTCTGCACTTTTACCATATAAGGAGGGAACATCTGAAGCCCTACATAGGATTCTCAGTAAATTAGGAATAAGAGTGGCATTCAAACCTATGAACTCATTACTCAGGTAAGACAAGCTCTGTAGGCTAAAGGACTCGGTGGTCCCAATTAAACAAAATAATACAAAATTTACAGAATACTTCGTAATGACTGTGAGTTAAGTCAACAACATAGGTCAAACTAGTAGATCAGGAGTAGTGAGATTATCAGAAAATAAGAACTTAGCTAAAATCAGAATGATTGATCCCACGAAGATAAGTAATTTACAAAAAACTAAGTACTGCATTGCACTGCATGAATTAACACACAACCACACAATAGGGTGGGTGGGGCAGAGTCAGAATTCTAAAAAGTAATATAGGTAGGTGGAGAGAGAGATTGATTACTGAATTCTGGTTCATCGAATAGTCGACACCCAACACATGCAACAGGAATGACTCAATGCAAATACCAGCAATATGGAAGAAGGATAATATTAAGTCAAATCAAAAGAGGATAATAAATAATCTTCAAATTCTACTTCAGTTCACATACATTCCAGCAGGTTACTTATTTTTACTATAAAAACATCTTATTTCCCATCTCAATGTATTTGATTGATAACACTAATATTATCTCTGAATGTACATAATCTCATACTGATTTTTAATCCAATATCTAATCGATTCTCCCAGCGTTCGGACAACAATGAGTCCGTCTTGGTCACAACATTCAGTACAATCAGAAATCCTTCAAATATTACAATTTTTACTCGCCTAATCTCCACACTTGCGGATTACAAAGGCCGCGCCCAGGTAAACTTAATACCATCTCTTAACATCAACAGACCTGATCGTCATGGATGATTATTTCAGGTAGCAACAAGCAAGCAAACCCCACAATCTGCGTAACATTTTATATGGAACTTGTCATTTGAATATATTTTATCCTAGTGAGTGATATAGTACTTCAATTGGTAATGAAATTCATTTACAACATTAAGTCAGGAGAATCAGCTTTTACACCTCCAGAAATCACTTGTTATCTTCTTTCAGTTAACAAATAAATAAATCGAAAAGAAGCATTTCTTCGGTGTAACCATCTTTTTAATAATTCCTATGATCCAATGTGTATATCCCGTGATTTGAAGAAAAGCAAGGACCGTTAGACGGATAAGGGACTGAACAAGTTTCTACGTTTGTCTGTCAAGCTTGCTAAGGAGAATGCAAAAATTTTCTTCTGGAAGAATTGTCTGGATAAACATGTATATCCCAAAGTATTCTGGAAGCACGTCACAGGAAATTTCATACCATCCAATTCATGTACACTCAAATGACACACTCTGAATCACATCGATGCCGTTCGATCAAGCCTACCTGAACTGGAGCAGAATATGTCAAAATCTCCAAAGTCCGAGTTATCGGAAGATGAACGAAGTCCATTCGAGAACCACACCAATACAGTTACAAAGAAAAGAAGAGATGATGTCAAAATGAAATTAAACCAAAGCCTAAAGTCTGTTATCAAAGAAACAGTTTTTCCTACTTGCCCAGAAAAATACATGTTCAATTATTCTGATATTTCACTATCACCACTTCAAATGCAAATCTTAGCACTTGGACCAAAGTCTTGTGATGCAACGTCTAAAGTGAATAAGCCGCACACGAAAATCCAATTCGAGAACGTAATTAGCCAGACGGATGATCTCAACCCAATCCAATACTACAGTGCAGACCATTTCAAATCAACCATTTTGAATCGCTCCCTCGAATACATTAACAAAAACCCAGCTTTCGTTATATATTCTTGAAAGAACATCGGAAACAGCTGAAATAATTGAAGGACAATGAAAACTTGGTCCTGACACGGACAGATGAAGGTTCTGGAATCGTCCTGATGAACAAATCAGACTTCTAATCAAACTCTCGGTGATACTATCTGTCGATAAGAAATTTCTAAAGCAGTCTCCACAAAAAGATCCCATTGAACAAACGGAGCTCCAACTGACAACGACATTGAAGAAAATGAAAGACAAATCCATTATTAGTACAAAACTATACTAACAAGTGTGACCATCTGGTTCTACAACGCCGTGCATGTACGGGTTACCTAAATTACACAGACAAGACGTCCCACTTCACCCAATGCTCTAGATATGATAAATTCACCATATCAATCAATCGCGAAATAGCTGGTAGAGATTCTTGGACCTGTGACAGAAAAGCTGTCAGGACACAACCTCCGGGACACATTCGATTTTGTTGATTCAATTAAGAATGCTAACAGTATCGATTTCGGCATACCAATCCATTACCTAAAAGAGCTATAACCACCATGCACCTTCAACGTCTACTTTATTTTCAACAACGAAGTATACAGGTAAATAGATGGAGTAGTAATGGGTTCTCCTCTAGGACCTCTCTTGGCCAACTGCTTTATGGATAGACTAGAAATAACTCATTATCAGTTGTCGACAAGCTCCACCTCTACAAGAGATACATCTGTAATACTTTCATTATTTGTGGTGAGAATTTTGATCTAAAAAACCTACTACAAACCTACGATAACACCCAAACAAACATTGACTTCACTCTAGAATTCCAGTTTGACTCAATGTTTCATTTCCTCGATGTCCAAATGCAAAGGAATGCTGACAACTCGCTGAGAAGATCCATCTACAAGAAGCCCACATGGAACGGACAGTTTATCAACTCTCAAAGTTGTTTGCCTCTAAGCAGAAAGAGAAACCTAATATGCCGTCTTTACTTGAGGATCCGGAAATTTCGCACTGAGGAGTCAATTGAAGAAGAATTGCGTAATCTCCGAGGGACACTGATAGAAAATGGTTTCATAGACAAGAATCTAAAACCAAAGAAAACAACTGAAAAGTTCCAAGTCGCACCTCGAAAAATACTGATACTTAACCTCGAATTTAAAAGTGATACCAAAGCAGAATGTCTCCGTAGACAGCTTTCAAAGACTCTCAGTAAAACATACTTCGCCACAGGCCTACGAGTAAGACTTTCCTGCAAGAAACTATTCAACCAGTACGTGAAAGACAATCTGTTGGAGTTAACTTGCGCAGTAGAGTACATTGACTGTACCATGCATCCTCTTGTAAAACGCGCTCGGGAACACTAACCAGCATGGTTAGCAGAGGGGGAACGCAAAGGTGTATGCAGTTCGGCAACAGAACATCTGGTGAATTCAGGACATTCAACTCCATTTGAAAAGGTCTTTCAAAGTCATATACAAGATCCGATCAAATCCATCAAATGGAGTGAAATTAAGGCATCTAGAGATAGCTGAAGCACTGACTGTGTTCCGCAGAAATACGTCCAACCGCTGTCCATACACCATGGCCATCATGAAAAGTCAGTCCTATTAATAATGATTATTCTATTAACTTCTTATCCAACCTTCTTGTTTATTTTTATGTTATTTTTACGTTTTTAATTCCTAACTGCACTACTAAATTTGGTTGCTTTTTTTAAATTTGTATACATATTCGAACATCCTGGTTATAACTACGTCCTTAATCCGTAATTTTTACAAACAGTCAAGTTTTTCAATAATTATGATGTCATTATGTCTTTATTACACTTTGTAATTTTATTAATTTGACCTTTGACCTGAAATATTCTAGAGCAGTACTATTACCTATCTATCTTGCTATATTCTGTATCCGATCTTCGTTTTTATTACACTTGATAATTTTATTAATTGAACCTTTGACCGGAAATAATTCTGCGACTTTCTTACACACTTACTATAAATACACGAATATACAGTCTAATTGATGACTTCATCATAGAGAAAATTTTCGTCGCTGTAACTGCCTTTTTAATCATTCCTATGATCTAATGTGTATATTTCATGATTATTCACTTAAATGAGCGATCTCTGAGAGGACTGACTAGCATGGAAACCTAATGCAAGCGTTCCTACCTAGTTGTAATGCATCGGTTGGATGAATGTACCTTCATCCTCAAAAGAGTATTTCTTCTAATAAAAGATGCTATTAAGGCAAAGCAAAGTTCACCATCAATTAAAGTTGGAAACTGTAGCTTAGTGAACCAAAAATTACATGTACTAGGCCTGTATTTATATAGCTTGTGTGTGCAAATAACTAATCTGACCGGTTTAAGTTATTCTTACAAGTACCGCTGATTTCGAATGCACGACCGAAAACCGGCTTAAAGTGTCTAGATAAATGTGTCACACAGAATTACTTATAAAGGTAAAACAGAAAGAAAATTTAAAATTTATGACTGCACACACACAAACACACAAAAATTAGATACTTCAATCGATACACGCTAGAAATTTAAATAAGAGAAAAAAAAGCCGAGTTACTGCATTAAAGCTTAGTCACATATTTTGGTAATATTATTAGGTCAAGCAGGGTGTAGAGAATTTGATAAGACTTGATAAGGTTGTATCAACATATGACTAAATCAGCAGGTGTTATTATAGTTGTACACCTGCACATCAGAAACACCAGTATGACTAACTAATCATTGAAGCAAACAGTGATTTACGAAAAACACGCAGAGTGCGAGAGAGAGAGAGAGACAAACAGAGAGAGCTAAAATACAGTCGATTTTACAATTGCATAAGATTTGGATTTATCATTGTAATCGATAGTCAAAGCAGAAATCAAGTTAATGTGCAAGTTGAATAATTGCTGTGTACGTTAACTATTTCACCATCAATCTGAAAAAAGAAAGACTCCAAATAGTCTCTATTTGACGCATTTCGACGTGTTTATGGAGTTATTATTCACACCGGCGATAAAAGATTCATGGTCAAGTTAAAGTATAACGGTTCAAGAAGGCGAATGCCCCAATGACCTTGAACGCATACTATTCGTTGAATAATGAGATCTGCCATAACTGTAGTGTCATTATAGTGCAAATTTCATCCTGATCTCATTTTCGAGTACTTCTTGGACAATCTGTTAATAACTCGTTAGAGTTACTGTCACGATTAGGGTAAGGATCAAGGTCAGAGTAAGAATTTTTGTGCGTCGGTGGCACAGTGGTTAGGACTCTCGCCGACCATGCACATGGTCCGGGGTTCGAGCCCACGCCGACGCACACCTGATATCAATGGTCGGCCTGCAAATTCGGGCTACCGATATCCACGCTGAAAATTCCACACTTGTCCCAAAATACGGTGTGGAATCAAGCTGTAATCAAAAATTAAAAAAAATAATTAGGGTTATGATTAAGATTAGGTTTAGGTTAGTATTATATATTTTTATTATCCATATTTTCCCAGTAAATTTTTGCCGATCCTCTTACTGGAACCCATACTAATACAATCGAGGTCTTTTGAGGAATACTGAGAAACAGGATAAGAGCAATAAATGGGCAGCAATTAGAACTCATCTTCAGTCACCTTGGTGGTGAATACATGCACAAAACTGATCTAACTTACAAACTGTTATTGCTCATAATAATTTGAAAGTACTTTTAAGTCACGCCAGAGAAAAATATCCCTTTAATGTATTTTCATGTATTTCTCTTCAAAATGGACGTCATTTTTATTCTGAGTCACTATATTTCCGAATTGGTCGGCTCAAGATCACCGTGCTTTCGCACTCAAAGGCACCGTTATACTTTAACGTTGTCTCACAACTAAATGTCAATGACTGGAAAAATCCAAATATTTGCTTACTTCCTGACTTAGGTTAAGAAAACTACTCTAGCTAGTTTAATCGCTTAGTTTCTTTTCATCTCGAAGACCCCCCCCTTAATTACCTTTTTGAGAAAAACGCAGTTAGATGACAATAACTGATGTACAGAAAATTCATCATACGACGACAGTTGAGAAAATAGGTACGAACCTAAACAATAGGAGGGGTGCAAACAGAAAAACCGTCAACAAAACAAAAGAAAATGACGAAATCAACAGATATGCAAACACCCTTAGGACAAGGAGGATAAACTGAAAGAACAGTGACATCATAATCAAAACAACGACAGTAACATACTCATAGTTGTAAGAAAGACAAGTGGTATTGGTATTCAAACCACCGGAACTGAATTACATTGTATCACTTGAAGTATCCCACCATTAATTTATGCAGTGTCCTAGATCTCAAGTAAGAACTAATTACTAAACAATGGGGAGGGAAACGGTACACCCTAACGACTTCGATCAATACGAATTTCGCAACAAATGTCTCTTCCAGCAAATTGAGACTCAAATTCTTTTAGATGTTGACAATGGTTCCTCGGGTTGAGAACGGAATGCAAGGCCTCAACCGAACATCTCCACTTCGTCCTGTTCTCTGCAGTTCTTTTTAACTCGCTCTACGATTGCCAATAAGTATTCATTTTCTGCTTCTCACACGATCGCTTCCACGTCAACCTCAGACAGCAGCTCAACTCGTCGTTTCCCACTAGGGTTCCACTCTAGGGTGGGGCGCGCAACGGGCCCCTCAGATTATGTCCAATCCCTATCCATCTTCTTCAGGAAGTTCTTTGGGCAACATATTCTTTGTCAGTCTTGTCGCTAGTCTTTTCTGGCTATCTGATCTTCAGTATCGATCCAGCGAAGGTAGGTGTTGATAAAATTCTGCAGGCTGTTGGAAATGCCCTCGGTGACGCGCCAAGCTTTCAACCACACAGAAACACTTCTAAATAATCCAACCAGAATAGCTTAGCAATACAGTCTTTGAATTCGAAATTGAATGACGTAGATTCGAATTATATAGCTACAATCATACCTCACTGATGAGTGACAAAAGGCATAAAATTTGAGTCAAGTAAAGGTGTGTCCTGCAAATCAAATCATATCAACTAGGGTTTAAGCTAAATAATTCTACTTACAAATTACATAATAATAATAATGGCTTTATTTTGAACAGTTTTTATGTAATGTGCGGAATTTTTCAGCAGGAATTATTACGCGATAGTTTCTTTGTGCCAAGAATCTTCAAGTGAAATAGTAACTGACAGTAAGTGGCGTGACAATGCTATCTGAAGTAAGGAGAAAACGAATCCTTTATGATATCTTTTCTTTGCCTTCATCGAGAAATGCATATATTTGGTTAAAAGCCAATTATGAAAGGTGCAAAGTAAATTTTCTGACCCAAGGACATAAATTGAGTAATCGAAGACTGTAGGTAATCAGTATTATTTCTCAGGCAGCGGTAGTTTGTACTGAAAATCTCACAGATAGTTATCTAATTTATTGGGATACGTTATCATCCACGATTCCGCTTTTTCTCAAGTGTGGTTGAAACTTGCTATTCAGCAGCTTGTAGACATTTTAAATACTCGCAAGAGGTCAAATTTTAATAGATTAAAACGAATTGAACTAGAGAAGCTATATGCAATATAATGATGGAGTATTTTGGTAGCCCAGGTTTCAAACAGGCTGGCTTTTCAATCATTGTGATGACATAATTGCGTACTTACACCGTAAACAATGTATTGAAACCCTTAGTATTTTATTATTTATTTTCGATTTACAGCTTGATTCCACCGTTTTTTGGACAAGTATGGAATTTTCAGCATGATATCGAGCACAAATTTTGCAGGCCATTGAAACATTATTCATTGATAACTTACTTGTATTGCATAATAACACGGAATGAAAGTTATTCCTAACACTATAAACGTTCGAAGGATTGAGAACGTGACCGAGAAAAGTCCAGTAGTACCTAAAATAACAAAAACAGAGTAGATAAATTTCTACAACAAAAACAACTGAACAGATTAACTCGAAACAGGCATATATGATATAAAACAAATATTTCCATTGATAAGTAATTTCCCTGAATAAAAACACTATTTCATTGACTTTACAGAGTACAGAATACTTTGAAAACTACACTTGCATTGTCCTTATTAACAATTAACGATATTTTCAATAGTTTGTTTGCAGAGATTTGGTTTTTTCCAAGTTTCATCACTAGTTGACACCAGTTAAAGAACTATTGGAAAACCTGGGAGTAATAGGCAGCTGTTTCCGTCCTAGTTTGGAACTCTTTATCAGTACTCACTCACCGCGGTTCGAATCCAGGACCTTCCAGTCACATATCAGGCTAATAGACCGTTCTGCCAATGGGACCCGAGTCAATGGCCAGTCCATGAATTCTGACTCCCACCGATTTGTGATTTTAGCGGGACTATCAGCTAATGTCATCCGCGAGTATTTGTCTTCACATCCGATATGACAGACCCTACTGGTCACAACTCATCGTTCCAAACTAGGATGAAACAGCTGTCCAGTACTCCCTAACCGATGTCACCTCGTGCTCAAACTTAAAGTCGATGATACATTACGGAAGAAACAGAAAACGACAATTGGATAACTATGCACACATTCGCGCATTTAGCAATAAACTTAATGTGTTGCCTTCTAGCCTAAGACGGACTGAACCGTCGCCCGTCTCTAATCAAGGTCACTAATCCATACGTTATTATTAGACCATATCACACGTGTACTAATTTCCCTTACTAGGCAGCAACAATAATGTTTCTTACGAAATTTGTGGACATTAATTAATACCATCAGACATATATATGAAAAGAAATCAAAAAGGAAAGAACAAATTTAGAAGCGATGAAAGTATAGGCCTAATTTTATTTTGATGATAAGTGTTTACATGAATAAGAAATGACGGATTGGGCCACCGAGGGTGACATGAAGGATATTATGTGAGAAGGATGAAATGAAAGCCACTGGGTAAGTGTGGAACCAATTAGAAAAATATTGTAGACAACAGATTAGAATGGTGATTTCTTGCCGAAACCGTACGTTGCAATCGGAACCAAAGGGAATACCAATAGTACATGAATGAATGAAACTACATCCAATCAGTTACATGTATTTTTTTCTTTCTATTAAGTGTCTAAGAAATATATTTTATATACCTATTTTGACTAATGAGTAACTTTTAGAGTGTGTATAACTTTAGAGGATAAGTTAAATGAGGCCAGATTCGTCGATTCGTGAAGGATAAACTACCATTTACGTTCACCTTTTGTGCATGTACTCTCTCATATGATCCTATGAAGCTAATCATATTGGATGTTGTAAGCATGTCCCCTGGAAACGTGTAGATGAACACTGCCCAGTGTGGTTGATGAAAAAAAATGCACGATGATGAGATCTAATATTTGTGAACACTGTCTCGAATAAGGTCACTCAAAGCCATTTGAAATTTATTCTTTAAAGTTATATCATAATACAGAACTATATTCAGACACTAAAATTTAACGTTTTCACCATTTATGTATAAGTGAAGCACTAGTAAATAATTACTGAATTCAGTAATTCAGATGTTTACCTACAAGATCAAACTAGTAGTGATGATACAAAGTCTCTCAGCTTGAACACGAACAAGTCACAAAATCAACGTCTCCGATCCGATCGACAGTTGCTACCTTGACGTGGCGGTCGGGCCTGCACATCACGATGACCCAACAAGTTACACTGGCTGGAACCAATGTTCCTGCAGGCCCTACCATGCCAGGAAGGTTGTTAAGATAGCGATTAGACTAAAAGCAGTTACCGGCATTGTGCAATAATCTTTCTTACACTATGTTGGGGGTCTGAGGGCGAACTCATACTGCTGGGGAGTAGGGATGTAACAGCAATGAGGTTTTCCCTCAGATGACCAGCATGCCAGCCAGCTATACTGTCTCTCCATTTCGGAGATAGGCGGTTGGAAAAGGTCGACCCAAAAAATTGTACATCCCGACTTACCCTACAGTTGTCCATAACCGGCGGTAAGTTTACTAATAAGGAACCAATCCAAGGAACCAGTTCATACAGGCCGTGTGTGACCGGCTTCAAGCAGTTTTCCCCTGGACTCTGCGGTCACGCGACACTAACCCTCTTTCTGTTTCAGGTACCCGAAGAATCAGTCAACTTCCACGGTGTGGGCAGCCGAGAAGCAACAAACGCCCACACACTTCCAAAAGCACACGAAGCTTTCCTGAGCATCATTTTCCTTTACTCACATCACTTCCCACGTCTTCGATAATGATGGGTACAGTATGAGAAACGTTATATGTATTTGATCAAACAATTTAGACAAAGTGCCTTTACTGCATATCCCGCCAATTGCAGCGTTGCTATGGTGGCTTAATGAGAAGTTATATATTTTATATGCTTTTCAAATGAAACTCAGTATTAGAAATTCTTCCCTGACGTACATAATATCGGCGGCGTAACGTACTTGAACTACAGTACACTTACTGCACTTTTATCAGGAAATGTTGCTTGATACTCATATAGGCGCAATGAAATGCATTAAAAGAGGCAGTAAGTTCAAAAGTGAAACTTATACTACTGAATTTTCAAGAAATCATGCTAGTATATTTGACCTATTTATTGAAACGCGCCATTTCAAAAGGGATATGTCATATAATCGCCCAATTAGACACTAGAAATTATCGATTATGACTAACGAAATAACTGTTACTCGAAAATAAATTTTTTAAACCAATAATAACTAGCAAACACGTTCATGGAACACTGAATTGGGATAGCATTATGAACAGTGAAAAATACTGATACATTGGTGACGATTTTCTCATAATTTCATTATCCTATGGATTATATAAACAGTTTGTTTGATGTTAATTAGCACCGACTCTCTCTCCGTTCCGCCCCACACCCTCCCAAACAAAGAATGCTACACACAAATTGAGTCTATGAGCTGGCCTTATTCATCAAATAGTTTTCAAGTATGTGTATTTTCAAACAAGCAAGACAACCGTTGGGTGTTATTATACACTGTTCTCATCTGACTGCCCACCCACTCCCACTGAGTGGTGTTAATTGATATGAATCAATTAACAGGATAAATGGGTCATCAAAATTCCTAATTAGTGCGAATATTATAATACAAGCATAAGCTAGACATCAACATTTAGAACAAATAAGTAGTATAAGTAAAATAACCAGTATAAACTGATCACCGGCAAATGCTTCAAATGGTAAAGACAATAAGAAATATATTCAGTTCTGACTATGTAAATGTAGAACTTTCCTTCCTAAAGGCCACGCTCGCAGAAAATGGTTACACGAACCGACTTATCGACAAAAGCACGAGAGATAAGCAATCCAAACTAGTCACTGACTCCGTCCCAAAGGAAACCATATTCATGACTTTGTAATTCAAAGGTGATCAGGATTCAAAAATGCTCAAAAATCGTCTCCCTAAATCAATCGGCAAGACGTTCTTCGCTACACAAAAGCCCCAAATGACCTACCTTCACCAGCTGCAAGTTGTCCTACCTCTGTAAAAAGATAAGCTCATTCGTTTGGTCACCTTCATGTGTATCTATCAATTCACCTGCTCTTGTGGAGCAGGGCACAATGGCCGTAACTGAAGAACGCTTTCCACACGGATACGAGAACATATTCCAGCATGGTTTTAAAAGGGAGAAAGTAAAGGTGTGCAAAGTTCTCTTCTAGAACACTTTATCGACTCTTGTCACTCTATCAACCCTAACCATGATTTTAAGATCAGATATCCAATTCATGCTAACTTGCCGCTTTTTCTTCGTTATAAAACTTCTTAAGACCACTCATGAATTGAAGCCATTGCTTTGTGTACAAAAGAAGTATGTTCAATCCGTATTTCCGCCTTGGCTGTAAACGGATAAACATTTATTCATCTATTTTGTTTATTTAGTTGATCTATGTACTTTGCCCTCATTAATCCGATTACTGTCATCATTATTTTTGCTACTACTATTCTCATTTTGAACTGTTTCCGGTATAATTTCACTTGTCCCACTTGTTATTCTAATTCATAAAAAATGTTTCGCAATGTTAAGTTCTACCTTCTCAAATTTCCCACCGTGTTACGTAACGTTTATTTGCCTACTAATCCTTTAATGTTACATCCCCTTCCAATATCTACACTCCCTGTGGACTGGAATTCATGGGCCATTCGATAGGACCCCAATTGTTGAGTGGTCTACGAGCTTACAATGTAACTAGAAGGTCCCGGGGTTCGAACCTCAGTAGATGGGTGCTGATGAAGAGCCCCGAACTGGGACGAAACAGTTATCCAGTACTCCCAAGTTTTGCAATGGTTCTCTAAACGATGTCAACTCGTGATAAAAGTTGTAACCAATCAAATCCCTGTAAACCGACTCTATTCTACTATGTATGACATTATCTGTAAAACCATTTGATATTTCACTGTGATTATAATGACAAACATTTTAATTGCACTTCATACTATTATTACTTTAGGTATTCACACTTTTTATTCAAACTTACTCGTAGAATATTATATAAATACGATTGTACAGCTTAATAATAAATGCGTTAGAAAGGGTCACTTCGCTAAATATAGTGTTCTATAATGGTGCATCGGTGGCACGGCGGTGGAACGCTCGCCAAACCACGCTTCATGTGGTTCGGGGTTCGATCCCCGGCCACTGGACGCACTGCTTTAACTCGTTAAACCAGTAAAAGAGGGAAGGTTGGGCATGAAGCTAGCAATCCCATCCCGTAAAACCATACACCACTGCTACCGAAACTTCAAGCATCTAGTTTGATGCCCTATGTTTCACTGGGGATTGTAAAGGAATAAGAAAAAATACCAAAATGGGAATCATTAAATTATAAAGTAATTGTCAATGAATGGAATACTACTGATAAGCACCAAAGTTCACTGTAAATCGAAATATCATCAAGATACTAAATGCGCTTTAAAAATCCTCTAGCATAAAAAATACTTGAGAGAATGAATCAACCATATGAAAAGTAAAAAACTACCTGGAACTAAATTCAACAAAGTGTGACAGCGTTTATGCCACGATGTCAACTAGATAAAAAAAATCTTATCACACACACACAACATAGTAGAATAAAACATAATCCCATTAAAAAATATGGGTGTACATACCACTTGCACCAAAAATGTGAATATCCAATTGTTCTAAGGCATAAATGAGAACTGTGTTTATTTGAGGCATTAAACCACAACAAAATAATATTGGGAAGATAAGAATCACATAAGCCGATGCACATTGAACTAAATAAGAAAATCGTTTCAGGGATAAATCAATTCCATAAAATTTAATTGTAGGAGAATCTGATGTTTTTGTACTTTGTGATATATACATATTAGGCATACGCCAAATCATTTTCTCAACTGAAAATTCACTTGTTTCACTAACACTTGATGGTAACATTTGTGATGCTGACTGGAATGATAAAGTCGATTCAAAACGAAGTTCACCAGTATGTTCTAAACTGGATGCCTGGCCTGTTGTTGTTGTGGTTAGTACTGATTTTGGTGATTGACATAGGTAGTTGGATAATAGATAAATTGAAGCAAGGAAACAAAAGAAGACAGAGCGGGTGAATACAATGACACGATTATATCCATGTCTAGGTGAGGCTGGATCTGGTTGAACACTTTTGATGAGTGAATAATGACAACCTGCTATTGTAAAACATGCCAAAGGTCCATAATCTTGAAAGCTTAATGTGCGCAAAGTATAATAACCGACAATACTGACCAAAGCAGCTAAGATAGAACACAAAATTGTTTCAAGCATAGTGAAGCTTCTAAAAAAACAAGAAGAAAAACAAACACATCTCGTCTTTTGTGTGAAAAACAACACTTAGGCATACACACTTCAAAATACCTTCCAAGTAATATTATATAATTTCAATTGTTAGATTTTCGTCACGAAAAGCCAGGGAGCACCAGACAGCCGTTTCGTCCTATTTTGGGACTCTTAATCAACGCACACCCACGACCATATCAAAGGTCGAACCCTGGATCTACGGGTTACGAGACCAAACTTATTGACCATTTGGGCTAGAATTTAATGACCCCTGAATTCTAACTTTGTCAGGTCATGATATAACCTCTGCCAATTCCTTCGATAAACATCACCTTCACCTTGATATGATGAACCCCACTGGTCTCGACTTGCTTCCTACTGCAGTTATTATATAATGTCCTACAATAGAAATTGAAAATCACAGCTTAGCTAACAGCTACACGTAACGATCGGTCAAAAGTGAGCGTCGAAAACAACTCCGGGTTTTTGTAGACTTACACGAACACTTGTCCACTCACGTCATTTTTTTTTTGATTTACAGCTTGATTCCACACTGTATTTTTGGTACAAGTATGGAATTTTCAGCATGGATATCGGTAGCCCAAATTTTGCAGGCCGACCATAGATATCAGGTGTGCGCCGGTGTGGGCTCGAACCCGGACCATGTGCATGGTCGGCGAGAGTCCTAACCACTGTGCCACCGACGCACACATAACATAAAAGGAAAAACAATGAGTCATTGATTAGTTTAAAAAGCACATTGGTAAAAAAGGCTGAGTCATATTGAAGCAACAGGTGGTGGATTCAACTCCCACTTGAATCACTTTAGCTCACATAGCTACTAAGTAGTTTTGGAAATTGTCACGATACAACTATTAAAAATTTTTCATACGCCAAGTCATGTTTTCTATTAATTTCGAATAAATATATCGTTTTACTACTGTGGCGATAAAGCCCATTCATAACGGTTTTACTAAAAATCTCTAACGAGGTTTAGTTCAACAATAAAGCTACAGTAAAGCCATTCTACTCAGCACGAGAATTTAATTCTAGAAAATATACTGCCAAACGAAAAAGTTGAAATTTTATTCATCACACTTGATATATTCTGACTGACTAACTAGTTTCAACGTAGAACTTTGCACAGATGTGTACCAGTTCGAGTTGCCACACTCCTTCCATATAGTCCACAAAGCAAGAGAAAGGAGATAATAAACATAAATATGAGGCAAAAAATAGTAATATGAAAGAATAGAATTTTATTATATATTATAATTCATAAAGAGTGAATGCATCTGTGCTACTGAGAATGATTTTGAACTACATTACCAATTGTATCCAGCCTCCATTGGTTTTCACCATCCCGAGGACACCAACCAAGAAGTCTACATCTCCCGACGTGGCTTAAACTAACTGTTGTGGATTTAATTGACTGATTCCATGTTTTCGTTTGACCACCACTAGCTCTTTTCCAATCTCATCCATCCTATGTCAGCTGATATTGCCCATTGTCGAAGAAGGCGATGGCTACGCATGCATCAGTAACACATATCCTAACCAACTCAATCAATCTAATTTCACGACCTCGTCGATTGATTCCCCCTCCTCACCTAGCACTCAACCGAAGCCTAACCTCAACACTGTTCACCTTGTTACATCAATTAACACGAGAGATATAACGCAGACACTTATGATCAAAGACAGGTAGCTTTTTGATGTCTTTCACTTTCCACTTGATATAAGAGCCATAAAATTGACATAAAATACAAAGTTTAAAAAAAGTGTGAACATACTTGTCGAAAACAGATCCCAGCTGCAAACGATTCAACTGAAGACGCAATGTAAATGGAAGGCACGGAGACAAGGATATAGTGTGAACAGGAGCAGTTGGAGAAAGACGTTGGGATTGTAATCTCAGCGGTTTAAAACCTTTACGGAAAAACCAAAGCAGGGAATTCGGAGATGAACGATCTTCATCATCCGACCCAGAATCATTAGATAGATTTGGTGGGTTTTCTGTAATTGAAAAACAAAATTTGCATGAATTTCAAAACTAGCCTCAAAATAAGGTCAGGAGGAAAGTAAGGACAATGACCATCAACTGTTTCTGCAGGGTGGGGGGGGGGGGGGAATACAAAAGGGGTTCCAAAAAAGATAACAAACAGAAAATACTGATGGCATTTAAATACTCACTATTTTATATAGTTTATTTTGCTGAAACTGAACTACGGGGTTCAGCGATGTTATCAGCTACTTTCAAGTTCAACAGATAGGCACGAACGACAATCCCATCGTCCAGAAGCAAGATAATATGCAGCCAACGATTAGTTTAGCAGACTAAATTCGTATTACTACTCACGTGAAAATAATCACACTGTTCACCATCTCATAAATCACACTAGAGATAATCATTAGGATGCTACTCGAAGTTTTGTCGGAGATCAAAAAACATCAACTTGAAGAAAACTTCAGTTAGAACTAAAACAGGAGGTTTTTAGCTCAGTATTTTTTAATTAAACACATCATAAATAATGTACTAGAATGCTTCAGAAATCTTCCCAATACATGAATAATGCTCGACGTTGTCGAATGGGAACACCCGTTACACACCATTTTTCAAGACAGAAACATCAGGTTAGATCCAAAGGAAAGACGTATGAAGATTAAGTATTAATACTCCACCGAAAAATCCCATGCAAATTGGGATAACCGAAATGTAAACTGTTTCTCAGTTCATACAAGATTATAAAACTGTGCTGAGAAAATATCACTATGACGTGAGATATTGTGTATTCTCTAGTAGTGTGTTTGACGATTTCATCAGTTGAATTAATCAACAGTTCTTTTCACCGACTTAATTGATTGAACTAAATTATACACCTCATCCAACAGTTATACGACAATGCTGCATGCCAAGTAATCCACAACGGGAAACTTACGGAAGCCTTCGAAGTGAGGACGGCAGTGAGGCAAGGCTGTCTACTATCACCAATGATCTTCCTGATTGCAATTGATTGGATAATGCGACAGACAACGGCAACCAACGAGGGAACAGGCATAAAATGGACTGACACAAAAGACTTCGAGGATCTGGATTTCGCCGATGATATATGTCTGATTTCCCAGAAACTGGAAGATATGCAAGTGAAAAGTAACAAGTTGGCAGAAGAAGCATCAAAGATAGGACTTCACGTGAACATAGATAAGACAGAGATAATGAAGATTCCTAGCCAACATCAACAACACCAACAGACCACAATAAGCATAAATGGGAAGAACCTGAAAGAAACAACCTCCTTCACCTACCTGGGAAGCATCGTCTCAACTACAGGCGGAACTGACGAGGACATCAAAGCCAGAATCGGAAAAGCAAGACAAGCTTTCATTACTCTCAAATCTGTGTGGAGGTCAACAGCAATCATCATCAAAAATAAGATACGGATTTTCAACTCCAATGTGAAGTCAGTGCTACTATACGGATCAGAGACTTGGCGAGTCATAAAGAGCATCTCAAACAAACTTCAAACCTTCATTAACAACTGTCTCCGCTCAATACTCAAGATCAGATGGCCGGTCAGAAAAGATCAGCAACAGGGATCTCTGGGAGCGAACCAATCAGGAACCGATTGTGAAACAAATAGGCAGAAAGAAATGGAGATGGATTGGCCATACGCTGAGGAAACCATCAAGTGACATCACTAGACAAGCCCTCGAGTGGAACCCGAAAGGGAGGCGGCGAGTTGGTCGTCCAAGGGTGACTTGGAGGAGGTCATGCGAGGAGGAGATGAAAGCATGTGGACAGACCTGGAGCAGGTTGAAAAAGTTGTCAGAAAACCGAAGTCAATGGAGGTGCGCAGCTGAAGCCCTATGTTCCTCTAGGAACTAAAGGATACAATAATAATAATAATAAATTATGATGTAATAGAAATGGACTATTACTCAAAAACCACACGCAATTTTATGCAGCTGACAATAGGTCATACCTATTGTGTAATTATTCTCTCATTATCATTTTATTCCTTTTGTGTTCTGAGCGGAACAAAGGCTTCGGTAGCAGTAGTTTTCATTTTTACGGGGTGGGTTGCTGTCCCCTAACGCCCAGCTTTCCTTCTTTACGGTCTCACAACCAGTTCAGCGACGTTTAGGAGTGCGTCAGCCGAGGACCGGTCCCCAGGCCACGTGGAGTGTAGTTGGCGAGCGTTCTGCCGTTTAACTACAGACGCTCCACCTATTATGTCAGGGTTAATGATACTTGGTAGGTAGGGTAAGGTTCGAACCCGTCTGCCTTAGTGGTTGGAAGTAGAGTGCCTAGACCAATGAACTACAACTCTACCACACTGCTTGTAGAAAACTCATTAACAGGTTCCCCTAACTACGTATAAGTAAAACGGAGCCCCATTGATTGTCAGTCATTATTGTCCATTGATTCTGTGGCTTTTTACTGATGCAATTTGTTAAGATAATACATTTACTCCTGTGTTTTTTTTAAGCATATGATTTGAAATTATATTTAAAATTAATCAGTCTACAAAATGAAGTGCACAGCTTTATAACTAGAGGAGCCGAATAATAATAGTAGTATTATTAATAAAGAATTAGTGATATTTTGAACTTTGAAGTGCAACACAAGTTTAGATTAGATAGACAGGTAGACATATAAAAGGCTATAACAACAGTTTAAATGTACAGACTAACAACCTGTATCTAAGCTGGATATAAACATCAGACTTTAAATAAACAAAGTAAAACGATGCAAATATATATGACAAAATATTATTGAGATGTAAAATAAAAGTAATAAGATCAGACACACACGAACACTCACACACACACACACACACACCTTGCACGTTGATCTCGTCATCGCTTTGTCTATTTCTATTAGCTGAACTATAGGTCGTGATGTTTAGACCTTGTATATCCCATGAATTCGAATCAGCATTACCCGACGAATTGATCTGACGAGTATCACTGACATAAAAAGAAAATAATTTCAATGACACAGTGAACAAATTATAAAATGAATCACAATAACAACATGTCACGTATCATATTATTATTATTATTATTATTCAAGTTTGATCACGGATTAATATGGGTTAGAGAACCACTGAAAACAAAGGAATACTGAAGAGTTGCTTCACCCTCCTTAGGGACTCTGCAATAGTAGTACACACACTTATAACACCACCAAGTAATCAAACTCAGGGCCTTTAGGTTACAACGTGAGCTCGTTGACTTCTCGATCACTGGAACGGGATCAAACGGTCCATGAAATCTAACTGACTGCGAGCTTCCATAAGTTAGAATTCACGGATTATTGGATTCAGTCCACTGGTCGAATAGTCAACGAGCTCGCCTCGTAACCTGAAGACCCAGGGATTCAATCCTTTTTTGAAGTCATAGGTATGCACGAAACAGACCCCCAGTATCTCCTGGTTTTCAGTGGTTCTTTGACTAATATCAATCTGTGATTAGGCTTGAAACTAATCAAGTATCTAGAAAAACACCTGAAAATATCATTTTTCAATTATTATTATTATTATTGTTTACTTGAGTTCCGAGTGGAACGCAGCACTTCAACAACATATCTCCACTTTGTCTTACCTTTTACAGTCCTCTTCAGCTGAGTCCATGATTGACCATAATCTCTCATCTTCTCCTCGCCACATGATATCCTCCATATCACTCTAGAACAACTTCCTCGTCGCTTGCCATTAGGGTTCTATTCGAGCAATGGCCTGGCACGCAATGTCGTTGGGTGGCCTCCTCAACATATGCCCTATCCATCTCCACTTTCGCCTACATATTTTTTGAGCGATCGGTTCTCGCTATTTGTTTGTTCTCGCAGTTTCTTATTGCTTATTCTTTCTGGTCATTTGATCTTCAATATGGTGCTAGCGAAGAGAGCTGTTGATAAAATCCGTAACTTGTTAGAAACAATTTTCGTGACTCTCAGTGCAAGTTTCTGACTCGTATAGAAGGACCGACTTCAAATTGGTGATGAAAGTGCGAATCTTGTTCCTTCTGTTGAATGCAGAAGATTTCCAAACTGGTTTCAGGTTGATGGCGTATCTCGCCTTTCCGATTCTGGCTGGCTTTAACATCTTCATCCGTTCCATCAACCTGTATAGTTGAAACGATGCTGGCTGCCTAGATAAGTGAAGGAAGTAGCCTCTTTCAAATTTCTCCCGTTGATGGTGATTGGTGCTGGTTGTTGTTGTTTTTGCTGCTGTTCGTTGGTTACCTTCATCACCTCCGTCTTCTCTATGTTCACTTGCACTCCTGTCTTTGCTGTCTCTTCGGTCAGTTTGTCGGTTTTTGTCATTAAGTCTTCGAGTTTGTGTGACATTAGACATAAATCATCCATGCGACAAATCCAGATCTTCTAGAGTTTTATTATCGGTGATCCAGCGTACTCCTGTCTCCTCGCTCCCCTCAGTCTGTTCCATAATCCAGTCCACCACAATTAAGAATATCATCAGTGATAATATCGCTATTCGATAAGCTCATAAAATTATAGTACTTCTCATAGGATCTACTTCTTCTGTAATGAAATATAAACTTTAATAGTACTCTATTGTTCACCTATAACATTATCACTAGTCTTCTTACCTGAGTATTAAACTTTTGGTCTACTGAACAGTGATTCGCCTACTTAAACTTCACAAACACAAATCAGTTAGGGGGTGACGAATTCGGTTTTCAAAAGAAGGCATATTAAATAGCAACAACTTAAATACAAAGCCGTATAAAGTTACATATGTAATGAGATCCAACTCTTCATCTAAATGAATATCAATTTACTGATTCTAAAAATAATTACTACAGGAATTAGATAAGTAGAATACAAACAAAAAGAAGAAAAACTTTGTTTTTCTCGAAATACAGATAATACGTATTTCATTTGCATACTTTATCATCCATTGGGATGTAATCGCTTCTATTAATAAAATATCCAGATGTTTCTGGAGATATTGAAACTACCTAACATCTATCTTATCAGTGATAGAATAAAATTAAATAGCTAAGAGAAATAGTAATAAAGGCGAGTCAATCAGATCTTGAAGATGACTGATAAGCGTGATTTGTTATCCAAAATTTCCCTTACACACATATAAAATTACCCACTAAGATAGTATCCCATTTAATTCATAAACATGCAGTTAACTGGACGCTACAATACTAGGCCTCTATTCTATTTCAATTCTTTCTAACCAACTTTAATCTGATAATAGATATACGGTAGTATTGCATAACGCTGGGACAGTTCTTTTCAGCCTGTAGGTTTTTACAACTGGAATCCCTCTCCATCTAATTCAACTTCGTGAAGTCGTGAAGTTACAAAGACTGAGATGGTTACGACATGTGTTACGTATGCCTAGTTATCGCCTTCCTCGACGGGAAATGTTAGCGGATATAGGAGGGTCAGGCTGGAAAAAAGCTAGCGGCGGTCAAACAAAAACTTGGCTTCACCAGTTAATGAAATCCACAGCAGTTAGTTTAAGCCATATAGGAAGGTGTAGACTTCCTGGTTGGAGTCCTCGGGACGGTAAAAACCAATGGAGGCTGGAAACAATTGGTGATATGGCTTAAAATCGTTCTCAATGGCTAGCGCAGATGCATCCACTCCTTGTGACTTATGATTTCCAATGAAACTGTTTTGTTCTTCGTTATTACTCCTCCTTTGTCTCACACCTCTGCTCACTGTTTCGATTATGCTTTTCTTGTGATTTCTTCTCTTGCTTCGTGTGCTACACGGAGTGTAGCGACTGGAACTGCCGCACATTTGTGCAAAGTTCTATGTCGAAAACAGACAGACAGACAGAATTCAACTGCAGTATTTTTGTGGTGTGATACAGACAATGTGTTTCAACGGAATATTATTCTCACCTATTCCCACAGTTCAATCCGACATTAGCAACAGAATACGATATACCTACTTCAACATTTTGTTTGTTGCTACAGTCAGAATATTATTCCCACAATTCAATACTGCGTTAGCAACAGAATATTATGTATTTGAACATTCCGTCTCATGTCGTTTAATGTAAGACAAAACCACATGCCCAATGATTGGCTAGAGAATATAAAACTGTACGTACATAAATAGCTGTTTGATCACTTGGAAATATACCCTGGCTTCAGCGCCTAGACTTCTATTGTTACAGTATCATCAATCCTCATAGCCTGGAACATGAAACATCTGTTCCAGCTAACAGAGTTCAAGCGTTATTCCTTCTAGTATTTGAGAAACACTATTCTAGCAACCAAGCCAGTGTACTACTGTGGTGAGAGCTGTCTACAAGACAAAATTGTAGACAACAATTGAAGTCAATGTTTACGTCCTAGATCGATGTCATGAGAAGAAACAAGAACAAAGCCTAACCTTGAGGAACTCAACAACCAATCACAGCAGACTTTGCGTGGGTGGATACGATTCGCAGATATATCAACGGACTGTATAAGAAACGGTAACAAAGAGATGATAGAATAACCTTCAACAAGAAAACAACCAATCAGAAGACGTTGCTTCTCTGCTAACAATACCTGTTGATTCTCTCAATAAACGATCGGTTGCTTAGCCCTTATCTTCTGTCGTTACACTACTACTACTAGTCTTTTGAAAAAATATAGAAGGCTTTAAATTTACAATGCAATTGAGTCGTAATCATAATTTACATACTCAGTATTGTCTTCCAACAAAAAGAACAGGTCTGTGACTTCAATTTCTTATTTCAGAGGAGAAGCGGCAAAAAAAATGATAAGCGAAGACAATTTATTAAAGCCTACTATGTTACGACTAAATAATTATACAGAACTATAATTTACCGATTAACTGTTTCACCATTGGCAACAGTTGATTCCTGTAGTACTGTGGCGCTATCAGTTGCAGCTTCAGTGACAGCATATAAAATATCCCATTCAGCGCTTGATTAGGATAAAATAAAAAAACATTAAGTAAACAAGTTTAATATCAGGCAAAATATAAGCACACTTTTATTAAACAATATGTGGATGCATGCTACCTTAAACTAACAGAAAAATATAAAACACAGAATGCATATACCCCTCCCCCTATTCAAATTTTAGGTTTTGTAGGGATTCCGATTATAATTTCAACGCAGATTTCGTCACGAAACGACATCAGTCAGAGAATCACTGAATAGCAAGAAGCACGAGTCAGTTGTTTCCGCCTAGTTTGGGACTATTCAGTGGTGTGTACCTACAATGTGCGTCGGTGGCACAGTGGTTAGAACTCTCGCCGACCATGCACATGGTCCGGGGTTCGATCCCCTGCCGACGCACACCTGATATCAATGGTCGGCCTACAAAATTTGGGCTACCGATATCCATATTGAAAATTCCATACTTGTACCAAAAATACGGTGTGGAATCAAGCTGTAATCAAAAAATAAATAAATCTCAGCATGGATCGCCTGGCAACTTGAAAGTCCTGGATTCTGATTCCTTTTTAACGTCGCGTGTGCGAACTTGTGAAGAGTCCCCAAATGGGAAGAAAAGGCTATCCACGGCTCTTTAGCATTAAAAGATTCCGGTTAAAGTCATATTTGTGTATATTTTTATCCCTACAAAGACGTTCAAAGCCGAATATGAAACAGTGACGCAGACAACCATATAAAATTGATGAAAAAATATCACTGGTATTTATTTCATAATGCAGATAAACTTTTCCAACACTTTAGTGATAATACAGATTATATTTAACACTTAAGAAATATTTTAGGTCTCAATGAATTGAGGTGTAAACTGACCATGACCCAAAGACTAAAATAAATTAGTTATTTTTCATTATCTCGTCTTGATTAAATTTTATTTTATGTACAAATGTAAGAATAGTTGTTCATTCAGTGAAATGGAAGATATTCGTTAGTTGAAATTATTAAGGCACATATTAAACATGTCAAGCCACTTTCTACGTCGATGAACAATGTGTTTTAGGGAAGAATACTAAGTATTTAATTGGTGGATGGTGACTGGCAGTGGAATCCATGATGCGCATTTCGTTCTACTTTAGGACTCGTCAGCTGAATGTACCTGCATTTCTTAGTGATAATGATGTTCCCACCCAGGGCCCAGTTCAATCAATCGACGGGAAAACCTAAAATTCAATAAAATTAATATGACCCGTCGCACAAAAGGTGGCTCTAGTGGCCCAAGTGGTCTAGTGGATAACGCTTTGACGTTTGAAACTATGGGTACTGGGTTCGAGCCTCGGTGGGAACATCATCACTCACTCAATGTGGAATGCAGGTACATCCAGATGACGAGTCCCAAATAGGACGAAATGCACATCCTGGATTCCCTGCTAATCACCATCCACCAATTAAATACTAACTAAATGCCCGGACATCGTCGAAGCATCTGCACAAGAAGCCGACATCTCAACCTGAGACCGAGCACTTCGGTCCAATCAATCAACGGGAAAATCTCAAATTCAATAGAAGTATACTAAGGTTGATAAATAATTGAGAAACGATCAGATAAAAACACAATACAAATCCACAGTTACTGAATAATACTGGTCTCAGCCATCATAAGAGACCAGACAATTATGTCTATTATATAGGATCTAGTTGTACTACCACCTTGTTATACAGGTCGTCATAATCTGGCTGGTTTTCATGCTTGTTACCTACTGATGAGTTGTTTCACGCAATTGAATCAACAACTCAGTAGAGCATTGTCTAAACAGACTTTCTGTGACTATATTTGAAGACTATTTTGACATTCACGTAAAAGCCATGAACTAATTCATCCGATAATGACTTAACAGTCAGTTGTGTGTCAGAAGTTACTTGTATGGATATATATATATTAACAACACAGCTGTAGGTTGAATTTTTATTCAAAACGTAGAAACTTCTAAAAAATATGCTTGATGGATATTAGAACAATTTACAAACTAAAAGTTGACTGACATTCAAAATAAGAATCATTAACTGTCTGATTAAACTATTTGATGATATGGATGAATTAACGATAATTGATGAATAAACTGACTAAATTTCTGAATGATGTCACTCTCAGACATAATAACTCCTTCAACTAACGACAATAATGAAAATTACTTAGAGAATCTTCATACTATAAAAATTATATCATAACAAACATAAGAAAATGATCTGATGCTCACCAACGACTGGCCCTATTCAGGTAGTTAACCTAGGAATCCAGTGGGAAGCCGTGACCAGTAGAGTGCAAGCAGCAGGTTGAAGATGAGGCAGTAACTCATCGAAGAAGATATTGCGAAATGGTCGCACTATGTCGTCCATTCGTAGAAGTTAGAACTAATGGGCCATTGAATCCTGTCCCAGTGGCTCAATGGTCTACGAGCCGCTAGCCTTGTAATTAGAACGCCCTGGGTTCGAATCCCGGTGGGTGCGTACTGATGAAGAATCCCAAACTATGCTGACCAAACAACTGTCCAGTACACTTGGGTTTTCCAGTGGTTCTCTAACTGATGTCAGCTCACGATGAAATCCTCCATCCAATCAAACAAAATCCCTACAAATCCAGTACTTGGAAATAAGGAAAATGTGCATAAAAGACAACCATATAACAAACACTAGGGACAAAAAGATTACTGTTATGTTCACTGATGAAACAACTTGTCTTCAAACACATAACTGTGATCAAATCCTAATTGCCAAACTTTCAATGTCCATCTGGACAACGCCTCCAACGCTGATTTGAATATGACTTCCGAATTAAACCATTTATCTCGGAGAATGCAACGACAACACACTAGAAAAAAATCATCGACTACAGATACAAATCTTCTCGACTATCTCATAATCAAAATTACTAGACATCATATTGTGGTGAGAGCAGGCTGCTAGCCGATTGGTAGACATTAATCGACGCTGATTGGTAGATATTAATCTAGGCTGATTCAACAACCAATCACAGAAGACTTAAACGTGGGCAAATATGATTCGCAGATAAATGGCTCTACTTTCCGAGAAATATCGAAAACAACCAATCAGGAGACTGTGTTTGTCTTCCGAGAAACAACCAATTAGAAGACTGCCTTTTTCTGCTTGCATAAGCCTTATTAATGTACATAAAATATATATAAATACGCGTTGATTTTCGTAATAAAACGATCTGTTGCCTGGCCCTTGTCTTCTGTTGTTACAATATTATATTTGGTTGATGGTGGCCAGCGACGGAATTTAGGATTCATCGTGTTGGGGACTCGTCATCTGCACGTACCTGCACCCCACTCCACCCTCAGCTCAATAAACAGACTAAATATTTACCTCGGTCTAGTCCGATCAACTAAACAGGAAATTTAAAATAATTGCCATACATAGGACACACCACACCAGAAGGAAACTTGTATATAAGCAAAAGGTGATGACATCCCAATTCTTCGTTGTCTGTTAAAGACAATAAATAATACACATGTGAAAACGACAATTAATCCTACACCATACAATATTCGAATATCATTTAAACGGTTTATAATTTCATTAATTACTCATGTTTCACAGACTTGTTATCTCTTCACTAACTTATTCGATGACTTCATAATTTAATTATTTTTTTTTGTTAAAATGATATTAAAGTCATGTATATGAGAATTCCCACACCGACTAAGCTGTAAATATAAACTATCGGCATGTGTCTTACCAATCGCTAAAATCATGACAATGTGACACATATGATTATGACAATCATATAGAATTGTACCAACCAAGGCAGAATACAGCTAAGGTGATTATGATTATAATTCTCCTACATTAGCAATTAGAAGTTGAAGTTTCCGTCACAAATGGATTAGCTCTCTGGATTAGGGTCTCTACCCCTATCTTCCCTCTTTCTCTAGGCCCAGGACAAGCTAGCAGACTAGACCTACAAGTGAAGATCAACAGGTTGGTAGAAGAAGCAACAAAGGCAGGACTTCAAGTGAACACAGGCAAGACAGAGGTGATGAACATGACCAACCAACTAACCAATAACAAGCATTAAACACTACTAACAGGAGAAATTTGAAGGAAGCCACAGCATCGTTTCAGTTACAGGCAGACAGCACGGATGAGGATGCCAAGGCAATGACCGGAAAGGCAAGATAGACTTTCATTAGTCTAAAATCAGTGTGGACATCCTACTGCATTCATCAACAAAAACAAGATTCGAATTTTCAACACTAATCTCACGGCAGTTCTTCGACATGGTTCAGAGACTTGACGTGTCATTAAAGCCATTGCCAACAGGTTTCAGACTTCTATCAACAACTGCCTTCACTGGCTCTATTCTGAAGACCAGATGACCACTAAACAGAAACGATTAGAGACAAGGAATTCTGGAAAGCTACGAACCAACCAAGAATCTATTACCGAATAAACATTCCGAAGGAAATAGGGATGGATCGGACATACTTTGAGAAGACCGTTGAGTAACATCGCACTCCGAGGCTTCAACTGGAACCCAAGTAGGAAATGGTAAATTGGGTATAGAAGAGTCTGAGAATGATATCGAGGAGATTGTGTGAGAAGTAGGAAATGAAAGCTTATGGGAAATCGTCGAGCCAATTAAGGGTGACTGTAGAAAACAGAAAGAAACGGAGGTGTGCTGTTGAAGCCTTATATTCTACTCAGAACCTACGTAAATAATAATGATATAATAGTAATTCGCAAAATACATGTACCTAATGACACAATTTTTGTACACTACAGACTACGGCAGCACAATATAGAGTATTGCAGAGTGGAAGAGTAAGTCATAGAAATTAAAATAATACATTAATAACAGTAGGTGGTAAATTGAAAATGTAGGGAGAGTGCATAAGTCAAAACAGGAAATAAAAAGAAGAATATATGTGTGTATGTGTGTGTGCATTTACCAGGTAAAAGCAGTACACAATAAATGATTGATCCACCAGTAGTACTAGTAAGACAAATTTTAACAGATAATGGCAGCGAATACCAAACAATAACTTTGATAGTTCGATATACATAAGAAAGGATACGTCTTCATCAACCTGAAACCACCTTGGAAGCCTTCCGCACTCAGCATGAGGAACAAAATTCGGCTTTTCAACACTAATGTGAAGTCGGTCCTCCTATACGGGTCAGAAACTTAGTGTGTCACCAAAAAGGATTTCCAACAGGTTGCAAACCTTTATCAACAGCTGCCTTCACTCCAATACTGAAGGTTAAATGGCCAGAAAGAATAAGCAACAAGAAACTGTGGGAACAAAGCAACCAAAAGCCGATAGCTCAACAAATATGTGGGAGAAAGTGAAGATGGATCGGACATACATTGAGGAGACCGACGAATGACATCGCACGCCAGACCAGTGCTCAAGTGGAATCCTAATGGGAAGCGATGAGTGGGTCGTCAGTGTGAGGGTGACATGGAGGAGACCGTGTGTGGAAGAAATGAGAGAGTTTGGTCAATCGTGGACCCAGTCGAAAAGGACGGCAGAAAACAGAACAAAGTGGAGATGTGTTGTTGAAGCCCTATGTTCCACTTGGAAAGCAAAGGAATAATAAAGAAAATAATATAGAGCTCATAGAACTCAACAAAAGCTTCATTTCATTTACCCAGTTCTGCATCAACCAGGTAACCCAGCGCTTTGAGGCTAAATGTTAGCAGATCCAAGAAAACTTGGCCTAGAAAACCACATTATTTTCTAACTCTTAGAATGAAAACTATCAACTTCGCTATACCACAGATGAGACCGTAAATTTTTACCCCGCACATATCTTTAAATTTTAACAATCAGCAGGTCAGCTTTTTTAAAATATTAATATATATCTCATCAATGTGCTGTGAGATAAAAGTTGATGCAAGACAAAAACAAAGATCCAGAGACAGACATGAATAAAAACTCCTGAAGTTAGGCTTTACATATGCAAAGTTATGAAGACACTTTGGTAATTTGTATACCAACTCGCAAAGTACTCAAAACGCAACACATATACCAAAATGAGACACCTATATTATTAGTATCCACATGCCTAGGCTGAAAAAGGTAGGGTGAGATGCGACCAGAGAGTCACTGACTGAAAGTCATGTCGAGCATAATTGACTGGTTTCAACGTAGAACTTTGCACAGAAGTGCTACAGTTTGAGTAGCCACACTTCACGCAGTATTCACAGGAAGAGAAAAGAGAGAAAAAATAGTCAAAAGAACAATAAAAACCAGAAACATGAGGAAGAAAGAGTGATAACACTACGGTTTATTGGATATGATAGACCGCAAAGATTGAATGCATCTGAGAGATTGAGAACAGTCTCGAGCCATATCCCTAATTGTCTCCAGCCTTCATTGGTTTTTATCATCCCGAGGACTCAAACTTCCCTCTTCACCAGTCTTCATACTGGTTTAGCGAAGTAAAGGAGTGAGTCGCCCGGGATAGAACCCCGAACCATACACATGGTCGACGAACATTCTACCGCGATACTATCAACTTCAACATTACTCACCACATTATACCGATTAACACAGGAGATAGAATGGAGACATCTACGATCAGAGACAGCTAGACTTTTTATGTATACCATGTGAAGCATAGATTTACAGCATCCGATAATATTTACGATAGACACTGATAAACAAAATTGTATAGTTCCACATTGGTAGTGGCATTTATCAACATAATCGAAAAATCACTCAGTTCACTTTCACAGAATAATAAATCACAAACATACTATTACTAATTCGTAAGAATGAATGCTGTTCACTCTGTATATACAAGAACGCATCATAAAAGTGTGAATGAATACGGAAATAGATTTTAAGTGTGCTATTGTAATATATGTATCATATAGTTAGCACTTACTCCAAATGTATTATTCATTTGTATTTTCAAAAAAGTATCTAGACATTATAATTTTGAAAATAGTATAAGCAAATCTTTAGTGAGGAACAGATAAATGCGCAGAAACATACAACAGTACACCACCAATTGTGAAGTTGAAATAATACAAAGCGAAAAGAAACCATTAGAAATCCAAATATATCAACAAAAACAAAAACAGTAGGTTATACACTTGAAGGTTATTCAATATTTTGAGAAAGAAGAAAATGAACACATATGCATCGCATTTGTGACTGATTTCTAAACCAGAACAGTAAGAAAACTAACTATTCATATTTGTCTTAAACATCTGGAGGATTACGGCTATGAGAGATAAGTTAGAGAACCATTGGAAAACCTGGAAGTACTGGACAGCTGTTTCGTCCTAGTTTGGGACTCTTCATCAGTACGCATCCACCACCAGGCTTCTAACACAGAACCTTCTGGTTACAAGGCTAGCGAGCTCGTATACCATTAAGCCACTGGGACCCGATCCAATGGCCCATGAATTCTAACTTCTGCCAATTCACGGTGGATGCGCACTGCTGAAGAATCCCAAACTAGGACGAAACAGCTGTCCAGTACTCCCAGGTTTTCCAATGGTTTTCTTACTAATGTCAACTCATGATGAAATCCTGTAACCAATCAAATCATTACAAACTAACACCTGAATATTAGAGATAAGAGGAAAAAGATGAGTAAAGACGTTTTTTCGGTGATTTCATCCTCAAAAGCGACTGTACAATCACATTTATATGCATAAGTTAACATAGATACAATTGCTATTTATTTCCCCATAATAACGACACTGAGAGTGATATTTCCAAGCCACCCACTAATTCTAGGCATTGTGAAGGACAAACTCCTATGTATCACCGCTTTAATGTGCCTATATCAATTCACCTGCAGGTATGGACCTAAGTTGTTCTATGTGTGTTCTTTCAAAACATTACACAGTATGACTGCGAACAGATGACATTGATTCAATCGGAAGCGCCACAAGTGAACACTACATTAACGCTTATCGCAGTATCTCTACCAAAGGCAGCGTGTTTCTGACTTCACTGTACTGCAGAATCCCTCACTATATTCATCGCAAAGCCTAAGCTATGTGTATTCAAAACAAACTAGTCCAGCCTCTACAAATTTGCTATGAATCTAGTTCGGTTCGACTTCTTAATTTTTGCTGTTTTTTTGTTTATTTGTTTATTTTTTCATCTTTAGTTATAAAAACTATTGTTTCAGTTTGTTTCCATGGTCACCTCGTTTATGCCTGTTTTCGTTGAAAACGACTTTACATATTGCACAACTATCTTGTAATCCCGTGTAATTTTGTTTCTAAACCCCTTGTAATTTATATTCACACCTTCGAACCTTCATATCTCCTTCGCTTATTATGTGGAATTAAATAATAACTGTACCCATGTATTTTATTATTATTACTTCATTCCTATACGTTCCGAGCGGAATATAGGGCTTCAAGCTTCAGCTTTGAAGTTTCTGTAGCAGTGGTTTTATTTTTAAGGGGTGGGGTTGCTAGCTTCATGTCTCAACCTCCCCTCTTCACCAGTCTTTTTGCTTGATTAAGCGAGGTTTAGGAGTGCATCGGCCAGGGATCAAACTCTGGACCACATACTTGGTTGGCGAGTATTCTACCGCTAAGCCACCGGCGCGCGTAAGTAAATACGATTGTACAGCTGCTTTTGAGGATGAAATCACCGGAAAGATATCTTTGCTTAGCTTCTCGTCCTTTTTTTCTCTAATATGCTGATGGTTATTTTCCACAATTTCGAATTTATCTTAGGCTAAAATTTAACGATATAATAAATTCTTGCTGTTTTCTTTGTTGATTTTGCCACTTTTCAGGACATAATTTCGCTCTAATTAGTATAGTCTTGATAACAAAAAATCTCTAAATGCATTTACGTTCAACTATAGGCAAGTACTGTACAATTCGTATAGTTGGACAGAATACACTAACTAAAACTACACTTGCCCTTCGACGATATGAGGGTAAATTCCCTGCCAGTGCAACTGCGTTGGGAGTAGTTTGAAGATTACCGTACCACTTAAGAATTGCATTTGAACACTGACACTTTCTTAGAATTTCTTCTCCTATAAATTATTCCTACATTAACCTAAAATTCAACTTACATTCGATTCATTAACCACCCCCCACCCACCCACCCAAAAAAAAGAACTACAAAACCTGATCACAGTTCGTGCGAAAGATTTAAACGAAAAAAAAAGTTTGATAAATCAGTAAAAACAAAAATAAAAAACTCACTTTTCTGAATCTTCAGCATTTCCATCTCCACGTAATTGTAGTAAACACTGTTGACGAGTTAATCCAGTTTCAGCCAGGGATTTTACACCCATAAGGTGAGCGAGTAGATTATCTGAAACAGTAAATAACCCAAGTCGATTAGTAATGAATACTTGATAACTAAAAACAAAAACGAAACATACATAAAAACAGCTTCATTTCGTGTGTTTATCTACACAAAGAATAGCAAACAATTCGTTATGCATTACTCATTATCTCAACAAATGAGTAACTAGTGTAATAAAATTAATTAACTGTGATAAAGCTGTGGATGGGTTGTCTCAGGAATCGACAACAGTTGACACGTTCTAACAGCACCCTACCTAACGGTTTGCAAAACCGATTTCCATCGTTCGAACTGGAACACTAAATTGGTTATTATCTAAAGCCTTGACGTTCTTCACAGAATTCATAGCCTTGAAGTGGTTATGGTAACTTAGTTCTATCATTTAGCGGAAGCTGAATTCGTCGTATTTCCGGAGACTATTTCCCTGTTCTATAACCATAGTCAGACGTCTCAGTAAATAAAAAATGGAAAAAATGAAGTAGTGAACGCATCCTTCTATAGTGGGCATAGATTGTGTTCATCTATTCTTGCTGTAATATACATACGCCATGTCTTGATAAGCGACAATTGCAACAGTCTCCTTTCTACTACTTGATGCCCCCCCCCTTCTTATTGAAGGCGCCATCTACTTCTTTTCACAAAACTAAAGATTTCTGTACAAAGGTTTCAATAAAATAAATCACATATAACTGACAGATGATTGAGAGTAACACGAAATGAGGTGAGTTTATAACGTACAATTATGCACAGAAATACAGCAGTTCGGGTCGCCACACTGCATACAGTACACAACAGTAGACAGAATAAAAAAAACTACAGTGGACGGAAACGTTTGGCAGACATAGTAATTATACTGGAAAATAATGAGGATTTAGTGAAGATTGTAAAGAGTAGATGCGTCTGCATCATTCAGAACGATTTTGATGCATTTTATCAACAGTCTCAAAGGCATTGGTTCCTAGCACCTCGAAGAAATCCAATCTAGGTGACTATAACCGACACTCAAAAACTTCATGAACCGATACCAGGCCTAGATCCCACCGATCTTAACTCGTTTCCAATGTGCACCAGTGGTTTAGTGGTAGGATGCTCACCACCCCAGCACTTCGTAAAGGGTCCAATTCCCGGCCGACGTACTCCAAAATATTGCCTAGCTTACTAGGATTTAGTAAATCTAGAAAATAGGGTGGGATATCCACCTTACCTTGAAAATTCAAGGACTCATAGCCTGAAGCCCTATGTTCCATTAAGAGTTCAAGGAATTAAAAAACTCCTCTCCAACCTTATCCTATACCAATTAACATTGGTCGTCCAGGTGAGTTGTAACTTAAAATGCGTAACATGCGTCCCAGCCATCTTAATCGATGTAGCTTAACAACCTCGTTTATTGACTTGCCCTCCTTAAATAACACTACACGCCTAACCTGATTATTACTCAGCAATATCACTTAACACACGAGATAGAACGCAGACGGCTGAGGTTTGAAGGTAGCTAGCCACCTCAAGTCGTCCACTTTCAACGGTCACATCTCACAGCCACAAAGGAGGACAGAGCAAACTGCTACCCAGTAAACACGCCCTCTAATCGACAGGTGGATATCATGCCTATGCCAAAGATGACATTGGCGAATCCTACACCAGCCTTTAGTATTTGAGCTGGGATTTTTTCGGCGATCCGTCCATTACCACTTATACAATTTCTAAAATAAGTGAAATGGTCAACGGGCTCTACCACTTCGCTCCTTAAATTAGGAGTTCGCGCAGACCAGTCCTACTTCATCATCTTACATTTGACATGTGCGAATTACATACCAAACATTTCTGTCAAAGGTGTTCATAAGACTCTGCATTTTGCCAACGTCTGCACCTAGAAGGATAATATCATTCACTTATCCTAAGTCAACGAGACTGTACCCTGGTAACAAGGAACCTCCAAGTCGCTGAAGTTGACCAACAACATATTCATTAGTGCAAGTATAATGAAATTATACAAAAATGGAGACAGTGGGCACCACATGATGGTCACAACTTCAGATTACAACTCTTCATAACCTCTTAAAGGGCTGTGTGATAAGAAATTGCCACAACAACTCTCAGCCGACTCATTCAAATGCTTGGAGTCTTCAGGTAAAGAAATATGGTGAGTGATAGAGGCGTGCAAGCGCGACTTAGAAGAGAAAAAGTTTTACCAATTTATCCCTACCCTAGCGCCTTAGGCCTGTCTGGTTTCCACAGATTTTTCTCTCCTGACCACCACTTAGTGCTCACGAATGACTTTTGAAACGTTGTTTAAATTCGCATTACTTCACTTGTTAAATTCAATCTATAAAAACGTAAATTTGAATTTACTTATTGTGAATCAGCTATATTTTTAATTTGAATCATTAAAAGTAGGACAAACGACTAAATCTGAGAATGAGTCTAAATCTCAGGTATAAAGGCATAAAGAAGTCGTTTTTACCCTTTGAAGATCAAAGATATACTAATGAAAAGTTCAAACAACAGGTGATCTCTGATAGCCAGTATATCCCATACAAGTCCTCATCGTTTGACGAAATTAAATAAGACAAAAACAAATTATCATTGCAGCTTTATCTCAATGAATTTATTGTAATCAAGAAGCAAAAAAAAACACTTACCAACAGCTTGATCCACTGAAATAGGATTCAAAGAAGTGGATTTTGAAGCAGACGATGAAGTCTATATATAAAGAAAGATGTTAAACAACAGATAAATAATATTTCATACGTAAATAAATATTGATAATAATGGCTTTATTCCAAATAAGTAGCACATATATTTATGAATAAAATAGTTAACACTTATACCTGAGCACAATTATTATCTATTTCTTTCTTCGATATTTCTTTGGTGTCTTCATTTCGTAATGGACTATCAGATGAACAACTGTCATTCTCACTTTGATGTAAAGATACAGTTTTCGACTGACTACACGGACGTGGGGAAACGGCAGGTCTCCGACGAAAGCCAGCTTGTCGTGTCAGACGATAACTATTTCTAAATAAAGAAGAATAAAAGGTGTATTAAGTCCAGTGGGAGAAAAATTAGTTCTGAAAAATGAACCCCTTTCCATATATATATATATATATATATATATCGACAGTTCAGTGGTAAAGTGCTCACCAAAAATTCATGTGGTCTAGGGTTCGACTCCTGGCCGATGCATCCTGAAAACTAGCCCAGTTTGCTAGTCAGCAGTAAGCCGTGGAAAGGGAGAAGGTTGGGCGTCATGATAGCAATCCCACTCCGTAAAACTGATTAACACCACTGCCATTGAAACTTCAAATCTCAAAGCTTGAAGCCTTGTTCCACTCGAAATGCAAAGGAATGAAATGTTTTGATTGGACATTAAGTAGTGTCATGTGTCTAGTCCTTTGTTTGCTGTATATTGAATTCTGTCGGTCAAGTTTGCAGTGTTGCCACCATGTTAGGTGTCTCGCCATCACGGCGGTTGGAGGCAATCGGCAGGAAGCCTTAGACCTACATTTTGTGCTTGTTGGCACTCATTAGCAAGGTTTATCTACAATCTTGCAGGAACTCATGACACTTTTGAGTTTCGAATTCGTGTCACCACCTAGTGCTGCAGTTGGAGACGTTACCATTGAGCTATCCGGGCTCGCGATTGGCCTCCTAGGTCGAAGGCTTCCAGGCGATTGCCTCCAAACATCTAATAACAATTCGGAATGAAATATATATATCCTTGAAAATATCGCACAATCGAATCACATTTCACTATAATAGAATCCAATCACACAATTAAGTCTCTGAAGAACGAATATCCGACCTTTCAAAGCAGATTTACATCATCCTAATGCACAAATACTCCTGCAACTTTTCTATTTACACACCAACAAGCTTATGAACACCTGTAGTCCTTTTCTATACACTCTGTGTGTATTCAATTACACTGCATTAAGTGTCAACAGCTTTCAGCTAATTAATTAAATTAGGTAAATATTTTGTGTACTGATATTAAAACTGTTTTCCTTTATGATTGTATGAGGTTGACTAGAACCAACGAAATCAAATTGTATCGTATTATTCTACACACTTTTCTAGTCTTCCTTTATTCAAATTCACACAAAGGAAATCACGTATGAAATGTTGAAAATTAGTTTAGAATGTAACATTTCTCTTCCGGTAAAAGGAATCACTTCCCCATGAACGTCTATTTCAATTAACAAGAACTAGAATAAGATTATTTTTGAGTGAAACAAGAATTATTCTTGATATAAGTATAAAACTTGGGCACTGTGGTAGAGCATAACTCCATTATGGATAAGATTTTATTTTGATAAATCACACAGTGTTGTACAGTAATATTAACTGATGACGTTTCAAGCACAAACTATTGCTCATAATCATATCAAGTTACTCACACAATGTATTTCCTTCATTTATATACATGTTTGGAATCGATTAGATATTGGAATAAAATTCAATATGAGATAATGTACATTCAGAAATAATAATAATACGAGTGTTATTGATCAATTACAATTAGATGGGAAATAAGACTAGTGTTTTTATAGTCATCATAATTTACTTGTTAAAATGTTTTGATGTGTTTGAATTGAATTTTAAGATTATTTATTATCCTCCTCTGATTTCACTGACTGACTGGTGGTAATAATATCTTCCATATTTCTGGTATTTGCATTGAGTCATTTCTGTTGCATATGTTGCGTGTAGACTCGATGAAGAAAAGGATTCAGTAATCAATCTCTCCCTCCACCTAACTATATTACTTCTTAGAATTTTAACCCTATCCCACCCTATTGTGTGGTTGTGTGTTAATGCGTGAAGTGCAATTGCTGAGCTGCCTTCTAAATTACTCATCTTTTCGGGGTCAACCATTCTTCCCTTAGCTAAATTCTTATGTTCTGATAATCTGACTACCACCGCACTACTAGTCTGACCTATGTAGTTGACCTCACTCACAGTCATTGGAGGGTATTTTGTAAATTATAATATTTTGTCTAATTAGGTCAGCAGGGTCCTTTAACCTACAGAGCTTGTCCCTTAGTGAGTTCGTAGGTTTGAATGCCACCCTAATTCCTCCTTTATTAAGAATCCTACGTAGTGTCTCAGATGTCCTCTCTTTATATGGTATAACTGGATGACTTATATTCCCTCTTATTTATGTTATCATTACTAGTTTCACAATTATTTTTATTTTGTTTTTGGCCTTTTCTGATCTTCCTAATGAATTTTATAGGGTAGTTATTCAACACCAACGCTTCTTCTATCTGTTTTATTTCGTCATTTAGGTCTTTTCTTGTGCTACTGCTCGGTTTGTTAGACACTTAACAACTAAGCCTGTCTTAACAATTAACGGATGAGACGAATTATTTTTTCAACATATTAGTGTTGCTAGGATACTGTAGTTAAAAATTCCGGTGATGCTGATATAGTATAAAAGAAGCTATTATAGCTGCATTGGAGAATAACATACTTTGTCCAATACGGAGTGGCTTCTCCTTACAAACATCACATTAAAAAAAATTCAGTCAAGTCTAAGGGTGACAAAAAGCTCAAATATCTCTTACACATATCTTAATAGTAGTTGATACCAGGTTGTTGTTGAAATTCGAGCTTCGAGTTCGCTGGATGCCTATTTAAAGGGACTAAATTTTTCGGTCCCGACCGATAGCTGCTAATTTGACGTGGTGATCGAGCTTGCATATCGTAATGACCCAACAAGCTACACTGGATAGAGTTAATATTCCTTCAGGTCCTACCATGCCAGAAAAGGCTGTTAAGATAGCGATTAGACTAAAAGCAGTTACCGTCGTAGTGTAAGATGTTTACACTATACTGGGGGGCTGTGGGTAAAGTCGTATTGCTGAGGAACAGAAATATAACAGGAATCAGGTGTTTCCCTCAACTAACCAGCATCTCAGCTATTTCTCATTTCCACTCTGGAGTGGTACAGTTAGAAAGAGCAGACCCGAAAAATCGTAAATCTCGAATGGCTCTAAGGTGCTTCGTAGCCGGCGGTAAGTTCTTAATACGGACACAACTCTAATAACCATTTCAAACAGGTTATGTGTGACCAGTCTCAAGTAGTTGGGTAGCCTGGGAAGTAAAAAATCGTCCATACATTTCCAGAAGCACACGAAGCACTCCTGACCAAAACCCACCTCACAATTCTGGCACTTTCAAAACTAGTCATGAAGTTCGGCTGCTTACAAATATGCGCAACTAACCGAAAGACTCATGATTCTTTATAAATACACACAGTCTATTCATACCGCTCATACTCAAAAGTTCTAGATATTTGCATAACTTTGTATACACATTACAAGTCACCACAAGAGGAATTGGCTGTTTTACCACCGGTTAGTGGAGAATGTTTCACATCCATAAATCATGCCAACAACGCAGTGGTTGCAAAAGAACAATGACATAGAGGCTATACACGCTTTAAATTCACTTAACGGATAACCGACGAGTGCTACTTGGTTCGATACCAGGGGATAAATAAAGAAATCCACTTTTTTTAACTAACCGAAGACGGTACATTACTTTTCTTACTAATGTAACAAAAATAGTAATATACTTGTCATTATTGATCTACAAAAATAAGTATGATTGATGGTCTTCAAGAATGCAATACCGTTTATAGTTAGTCAATCAATAACAAAGATGTAATTAGTATATGCCTACTTCTTTTAGGTGAGTATGGCGCGTGTCAATTAGGAGATAAACAAAGTTGCCACTGAAGGGCTCACAATTTCCTTTAATATTTACTACTACACTGCAAAAAGAATACATATATTTTTAATATAAATCTGACGTATAATTTATCTGTTTAACTTAAATGAGAGAGAGAGTGAATCTGGAATTCTGTGACACGTAACAATTTTTCAATCAATCTGCTCATCGCTATAACAAGACTTAATAGAATCAGATGACAGCTTATAAGTAATGATAAATGGATAAGCAAGAGAAATGCATACACACATATACATACACTTTAAGATGAAAGGAGTATTCAAACTCTTTTATTTAAGTGAATATGGGAAGTAGAATAGGCGAACAAACCATCTTTCTTCAGTTGCTGTTGATACGCCACCTTCAGTTAAAGACCAACTGATAGCTGTTACCTTGATATGTCACAATCACCCAACAAGTTACACTGATCGGAACGATTGTTGCTCCAGAAAAGTCGTTTGGATACTGAGTAGACTAAAAGCAGTTCTTATCACAGTGTTGGTCATTTACTACTGGTAAATAGGAATGTAACTGCAGTAAGGTGTTTCCATCAGATGACCAGCATGTTAACTATGCTTCCTCAGTGCTTTGGGGTATGGAAGTTAGCACGGATACAGAGAGCTAGTTTCGCATATGCCATTTTACACCGTCTCTGGGGCTCTATCTCCCGTGTGAAGTGGTATAATAAGGTGAGAAATATTGAGGTTAGGCGTCGAGTTCTAGGTAAGGAGGGAAATCAATCGAGGAGGCTGTGAAATTACATCGACTGAGATGGTTACGACATGTGTTACGTATGCCTAGTCATCGCCTTCCTCGATGGGCAATGTTAGCTGACATAGGAGGGTCAGGCTGGAAAAGAGCTAGCGGTGGTCAAACCAAAACATGGCACCAGTCAATGAAATCTACAACAGTTAGTTTAAGCCACGTAGGATGGTATAGACCTCCTGGCTGGTTGGAGTCCTCGGGACGGTAAAAACCAATGGTTGGAAACAATTGGTGATATGGCTCAAAATCGTTCTCGGTTGCACAGATGTATCCACTCCCTGTGACTTATGATTTCCAATAAAACTATATTGTTTTTCGTTATTACCACTCCTTTGTCTCACACTTCAACTTACTGTCTCTATTATGAATTCCTTCTACTTTCTTCTGTTGCTTTGTGTGCTATATGGAGTGTGGCGACTTGAACTGCCGCACAACGGTGCAAAGTTCTATGTCGAAAACAGGCAGATAGACAGAAGTTAGAAAAGGTCGACCCCAAAAATTGTACTGTCCAACATACTTTGCGGAGGTCGGCAGTTAGCGGTAAGGTTTTTCTACAAGCATAATTCCAAAAACTAATTCGAACAGGTTGTGCATAACCGGGCTCAAGCAGTTGTACACTAGGCTGTACCGTCACGTGCAGAACTAATTCTTCTCTTTTAGATGTTTCAAGAGGAGATCAACTCCCATGGTATGGGCAACACACCTTTAGTGATGGACAAGACACTTCCTACGGCTACATTACTATTAAGGTCCAAAACTAGATTTATCTTAAGATCACTTATGATATATATATATATATATCAACGTGTAGGGATAAATTTTATTGCTCATATCCAATAAGTTATTTGCAGCGAATTATATGAAAAGGAGCATTGACAGGTATAAAGGGGAGCTGAATTAATAAACTATCTGTAGCAGGTAATAAAAATGTATTATTTTACAAACTGGTTAACTTATTGCGGTCAAAGCCATAAAATTCAAGTTCTGGGCAAAAACAGAGTTTCGTTTTCCTGAGAATGTCCAACTAAGTTTCAATAATGACTTAAATACCATGTTAATTCTTGGATTAGCTTGTTTTGACAATCTTTTTTTCATTTACTAAATCTGTTGCTACTTTTCTTAGTGAATAATAATTATTATTTTTATTATTACTGTTATGTAATATTTAGTAACTTTCACCGCACTCACACTTGGTTGTCTCTTAAAAACTATGATTAATGGCTTCTTACACCTTATGACAATATGGTTATAGCCTAACTACCAACCCCCCCCCACACACACACACCCAGTTTGAGTGAGAAAGTAAAAAACGAAGAATTCCTGATAATGCAATTTTCGATGTGTTTAACTTTGAGGCCTTAAGCCTAGATATAACTATGAAGCAACATTTACTGTCATAAAATAGCAAGAACTCTGAAGTCATCTAAATAATAAGCACCTAATAAAAAAGTTTTACCAATTCATAATTTAGTGTCAAATATTTAAATAATGAATGAATTATGTCCTTACGTGAACATGGCAATGCTACAATAAGTGTCGTTGTTAGAGTATGTCACATAAAACCACTCGTTGTTTAATTACTCGTAATCTTGTAGAATACCGTATTACGCAATCTTGTTTGAATTCAGAAATGAACAACTATCAGTCTTTAAATTCATATAACCGATTAAAGTGTGCCAGTTGCTTTGTGTAAGACACAGTTTTGGTGAGATGACCTTTCTTCTCTCTCTCTCTCTCTCAATTCTTCTAAATATCCCGATACTGAAACCATCTGTATATAACTGAATAGTAAAATGAAGATATCTATAAGAAACAAAACAGTAACAACAACAACAACGACAAAAATGGATGACGGAGAAGCTCTAAAAATTTAGAGACACTCCCCTTCCGCATCTCCTCTCCAGTGAGCGAAAAAATTACCTTATTTCAGTGATAGGTAATTTATTGTGTTCAGCAGGAATACTACTGCTACTACCATCATCATGATTGGTTAATCCCAAAGGATGACTTATTTGTTTACATGATGACTGTATGTTGTCAGTAGAAATACTATCGACTAATGAAGTAGGAACTGCGCTGTCCTTGCTGCCGTCGTTGTTGTTGGTGGTGGTGGTGATCATGGTGGTGTTTGCATCTTTTTCATTGTTTTCTAAACATTCACCTCCTTCTTCTTTTAAGTCTAAAATTATAAAATGAACAGAAATCAAAGAAAAATTTAAAAAACTATACAAGAAGCAACAGAGACAGGAATCCAGGTGAACACAGACAAGGCGGAGGTTATGAAAATAACAAACCAACAACAAGGACAACAATAGCAGCAAAATCCAGCGCCAATCACCATCAACGGGATGGATATGAAAGAGGTTACTTCATTCATTTATTTAGGGAGCATTGTCTCAACTACAGGAAGTCGGAAAGGACGAGGATGTCAAATCGAGAGAGAATCGGGAAGGCGAGAAACACATTCATCAACCTGAAAACAATCTGGAAATCTTCGTCACTCAGCATCAGCAACAAAATTCGGTCGGATTTTCAATACAAACGTGAAGTCAGTTCTTCTATACGGATCAGAAACTTGGCTGGCGGGTCACAAAGAAGATTTCCAATAGCCTGTTGCAAACCTTTATCAACCAACAACTGTCTTTGCTCTATACTGAAGATCAGATGGCCAGGCCGGAAAGAATCACCAACAAGAAACTATGGGCACTAACAAACAAAACAAGAACCAATCGCCAGCCAACAAATATGCAGGAGAAAGTGGAGATGGATTGGACACTCCCCGAGGAGGCAGCTGGGTGATATCGCGCGCACGTCAGGCCATTGCTCGAGTGGAACCGAAAAGGGAAGAGGCGAGTGGGACGTCAGTGCAAGGGTGACATGGAGGAGACCGTGTGAGGAGTTGAAACAGTATGGACTAACATGGATGCAGGTGAAAAGTACAGCAGAAGACAGAAGCAAGTGGGGCGTGCAGTTGAAGCCCTATGTTCCATTAGGAACCCAAAGGAATAATAATAATAATAATAATAATACACTAGTGTTTGCAAGAAAGTTTATTACACGGAAGCTTATTTCTAAAAAGAATTTTGCATATGAACAGTGTGTGATTACCAGAAATTTGTTACACATTGTACCCACCTATCTAAAGGGGAACAAATGACCCTGAAGCATTCAGTTGATAAATGTATGTGCTGAGAATGTGATCAGTGTTTACAGTTTAAGGTGTGATTGTTTGGAAGGTGTTTCGATCTGTAGAACTTGTAATGTCAATCTATATTAAGATGATAATAATTCAAGTTTATGATGTATATAAAACGACATTTCTAAATTTAACTCAATTATCTCACAACTAACTAATTGGATGTCAAATTGAGGAAGTATTAAAGGACACACTAGTTCACATTATCATGAATTTGCTATCAAGGATAAACCTAAACGACATTAATGCACACGGAAAAAAACACACTAAAAACCTGAAACATGATGTGATCTACATGAAATTTTGTAAAGCACACCTGAATTCGGTAAAGCGGAATAAGTTTCTTCTGGAATATACCATTTTTCTTTGTGGATTTCTGCACCATCGGACATATCAACAACTTTACTTCCTTCTTGACCCTCTAATATAACCACATCAGTAATCTCGGACCCGAGAGACACGTGTGAATCACCTCGGGAAGATTGAACATTGTTCATTTCTGATGTTCGAAAATGGAGAGACATACTATCAGTAACAGGGGAATAAGATGCTCCAGCTGATTGTTGACGTTGTAATCGAAGAGCTGTACCTGGTCGACGAACGAGTTGTCGAAGGTATGGTGTAATTGAATTCATCGCCTAGGAAATGTGGACGAAACGGAAATGAGCTGTATAACTGACAATCTTTATAATTACATGAGAAAAGAAAAAAAGGTATAAACTCATAAACTATAGGTAAATATTATGCAAATTCAAAAACAAAGCCATGAGCTATTTCTCTGCGAAAGTAACACAGACATGTCAAAGATATGACCAATGTACGATTTACAGATTTAATGGGGGATCATAAGAAAAGGATTACCACAGAACCCAGTTTTTGGTCATACGATTAAAGACAGAATTTTAACTGTCGAAAAGTGATACACTGCAGTACTGACAACTTATCACTGATGTTTATTGTAGTAAAATCTCAGTCTAGGTGTTTTGACAACCCAACCAAGTAGTATCATTACTTCGCACACAATAAAATGTAGCTGATTGCTAGTTAATCCACAATGCTATATGTGATTGGCGAGTTAATTCTGATAAACAGAATTCGAATACCCCCTAATTAAGAAATGGAATTATTATTATTATTATTATTATATCCTTTAATTCCTACAGGAACATAGGGCTTCAGCTGCGCGCCTCCATTGCCTTCGGTTTCCTGCCAACGTTTTCACCCCTCTCCAAGTATACCCACACTCTTTCATCTCCTCTTCACATGACCTTCTCCGAGTCACCTTCGCACTGAAGACCAACTCGCCGCTTCCCTTTCGAATTCCACTCCAGGGCTTATTTATTGATGTTACTTAATGGTTTCCTTAGAGTATGGCCAATCCACCTCCATTTCTTCCTGCTTATTTGTTGCACAATCGGTTCCTGGTTGGTTCGCTCATTGCCAGAGATCCCTGTTGCTGATCTTTTCTGACCATTTGATCTTGAGTAGTATTGAGCGAAGACAACTATTAGTGAAGGTCTGAAGTTTGTTTGAGATGCTCTTTATGACTCGCTAAGTCTCTGATCCGTACAGTGAGTAGCACTGACTTCATATTGGAGTTGAAAATCCGGATCATATTTTTGATGCTGAGTGCTGTTGACCTCCACACAGACTTAAGAGTAATGAAAGCTTGTCTTACTTTTCTCATTCTTGCTTTGATATCCTCGTCAGTTCCGCCTGTAGTTGAAACGATGCTTCCCAGGTAGGTAAAGGAGGTTGTTTCTTTCAGGTTCCTCTCATTTATGTTGGCTGATTGTTGTCTGTTGTTGTTGGCCAGGAATCTTCATCACTTCAATTTTATCTATGTTCAACTGAAGTTTTATCTTCTCCGGACGATTCTTCTGCCAACTTGTTGCTTTTCACTTGCATATCTTCCAGTTTGTGGGAAATCAGATATGTCATCGGCGAAGTCCAGATCCTCCAAGTTTTTTGTAAGAAATGGAATACTCTCAGTAAAAACAGGTGTGATCCACAGTCTAAGAAAATTTCACTCAGTAAATCTCCCTCATTACATTACAGTACACTGCACTGCTAATCGTGATGAGTCAGATTTACAGAGAGCTTAAGATAATTATTTAGATGAAAAATTTTCTTCTCTCAAAGAGATTACATCATTTCATGTGCCTAAATACTTAATAAGCGGAGTTGTTTTCATAAGAAATTCTAATACGAAATGGAACGGAAATACTAAGGAACACTTGGCGAAATGAGTATGCAATTCTGTCTTCCACAATTGGAAGCTGGATAGTACGAGAGCAAAAGCTGTCATGGGGAAAATAAGCGAAGCTTCACATCTGTTGGTAAGAACCTAGTAGTTGCCCAATAACCTCTTGAACTATCCTTGCTTATAGATTTGTATGTTTAGTATACTATATTTGAATTATCTAGGTCATACTTTTGTACAGAAATGGCAATTTACTAATTGTAAAAAAGGGTTACTAATGTGTGTATTGATGAATAGTTGTTTTGTATTCTGATATCAACTAAGTAGAAGCTTATGCGAGAAATTCGAGGTTTTCTGTGAGTAGTGATCACTCAACTATGCCACCAACCAATGCTATCAATAGGTCAATTGGTATCCCTCCAGTCTAGTCTTATCGACCAAACAGTCGGTCAGTTGCATTCAAGTAAACATAAGCAAATTCAATAGTTACAACTAGAGCTTACCACAGGATCATAACGTAAACTGTGAGAACGCCATCCTCTTGGTAATCGTTGGTGACGAAGGCTTAGATTACCAGTAGAAAAGTCACTGAATGCAAGCATATTTGATTGTTGGCGTCGAGAATTAGATGTTGTAGGTCTGTTGTGATTGATATTCCCGAAGCACTGACGCCAGAAAAAAATAGTTTCAGATAACGAGAATTCGGTAGAATAAGGAATGCTATTTCGACCAGTTCGAGTTAAATAGGCTACAGTTCTCTTATGTTGATCCCAATCCACAAGGAGAGCGCGTCTGTGAAGCTGCAATTGAACACAATGAGAAGAGGTTCTTGTCAGTATCTTTCATTTAATAACTACACAGGAACAAACAATAAGTTTCATACAGGTAGTCAATTCAGTGTTACATAAGATGACGCTTTAGCTTTTGTAAAGATAGATGATGGGTTCAAGACAGTGGGAACACCACTCCTCACTTGGAGGGGAGCATATCCAGCTGACGAGTCTCAAATATAATGGAAGACAGTCCTGTATTCCACCGCTAGCCAACAGCAAATAAAAAGATGCTTTAGTGGATTGATGATAAATCTTTACACTTAATAAGTGACCACGAAATATTAATCAATAAAGTGTGATGGTGACAGTCATGGCCGTGATTAACCAATAGATAAACATATATATATAATCACTTTTTACCATGTTTTAGGTCTTAAAAGTTCCACTAATTTTCACCGTATTATTTTCTCCGCTACAGTCATGTTTCTTCATCGTGGTATTATTATATTTCTGTTCGATTATTCTGACTGGTTTTTATAAAAATGACTGACACACTTGTAAACTAATCTCAACGTTAATCTATCAATCAGTTAGTATTAGTCCACTATGAGACACTTCATATCCTCATACTGGGAAATTATAAGGAATAAGACAGAAAAATACTGAATAAGTGGGATGAGAAGATCAGAACATCCTGCGACAAGACGGGAGACATTAACAGGCCATCTTTAAAAGGTATGCAATCATACATCAATGGATCATATCTCTTATTCAATTTTGCCTCCGTTAAAAAACAACTAATAAACTCATTACACAAAAGTATTTACTAACCTGAGATCTACTTCTAGTGTGAAACGATGATGGTGTGGAAGATGTACCAGGATCCAAATTCAAAGTTTCCAGGTCTTTTACTGAAGGAGTGAATCGTGTAACAGGTATGGGAGGAAGTCGACTCACATCCCATTTTAACTGATTTATGATACGTTTGCAGTGTTCAATTTCTGTGCGTACAGAACTAGATCTCACAAGAGAACGACCTGATGAAGAAATACTCGAACAGGGATACTTATCACTTGGTATCTTCTCCATGGAAGAATTCACAGTCTCTGGGACGATCTGATCACATTTCAGTCCAGGAATATGACCTGTCTGATCATAAAATGTGCATAGTCGCTGAATTTCATTTGTATTTTTCACTTAAAAAGTTAAAAGCAAGTATGTTATTAAGCTTCCATTGTGTTCAACCAAGATTAACGAGATACAAACTGAGCATTAAAAAAACTTGCATGCTAATTATAAGTAATGTGGTCGAACTAATTGATTAAAAGTGACTGAATCGAGAAGGGGTTTCGTACATAACGAGGATTAAGAGCTGTTTACGCTTAAAATGACTAAACATAATCGCAGTTGAGAGCATTGGTGTGTGATAAAAGGAAATAAACCACAAAAGGCATTAGTAATAGGCAATACACGACTTTTCAGGCTTATTAAGGAGAACTGTCCTCCAACTCACGAAGTCATGTGAAACCCAACCAAGCGTTGTAAACATGAGTAGTGGCAACTAGTGGTGACCACTGGAACGGTCAGTTTTAGTTCTAATTTTATTCTTTTATAAGTGCATTGATGAAGATAACGCTATTTTACTTTTATGTTCTACGAATTTAAACGCTACGAGATAATTGATAGTTGGTTCAGAGGAAGCAGAGGAGGTGTATAGGAAAATTAAGTCAACCGATGAAGTTGTGAATGTCACTGACTTCCTCCTTAAGAGATTTTTATCAAAATGGGACTAAACAGGAAAAAGTTTGGGATGGTAGGCGTGAAGCATAGGGACAATTAATGAAGTCAACTAATTATCCCAATCACGTAAGATATAAGTTATTTGACTAGGATTTTTAAAACTTTAGCAATCGACAAGTACACATTTCTAGTTATATAGCTCATCTAAATTTTTAACAGTTTTTATTCAATTCTCATTCAACATGGTATAATCACACCTTGGTTCTCTTATTTTATGTATGCATTCCAGAAGTGTGAGAAATGAACTTGATGCTCGTCTTTGTGGAATCTTATGTTTATTTCAAACGAAATTAAATATACTGAACAGTCAAACACCAATAAGAACATTTCGCAAAATCCTACAACAAATATACTTATTTGTCAAACATATTTTGAATTAGCGGAATATACAGATTAGACGTTGGCGAACTACTTCATATAATTACGAAAGCTCTCTCAAATATCGTTCATTATTTGGGTAAAATCTTCCAGATTAAGTATTTTTTTATTTTGATTACAACTTGATGCCACGCCGTATTTTCGGTACAAGTATGGAATTTTCAGCATGTGATATCGGTAGCCCAAGTTTTGCAGGCCAACCATACATATCAGGTGTGCGTCGGCAGGGGATCGAACCCCGGACCATGTGCATGGCCGGCGAGAGTCCTAACCAATGTGCAACCGACGCACACTGACATTGTTTGATTGCTTACTCTATACATGATATGTGATGAATAAAATTCAACTTCGGATCTTATTTTTCGACTGATAGGTTTATAGCTTATAAAAATACATATATCATACTAATAATCTCAGAGTAAAAAGTAATAACAAAACCACATTTCAATGTACACTACATAACCTCAAACTAACGCAATAAAAAATAAGACCAAAAATAGCATGCTTCCTAATGGTTACCCTATTATAAAGACTATGAGAAAGCACTTCAGTGTTAAATATATACCTGTAGTTTCAGAAAACTGTCTCCTAACAGGAGCTCGCCGCCCATTTCTACCAATGAATGATCTTTTCAATGGTCCATTCAAATATATAGGCCTAGCTGTTCTCGAGCTGATACTGCGACCGAATTCAATTCTTTTTTGTTCTAAAGAGCTTGAGAAATCCCACAGTTCACTGGTGGCAAAGTAACGATCTCCTTTACAGCCCCCCAATCGTCACCTTTAGAAGACGGTGCTCCGTCCAAACTTAACTGTCCTATCTGATTATCTACAATCTGTCCTTTATTAACAACAGATAAATCAGTAGGTAAGGAAGACTGCGTATTTGAAGTACAATCCACATTTTCAACTGCGTCTTGATCATTTATTATGACTGATTCTTTGGCATTCGTCGAAGGGACAGAGAAGGTAACATGATCAGTGAAATTGTCGGAAAATTCAAGGCTTGGCTCCAAATTATTTTCAAATTGCTCAAATTTAAAAATCTCATCCTTTTTAGCTGTATACGCATTTTGATTAGTATCGGAGACAACTATTTCATTGTCAGGTAGTGGACTAACACTGCCATGGTTTGAAATGGCATCAGTTAATCCTGAAAGAGATAATAAGCATGTTTATCATTGAGTAATCAGTAAAGAAATAGGCTTATGTGACCTACAGTTGGGTAATTCTGAAATTTTATAACAACATTAAAATTATTCTTATGGGTTTCTCATCATAAATTCTTAGATTCAGAAGAAACCTACAATTTTTTTGAACATTCATGATGAAACAAGAACATTAATGCATTACTTCACCGAATGACTTCTCACTATAAATCTCTGTCGACAAACTGTCCACCTGTCTGCTTTTTCTAGACAATACCGCAGTTATTTGTGTTATATGAAGACTACTGGAGTGGTGGACACGTACCAGTGCTTTCAGCTGAGTGTCAATCAGCTTCAACATGAGCTAAATTATAGACATGATTTCATTACTGGGTCTAAACATTGTTTAGTGATTAGATGCAATCATATACGAAAGCGATAGCGCACCAATAACAATGTTAGGCGCCTCTTGGTCTTAAAACGTATCGAGGTTATCTTAAATCAGTATAAAAGTGACTAAAAGGATTTTCTGGTTTTTTGCAACCCATCTTCCATACCTTTGCAGTGCAGTGAACCCACCCTTAGGTAGATTGTCGGTAGTCATTAACAATAGTTAATTTATTTTTCCCAAACTTGATTTTTATGCAGACTATAATGATACAAGTGACAAAGGCACCGAACATAGACAGGATACACGCATACGGAAAACTTTCTACGGATTAAAAATTATCGAGTAAATGTAGTTAAAATATGGTGTAAGAAATAAAACAACATGGTACATACATTAATAAACCTATAAAAATGTGTCGAAAATAGTGTCAGTATTTAAGAACAATTTAGTGCAGCCTCCATAGACTGAAAACAAATACAAAAGCGTAAAAAATACAACAATGAATTATGACCCTTTCAATCATATCAAATATGATATAACACGACGACCAACAGTAAACCAGTTGAAACCGTAGCCAGTAAATAATATCTCACCATAATCCATATAACACACAAACTAATGTGGAACTGCATACTGTCTGTACTTAATTTTTACACATATATCAGGTTACAATGTGCGCTTACAACACAATCAGTAAAGGTTATCAGTTATTTCTCTGTTTACTAGCATTAGAGTACATTTATGGATGCTAATTTTCTTTGAGAATCCCGAGCAGACTGACACTAATGATTTAAGATTTTGGTTTGTTTACCATATGTAGTTATCGACACTATGCATTTTCACCTACTATCACATCAAGAGCAACTATCGTAAATGAGAAAATGAGTAGCTCAATGAGCACTAACTGTTTGCAAAATGTGTACTGAAAACCCTCCAAAGAAAACATAATCCTACTACCTACTAGTATGAATTCCAATAAATATTTAACGTTAGACAAAACTGATGCCCACATCTAATCTGCAAAAAAGAAACAACTAAGTTCCCGCAAATAAGAAGCAACTGACTACCATATCTATAACAAGCACCAGTAAGTGTACTCATTAATAGGAACAAAGCACAATCATGTTGGCAAGGTATACATGAATCAATTTAGATAGGCACGGTAGAGTTAAACGTAATCCTGTAGACCCATGTGATTGAGAAAAATTTGTTAAAATTCAGTTTCCAAAAGCAATCCTCGTTATTAAACTACATTACAGGTTGCAGGTACCTATTCCAGAGTATCATGCAAAAGCTAAATATGTTCGTTTAAAAAAAATTACCGGCTAGTTCGATCCCAGCCTGACCAATTCGTCGACATCTGCTTTCGATTTCATTAGCATCTGAAAATTCTTCCTGATCACTTTCATGCACATTTACCTGGTGCTGTGTTGAAAATCTTCAAGTAAATTATGGTGAAATGAAAAAGCCTACTCTGTATTTGCGTACGAGTTATTTGCTTCTTGATTGTTATTAACAACAGGTTCACTCTTATCAAGTAGATCATGAAGTCTCCAAATTATAAGCTTAACAACCAGAACAAATGAACCGACCGAAACACTATAAATGGCTGCAATAATGTGAGATTCTTCTGAAATCTGAAAAATAATTAAAACCCAGGCTTTACCATAAACAGCACCAACGGAGCAACGAATAAGACAATCCACACATAGACATGGACAATATTTGAGAAATGGGTTTGTGAAGTATCAAAATAAAATCCACCTGTGAGAGAGGCGATGATACCTTCCTTAAATATCACAGGTATCATACGCAGCCTCATCCCTCTACATCATTTCATTATCATAGGCCTTAGTCCAGACGATGACCTTCAAACAGGTGACCTCGAATTCATCAGACGCACAGTTGTACTATGTCCATTTTAAATGTATTTAAAAAAAAGAAGGAATTTTGAAGATCAAATATTTCCTAAGATAAAACACTCATAAACTTCTGAAATGAATTCAGGTAAGCCAAAGAATGGTGTTATAAAATACATATCATTTGATACAAAAAGTGAGCGCTTTCCGGAACTCTCGGAAAAATCAATGCTGTCGACCATCCGATCATCAGTGATGTTAAGGCATCTCATAACAGTATCATGCCAACTTGATATCAATAAATCTACCACACGATGGGATGTCTTCCAGCAAGTGCCTGCAGTACCAAATTTAATGCAGATCATCCCACAAGCTCTTAAGTTGATAATAACAATAATTATTATTATTCATTTATGTTACGAGTAGAACATAGGGCTTCAACAACCCATCTCCACTTTGTCCTGTTTTCTGCAATCCTCTTCGCTTTAGTGCACGATTGGCCATAATCTCTCATATACTCCTCGCTAAACGATCTCCTCCATGTCACCCTCACACTGACGACCCACTTCTTGTGAATCTTTTTCGTGACACGTGGTGCGTGTTTCTGACCCTTGTAGAAGAACTGATATGATATTTGTGTTTAAAAACAGAATCTCGCTGTCTAAGGTGGCTGGGTATAGAAGATTTGAAAACTGGTTTCAGGTTGATGGAGGCGTATCTCGCCTTTTCGATTCTAAATGGCCTTGACATCTTCATCCGTTCCACCTCTATTTTGACGATGCCTCATAGATAAGTGAAGTAAATGATTTGCTTTAGACCTCTCCTTTTGATGTTGATTGGTGTTGATTGTTTTCGCTGTTGTTGCGGCTCGTTGGTTATCTCCATCACCTCCGCCTTCTTTATGTTCACCTGGAGTCCTCTCTTCGCAGTTACTGTAGCCAGTTTGTTGGTTTTCACCTGCAAGATTTTGAGACTGTTTGACATTGGATAAATATTATCTGAGAAATCTGGATCTTCTAGAGTCTTATCATCGGTGTGTCAGCGTATTTTGTCTCCATTATGGATAAGATTTTATTTTTATAAATCACAGTTTTTTACAGTAATATTAAACGATAATATTACTGTACAACACTGTGTGATTTATCAAAATAAAATATTGTCAATAATGGAGTTATGATCTAACACAGAGCCCAAGCTTTATACTTATATCAATAAACCTCCTGCTGAAAAAGACTTGAGGTGCACTAAAGTGTTCAATGAGTTTCAAAAATATCTCTCTGTCTACTACTTAGAAAGCCTTTTCAAAGTCGAAGAAACCATTGAGGTAAGAGATAGACTACCATTCAATGCTTTCTTCTGTGATGACGATAGGTGAAGCTGCAATTTGATCGGCACATGCTCCGCCTTTCCTGAATCCAGCTTGTTCCGGTTGGCAGAGTTCTGTATCCAGTGCATGTTTTATTCTCTTCAGGATGATGCGACTCAGTATTTTACCTAGAGTAGGCAACAGCATTATTCCACACCAGTTCTCGTACAGGCATAGGTCGCCCTTCTTTGGTAGTTCACAAGGTAGCCAGCCTTTTTTCATATAATAATGTATTTCTTCCTGTTCATGCAGGAAAATACCAATTGTACAGGCATGGATAAGTTATTATATAAATTACACATAATTTGATGTATGATGAATTTACAGTTTGGTTGTTCTCTCTGACATTAGAGTCAGTCGGAACAGTCTGCTATAAAGTCTGTTTGTGTAGCACATAAAGAGATATAGAAATATTGTCTTCGCATTAACGAAAACCCAGACATCAGATGAATGTAATACAGATATCTGGGAAAAATAAAGCTTGAAGTCAATTCTCCTATATAACTTTGTTGTGAACAGCACCATTGGCTTAAAGATTATTGATGTATTATGTTGAGATCAGTGATATATTTATTCCATTTTTCAGCAGTCTTATCGTAGTTTTATAACAGGAAAGAAATTTGATCGTGGATGCGAAAACTAGATGAGGTCACCTTGGGTTGTTTTACTGCATCAATGGTGCCGAGGTCGATTCCAGAATTCTCCATTTGCGCCATTTGTGTCTGCATGGCGAACTGTATTCGTAAGTTGGGTAAAATGTTGAAAACTGTTTGAAAACCAGTTGCTTCTTCATTTCAGATCATGAATACTCATTTACAGCACGTTCGCCAGCGTCTTCAAATGGTAGAATTGGATCATTCGTGGAATTTGGGTGGTTATGTGATGAATGGTTTGGAATCCATCTTCATTTCAGTTTAGATGCAGGGTTGTTCGATCTCGACCAGAAGATAAATGGGAGCAGCAGAATACCTGCAAGAGTAATTATGTGAACGTTAAAATTAGGTGAATGTCATATGGATATATATATGTTTGTGTCTATTTTATATTATACTTAGTAAATATTTACCTTTATTTTAGTTGTGTTTTCACGTTTTTATGCGAATTCTTAGCGTTTATTTAGTTTCATAATGTGTATTGATGAGTCTGAGCCTTTTAGTGTTCTAACGACTGATGAGTTTTATAAATAAGTATAGCGGTCTGGCTGGGATGTTCATCGGGAGGAAACCGTTTATATAGCAAGCGTCTGAAGGTTATAGTAGAGTGACAGGTGCAATTTCTAGGGGTAAACTGTTCCAGTGTATTCCGTACTAAGCCTTTTTATGCATCCATGCTACTAGTTTATTTATAGTTTTTAGATTGCTAAGGGTGTTGAAGTGCGTCTTTTAGGTGCTGTAGTAGATTAGTGCTTGATTCGTTCTAGGAGTAAATAGTTTATTAATATAATCAGTAGAGTGAAACAGTCTGTACAGAGAGCGTTTGAAACTTGTAACCAAAGAGCAAGTTCTGACATCTAGGGGCAGGCTATTCCATATTTTAGAATACATGACTGTGAAGAAGTTTTCACGGAGTGTTGACTTAAAAGAATGAGTTGTCACTGTGGAAGTTTGGTTACGCAGATCGTAAGAACCTTCCTGTGCGAATTGTATGTCCCTGTTACCTGAGAAAGATATTTTGTGAAGGACCTTAAAGAAGAATATTAGGTTTATAATAAGTCGCCTTGTCCAAAGTGGGTCAAGTTTTAGGATCATGCACCGTGAGATGTAGTCTTTCTTACAATCGTAGCCAAGTAGTTTTGAGGTAAAATATCGTTGGATACTTTCCATCCTTAGCTTGTCACGTGTGCGAGTGCTGCTTATAATAAATGGACAGTATTCTAGTAGTGGTCTGACACATGTTTTGTACAGAATTAGCTTGGCTTCATTGTCGTGAAAGTTCCTGAGTATGCATCCTAAGAGCATCCTCGATTTTCTAGTCTGTGATGCTACTTGCTCAGAGAATGTCAAGTCACTAGAGTACCTCAGGCCTAGGTCAACGACACTTCGGAGTCTCGTTAGGTTAGCAGATTGAAGCGTTAATTTCAGGTCAATTGAGGGTGCGCCGAAGCAGATCCAGCCACATTTATTCAGATTAAATTGGAGATTCCATAAGGACGACCAAGCAGTCATTTTATCTAATTCCTTCTGCACTACATTCTCGAAGTTCCCTAAGTCATCACATTGGAATGTATAAGCTACTTTTAGGTCATCTGCAAAGATGAATGGTTTCCCGTGCGTGAAGCAAGCGCATATGTCATTGATGTATAGTGTAAATAGGAGGGGTCCAATGACACTACCTTGTACTACACCAGAAGTGATAGGGCTAGGTTTGGAGGTTGCAGACCCGAGTTTAACTATTTGGGACCTATTGTTAAGGAATGATTTAAGCCATCCTAATAATGGGTCACGTATTCCTAAGGAGTTCAGCTTATTTGTTAGCAGTAAATGGTCAACACGGTCAAATGCCTTAGAAATGTCAAAGTAGATGACAAGTACTAGTTGCCGTCTGTCACGACTGCTGGTTACAAAATTGAAGAAGTCTAGGTGACATGTTAAACATGATCTGGATTTCAGGAATCCATGTTGGTTCGGACTTATAATATTGCAGCTAAGCATATGTTTGATTAAGTTATCTTTGACTAGTCTCTCCATAATTCTAGATGCTATAGGTGTGATATTGATCGGCCGGTAGTTACTGACTTCAGTTTTCGAGCCAGATTTGTGTTTAGGCATAATGAATGTTGTCTTCCATATGTCAGGGTAAGTTTGAGTTTCTAGGGACATTGTGAATATTTTAAGCAGCAGTAGAGGAATGTCAGGGCCACCATATTTATAGAAGTAAGATGATATACCGTCGGTACCGAAACCTTTTGAACTTTTGAGGGTTCTTATAGTTTGGTTAATATTAGCGTAAGTGAATTCAACAGTGCTAATTTGGTTTGGTGTGAGTGGAGATGGAGTTTGTGCCATTTAGTAATAGGGTGTATATCGAGTAGCTGGACTGAGGGCTTAAGGTAGTTACCTGCAAACGTTTTGTTGAATAGTTCACATATGTCTGCAGAGTTAGTGCATAGCCTACCTTTGTCTATGAGGAGAGAAATGCTGTGATTTTTGCGATTCATTCGCTTCCTTAAGATTTCTGTGAGTGCATACACTCTAGCAGGACTGGCTACTGCGATGCGTTCTTCCTTTCTCATACGGAAATCTCGAGCTTGTGTGATGGAGCTAAGGGTGTTAAGTATTAGACCTAGAGTGCCAAAGTCGTGGTGTTTGAAGTAACTTGTTGAGAGTTTCTTCAGTTTCTTACGATCCTTTGGTTTTATGAATGACTTTCTGTGTGGGGAAACCTTTAGTGTTTGGAGTGGAATGACAGCATCTAAGCATGTGTTTGAGTTATGGTAGAAGATGGTTAGGGCTCTCGATAGGTCATCAGTAGTGAAGTATTCATCCCATTTGGAGGATCTTAGCATCGATTCAACTAAGGCCCAGTTTGCCTTACTATAGTTCCTATATATTACTTGTTGTGAAGTGGAGGTATGAGATGCATTGCTACTCAGCGGAA